TTGATCAGCATTTTCAATAAATTTTTCCTCCTTGAGCTAACTTAAGAAAAGTCTAATTTCACGGATATCTCGTTCATTTCCAGATGAAAGAAAACGAGCTGCTTATGACCCACCAGGTCGGTGATGTAATCAACATATTACAGACCACCTCACACCAGCTCTTTGACCCGGATGAGTTATTAACGGTAAGTCATATCTTAATCCGAGAAGAAAAAAAGACCGAGTTTATGATGTATTCAAGATTCATGATCCGTAATATCAATCTTTCAATTTTTTCAGGTGGCGTTCGAGAAAATTGGATCAATGACTACCAACACCATATCTAAGCAGAGGAAGAAGCAGGAACCGGCGGTGATGGCAGAACTTGACCAGAGACTTCGGAGACTCAACTCTCTTAAAGAGAATGGTAAGAACACATGAATAAAACAAAAAACTGTTGGGAGAAGATGAGCCAAAAAGTGTACAACGAGGGAGCCCAATGGTTTATTTATACCCCTCTTGATGTTTTTTTTTTAAATCTTCTTTTAACGTATATAAATAGGATTTTACTTAATCTTGAGAGCAAAACAAAAGACCAGTATCCATTTTCTGAGATGGTAAATGTCAAGTTTCTTTCACTTTTCAAGAAGTGTAGTTTGCCTTTCTTTTATTTACACCTCTTTTTGATATAATCAATTCTGACTCATGTTTTTATATATCCATTTCAATTTTCCTTTATAGCAAGTGTCTTCGATACTATTTCTTCAACAAAAATACAAATCGTAAAGCAGATGATATGAGGATAAGACTTCAACCGATATTCAAATATCTAATACTAATAAAAGTAAAAAAAAAAACACTTTGCATCAGTTGGAAGTTCAAGTTTGAAGTCTCCGTGTTTTAGTTATTAAAAAATAAGGAAACAAAAAAAAAATATATGAATCCCACCATCTAATTTCAAATAATTAAAATCAGACAAATGCACACAGCCATATGAGAGCGACGCTGTATCAAGAGGACGGCGGTTCAATTTTAGATTTTGTTGGATCGGTCATCGCTCACGTTTAAAATCCAGTCTAAAAGACAAACGGGTTAAATCGTATAATTTTTTCAAGGCCATTCATACGATAATTGTTGTTTCAAAGGTAAAATAATTCAAATTTGTAATTTATAATATAATATATTTTACAAAATAACATAAAATATGAAAGTGGCCATAACGGTTCTTTTCGCAGCTATGGTTATGGAGAAAACCCGTTAAATACGATATGATGAAAGAAAATATTTCCTTCTCTGCAAAGCTTCGTTATATCTATAGTGAATAAAGACGATGCATTTCCTGTCAAGCAAAACCTTTTTTGTTTGGAAACTCTCATCTCTTCAGCTTTGACTGAGACCATCATTATTCATCTCAGGATCTGACACAAACACTTGTTGAGGGGGAAAGAAAAACAAACTTAAGAACAAACACAGATATTACTGGACAAAAATCAAGATCCAAGATTAATAAAGTAAATGTCGTTTTGTTCTACGATGATCGGAAAACGATTCACAATAATATGTTCAACGAAAAAAAGGAGATAGGGCGTGAAACAAACACAACTTCTACTGACAATCACATCTCAGGAGAGAAATATCTTGTTCTTGAGTTTCAAACCGCAGGCCATTCTTTACGGATGTCAAAGCTGTAGTTGATCTCCAAGTAGCACTTATTATCATCATCAAGAAACTGAAACAAGATTTGGCAAAGTAGCTTGAAATAAACACCTAAGAATATCACAGAGTTAGATTATGGAGTCTTTTGAATGAACCAACCAACCTTAGTTCTTGCAGAGTATGATCCTCGAGCAAACATGCCAGAAGGAGTGGTCTCTTCTGGCATCACGTGGTTGTATGGCTCCAACTGAGGACTAAATGTTCCGAGCATTTCCTTTCCTCTGTCCACTGCATCCAAACAAATAAATGGAACTGAATCACATTGTCTCCAAACCAACGAGATGATGACCAAGTTTTTCATTTGGTAAGTCATTTAAAGAATAACTTGAGTGTTGTTATACCTTTAACACCGGTCTTCCAAACTGTATTGGTGTACCTAAGACCAGAGACAATGTTGTTGTTAACTTGAAATGTGAATTTCAAGCTGTACTTGCTCCCTTCTTTCAGAGTAAACCACATGCCCTTTGGATTTCCATTCTCCGGAACCATAAGAACAATGTCGGGTCTTCCAGGAGATAAGATGGCGAGGCTAAGGATCCTCACTTCGGGGTCAAGAGTCTCTGTATATATAAGAGACAAATGCTATAAATATGCAAAATACTCGGAATATGCATATCCAAGCAAGGACATATAAACATAGATGATGAAATCCACACAAATTTCCAGAATCATGTGGCAAAGACTACGTGTGTTCAATCAGATCAGTTGAGGGTAACACAAACAAAACCAGATCCAGTCTGATCAAAAGATCAAACATGAATCACAGAGACAGCTCAACAACCATTATGATCTAACAAGAGTCGTAATTTCGCGCAATTCATTTTCCAAGAGTTTATAAAGTTGCCATTTTTACGAAACTGAAAAAGAATGAAAAAGTTACAGACCTCCAATGTTGGTGACATCAACACTTCCCAGGAGCTGTTCCTTCCACTTCCTCAGGCTCTCATCATCCTAGCGATAAGCAGAGATTCGGCAGAAACAAATCAGAATTCCTCATAAAATTTAATAATTAAAAAGAAAAAAAAAAGAAGAAGAAGAAGAAGAGAGAACCTTATCCTTCTCGAGATGCTCCTTGATAGTGTACTGAGGACCCAATTGTAATTTGGAATCGTCGTCTTCTTCTTCCTCGGTAGCGCAGAGAGAGGATTCGCTCATTTGTCTTCCCAAGGATCCAAGAGCCTCGTCGTCGGTGGAATCGTGATGATGAGACGAAACCGGTCTGGAGGTGTTATTACCTTCATCTCCTTCCTTGTTCTTGTCGTCGAAACCCATGTCCCTGGAACCCGATACAGCTCCAGATACCACAGACATCAATCAACCCCCAGACCCCTCAAGCCTTTGAGAATGTTTAGAAGAAAAATGTCTTTTTTGAGGGATCTAAAAATCGAAGAGCAAAAAAAAATGAGGGGTTGGGGAAAATTTTAGGGATTTTGGTTCTGGTAACGGGAAGGAGATGGAGTCATGTGGTGATCCGAGTTATAGGAGAGAGAATGAGAAAGAGAGGAAGAGAGAGAGAGAGAGAGAGAGAGAGAGAGAGAGAGAGAGAGATCGTGAGGATCACTAACGAGAATTTCGAGAAGCATAATTGTTTTCTTCCACGCGCAGAGGAGACGAGCCTCGAGCCACGACAAGCCAAATCTTACTATTTTCTTCTTCTCTAAATTTAAAAAAGAAATATTTACCCAATCTCACGGATATTTCATTGTTATTGCTAAATTAGTCCTCCGAGTTAGTCTAAATCCATATTGCAATTGCATTGATGACATTACCCGGTTTTATCCGGTTTGATATTGGAAACCCAGTGCATGCGATAAATGTAATGTTTCTGATGGAAATTACTACGTCGTTTTGGTTTGGGGGTTTTACATTTTATTATATTACATTGCACTTACAAGTTACAACAATACGTAACTTACAACAACAATACGTACGTATCTCAGCATACCCTAACATGTTTTCGCTAGTGGACAAACATTTATAAACAGTCTTGCTATCTCTTACTCTCAAATCATGCATGCAATAGTCGATGCCTTTTCATGATCAGATGATTATATGCAGTGGCAGAGCCATAAATTTTTTTTGTTGGGAGCAAATGGGAGTATATATGATACTATGGGTGGGAGTATTGATATTAAGATTTAATAACTTACAGCAATTTTTAAAATTCGTTGGGGGCGAAATACCCCATCTTATTCAATTTACCTCCGCTACTGATCATATGCTTGTTTGTTTGGACAATAAGTAAATATCACTTGGTCAGGCAACATAATCTATGTTATACATGACATATTATAGATATATATGTATAAATCCCATTAATTTCCCAAATTAGTCAACATATCATGCACCGTGTTAGTGTCCACACTGTAATCGTAATTCGTTTCAGAAAAAAAAACCAGGATAATAATTCATGCAGTAACTCATGAAGATGACTCAACTCGAATCATGAAAACGAAAAAAACATTAGGATTTAATTTGGACGAAGATTTATGTACAAATGGAAGTAGACTTTTGCCGCCCTAGTTTGAAAAATATATATGGTAGATATGATTTACGCTTCAAAAAAGAGGTATTGTTCGATTGTTTGGACATAAGACTTTTATTCTTTAACTTCTTAGTTATTGCAAAAAAAAAAACAATATATTTAGCTGAAGAGATTCCATTTTTTCAATCGGGTTTAGATTTTATACAGTACTTAAATCTACCGATGAACAAGAGAAATTGGCATTTTCAGTCGTTCACATTGATAGATCTAATTAATTTCGCCATCGTATTCAAAAATGTAAATATTTCCGACACCACGAAAATGCAGATCGACTTCACTTTTTATAAATGTTCAGATATTTTTTTATAAAGAAAATACATAAATAAGATGTTTAGATCTTACGACGAATAGAGCTTTCATTTTATCTTCAGACGATAGGGAATCTTTGCACATGGGTTTAATATTGAGATCGAGGATCACTATAGTTATCTATATTTATATACACATTTCTTTTTAGTGAAATTATATATGATTTGCGTGATTTTCGAAAGCCTCTTCATTATTATGATATTTCTATAAAATTCGCTTTTATCGTCCCTTGTTTTCTTCTTTCGAACTCCATAGATCTAACTTCTAAGAATATGTTACGAGATTCTTCTCCTTGGTAGTTTGGTGATCATATTAGATAACTTATACAAAAAAAAAATTCTATAAAAGGCATTGCCGGGATGAAAGTTGACACAAATTAAAAAGCGATAATACTGAATGGCGCAGTTAACTCCACATATATTACCGGGAACATTTACGGCTAGATTTACGAAATTATATATACATTTAATGAGAATAATTACATGAAAGAAGAACCCATTAATTAACCAGACACGAAGCAAGAACTTGGAAGGAGGCAAGAAGATGCAGCAACATATTTGACATATATATATTCTTCAAAAAAGCATATTTGACATTATGTATATGAAGATAAAAATGAAGAAATAAAAGAAATCATAAATCAAATGGTGTATTAAACCAAGATAATGTTCCAACATGAACAACAGTGTGAAACCAATTAGGCATACCATGGACAACAAGATCTTTAAATTTACCCAATTTTGGATCATATGCCACAAGAACCCTACTCTTATACTCCAACAAGATCTCTCCATTCTCCAACACACATAAAACACGAACCACTTTACCATTCTCAGCGTTCTTCCAAATCCACATGGGTCGGTCCAAATTCTGCTTTAGCCCCTTTGGCAAGTAAGTCCCAATGCTATACTCCTTTCCCCAAGATTCCTTCACACCATAACTCTTCATGACCCATATATCCAATTTCCCATAGTTTCCATAAACGACGGCGCAAAGACACCCTTTAAGATTCACTAGTCTATGGTTTGTCCGGTTTAGTCCACCGCAGTCCGGTTTAGGAATCTCTCTAAACTCTTCATCTTCAAGATCAAAAGACACAAACTTACGATCCGGCACGTGCCTGCGAGGCCGTGTCACAAAATGTAACCTCCCGTTGACCAAAGCCTCCGAAGGACGTTTCACAAACTTATAAGGAGCTTTCCCTAGGCTCCTCCAAGACAAAGACTGATCTGTACTTCTTGATGACAAGGTTAAGACCTGAACCTCCGATTGCTTGTATTGGATTCTACCACGACCTCTGTAACTAGTGCTACTGCCTCTGAAGTAAACTATCTTCAAAACTTTGTATTCCTTAGTCTTTTGATGGAATCCGAAGCCGAATACGAGTTCTTGGTCATGGTACTTGTTAGAACATTCGGGAAGCTCTAAGGAGTTGGTAGTGAAAGGATTGTAGAGGTAGAGTGAATCGTTGTAGAGAGAATCAGATAAACAGAGCAAACCGTTGCACGAGCCTACGACGTCGAACTCTGGCATGGAAGCTGCGAATCTTAGAGTGAATTTCTTGGTTTTGATGCGTTTCTCTTCTTCTGATAGGTCGAGGAAGTGAAGGCCGTTGCGTATTGGGAAATCGCAGTGAAGGAGAAGACAAGGTCTTATAGGGGAAGAAGAAGAAGACACACGACCTTGTTGATCAGTCAAAATGGATCTCCAAGATCTGCAAACGAACTTAAGGCGAGCTAAGGAGGAGATGGGAAGGCGAGAAAATATGTCGGTGAGAATATCTCCGGGAAGAGATTCTAGTAGCCCTCCACCGTCGTCGTCATCGGTGATTTTTCTCTTCTTAGAACTGTTCTCTGAAGCCATGGCCATGGATGGTGAAGAGAAACGGAAACAAGAGTTTGATCTTGAGATGGAGAGAGAGAAGAAGAAGAAGATGATGAAGATGATGGAGGAAAAAAAGGAGGGTACGTTGAATAGGCATCACAAAAAATTATAATTCTCTCGTGGAAAAGTTTATTATCTAAATTTTAATTTTTATAAAAATTGAGTTGGAACAAAGAAAGATGATGATTGGAGAGATCTAGACCGTAGGATGAGAATGGAGTTGCGGATTGTCAAAAGAGAATAAAGAAAACGGGGAAGGAAACAAAAGGGAGGGGAAAGTGTGATGATGACAGAGCAACACTTTATTTTTATAAAATAGTTTTTCTTTAAAGACTTTAATAATAAGAACAAAAAAAAGAAGTAGCCAACTCATGCAAAAGTCCTCTCTTTCCTTTTACTTTTTATTATCTAAGGTTTTTAAAAATCGAACAGTAAATCTCACCCTTTCGATTGTATTTTCAAATTTCCTTTTTTTTTTTAAACAATTGTGATAGCCCTCAAATTTCCATTTTCGTGCTTTCTTAATTGTTGAAAGGAAAAATAAAATAAAGTATTTAATTTCTAATTGGCGTTGGAGAGTTATTTTGTGATGAAGATCATATTAGACTTTTTTTTGAGAAAAAGATCATATTAGACTTTTCTTTTTGAACCAATATAATAAGACTTCTTCCGTTCTTCGTCGATATTACATATGTTAATGGGCGAGATAAGCATTTAATTCAAATCCAATTTAGTTGAGACTTAAATATTAAAGTAACTCTATTTGTTTTGCTGGGTTTCGGTCATAATTAGCGTGTAAACATAACTCATATGAAGAGTTAGGATAAAAAATAAAGAAGTTCTTAAGAGAGTTTCTAATTATAGTTTCGTTTCTATATTAATTTTTATTTGAAATCTATAGATTTGAATTCGAAATGTTCCGCGACGACCTAAAATTTAAAACCACTGTATCAAATACCCCTTACTAAAGGTTACTGATCATTTGGTTTTCTTCTGGTCGAACTAAACCAAGGGTTACTCTAAAACAAGTTTATTTTAACTCATAGTTTAGAATTTCAACTTGGAAAATCTCATGAAAATATGAGTTAATTTATCTTGCCTCTGTTTCATCATAAATCTAGTGCGAAACTGTTGAATTTTAAGTTTTCATTAGAGCTTCATGAATAGTACATATTATTTTCGAAGAGTTCATTAAATAGTAGTAATTAAAGGGCTTGTAATAATAGATAGGTATAAAAAGAGGTAAGTAGAAAAGAAAATGGTGGGTGGGGGCAGTTGTGCCGTGTGTGTTCTTCAAAGGCTAAAAAGTAAGAGGTGCACAAGTTCTCCACCACTTTGGTTTTTCCCAAACACTTAATACGCATTATTTTTGTTTGTAGGCTGTAATTATATGATTTAGCATCGGAGAATAGACATTTGTAGGTCCATCTCTATATTTCAAAATTTTAAATTTAAGCAATTTTAAGACAAGATGTCAATTCTTAATTGTGTTGACTTTGACACGAGCTTTTAATTATTTTGTTTCTTACAAGAATCGAATTCGCCATCATCAGTTACGTGATTGGCCTGTATTATTCTTTAAGGTGCATCTCAACCTATGGTTCGATATATGGAGAATTCCAGAAGAGTGGTCCGAACATGTCATACACGTGTGGGTGTATTAATGTGAGACTATAATGGGTGCGATAAGATTTTTGCTTCGTAAAAATTTGAATGATAATTTGTTTTACTTTTTAGTTTTCAACAGTATTTTGCAGACATCTTCATTTACAATTGCTACTTTTTTCTACTACATTTATTTATCGTCCTAACCATAATCATCAACGCCAATTGCTGCACTTAAGATTTACGTTGCTTACGAGATTCTCCAGAGCGTTTTTCAATGATCCGGTGATAGTGCACTACTTATTTGGGAGAAGCAATGTTGCTGTTTTTTTTGGTCACCTCTTTCTTCAAGGGATAGTATCGCATGGCTCAGACTATCAACTCCACCTTCGCTGTTTGAATGCGGAAAATCAAGATTCAGGAGTTTTGAATGTTTGATATGATGAGTCAGAAAATGTCTTTATGGAAAGAAAAAAAAAACTATAACTTGGATGGATACCTTTGCAAAATCAACTGACAATGTAGACTCATAAGCATCCTTTTTTGTATCACGAAAAATCATAAGACAAAACTGTTTCATAACATAAAAGTATATAAGAGAAAAACATGTTTAAGAGGATCTCTTCAGTTGTCGTGCGCTTTAAGGAAGGAAAACAAGCACAAAAAAAATTATACAATCTCTTACTATACTTTTGTATCAAGCATAAATTTGGTGATACGACAAAAACATAAATTTCCTATCTACATACAAGATTTTAACATTTCATTTTTTGCCATTTTTGTTACGCAGCGAAGAAACCCTCAGAAGTTGCCAAACATCTACAGCAATGGTTCCTCAAAAACCTCCATGAGAAATTCCCAGGAGGGAGCCCCAATTTCTCACCGTTCCAGATTACTAAAACTTTCATCACTGGGAATCTTGATTCAGTTTCAAAAACATATCAGACCTAACGTCTCTAATCAGTTGATCATTACGTAAAGAAAAGAAGAAGAGAACCATAACTGATCTTCAAATATATCCAGTGAAACTGAGCACCCCGTTTTAATGTCCCATTTCTTAGCTCAAATATTTGAATGACATAGCTAGGCTTGGTTGAAAACCCGGGATCAAACCTACCAATGCTATCTAAGACGTAAATAAAGGAGAGAGACTGGTTTTGGTTACCATCATATGTAAAAAGGCTTCAACAAGTCTTATGGAGCGAACGAAAGAGACGATGCTTCCTCCTCTTTGAGTGTCTTCCCGGACCCTTCTTCATCACATATGGAACGAATGTCACCTGTATTCATGGATGATCAATCAAAAAACACAGAGCTTTTTATTTCAAATGGTTGTATGATCATATAGTAACAATAACAGAGCTCTTATTTGAGATGAAATGGGATAATATTAGAGGTAAACCTGAGAGTTGTTTCGGATTCCGACATCCTGAAGAACAGTATCGTCGTCAAGCAACTTCTCATTATTGTACGAAAGGCAGAAGTTTGACCATACATGCTTCCTACATAATCCCAACAACTCCTATAATAACAAGTATTCTAAATTCCGAGAAAAAAAAAGGAATACAAGGAAAGGTAAAAAAGAGGCTATACCAAGATATATGACGATGACCCATGTTTGCTTGCTCCATCTCAGTAACTTTCTTCTTGATCAAAAGCTTCAGATCCTTCAAAGTAGCTGAATTCATGACCGCAACATCTGCCAAGAGAAAGGAACAAGAAAACCATGAAACTCTACAATGCACACCACTTGTTCGACAAAATGCATCTATGAGATTACAAAAGCATACCCAGGGAGTAGCCGTCGAGCTTGACGATGGAGAGACGCATAGCGCTTCCCTTCTCAAGGCTGACAAGAGTGACGACATCCGAAAGAGTAGGGTTCCTTGGAACGTCTGCGAGAATTGGATCCGCAAGTAGCTGAGAGAGAACTGATTTCAGCTTTTCTCTCTTCATCTCAACGTCGTAATCTCCGATTGCGACACTATCGCCGCCGCTATCCATTTTTCCCTCTCTTTTTTTCTTTTAGGGTTTCGCACCAAAAAAAAAGGAAATGATAATTTTGATAATTGTTCATCTCACACCAAGCCCATTAACCACTCTTCACGTTTGGGCCCAAATGAGTTAATTCATATATTTCTTTTTTTTTTTTGGGTATACAATTCATATTCCTTTTGTTCAATATCTAGAAACAAATTCCGTTGCCGGGAATCCAAATATGAACTAGAATTGAATACAAACACAAAATGTTTACCTTGAAATGGAACAAACTATGTTTATAATATATTTTATTGGTTCAATTGATTTGAAATATAAATAATCCTTTTATTTTTTGGCTAAACGTTCAAAGTTTAATTTAGTGTAACCAAAAAAGAATGAACCAACACTTATAAAATTATACATAAAAAGATGTATGTATATATAGAAAACGCACCAAGTCAAAGGATCATGCATGATTTTCTCGCTATACCTCAAACATAATCATTCCTCAGAACTATTTTTAGGTAGATATGAGTTTGTGGTTCTCAACTCCTTCTGCTCCTCTATAAAACGAACTCTCGAGTCATCACACCAAAGCAGAAAAAAAAAAGAAAAAAAAACCTAAAAAAAAGAAAAAGAAAAAGAAGAAGGTAATAAAAAAAAAGTAGAAAATCAATAAATTTGAAAGATAATAAAAAAAAAAAAAAATGGTGGATTTGCGCAAAGCAAAGACGGTGTTTATTGGAGTACTAGTGTTTGTGGCCATCACAACAGCAAACGGGGCTAAATTTTTGAGAGAAACCGATGATGATGATACACCTTCTGCAGCTGCACCACTTGGCCAAAAAATAACAGAAAAAGTCAAAGAAACGGGTGCTAAAGTCAAAGAAACGGCAGCTCCGATCGGTGCTAAGGTCAAAGAAACGGCGGCTCCGATCGGTGCAGAGGTCAAAGAAACGGCAGCTCCGATCGGTGCCAAAGTAAAAGAAACGGCAGCACCAATCGGTGCTAAAGTAGCAGCAGGATTCAAAGGAATGACAGGAAGCAATGGACCAGCAGCTGCACCACTTGGTGCTAGAATAGCAGAAGGATTCAAAGGAAGCATTGCACCAATTGGAGCTAAACTAGGATTCAAAGGAAGCGGAGCATCAATTGATGTTAAAGCATCAGGAGCTAAAGCAGATGGCAAAACCGATGACAGTGGGGTACGTACCAGCTGTTAAACCTTATATTAATTGTCTACACGTGGCGTGTATTGATCATTGATATATGTATGTTTAGGCATTTGCGGCTGCATGGAAAGAAGCGTGTGCATCAGCATCACCGAGCACGATTTTAGTACCAAAGGGTGAGTATTTGGTGAATAACATAGAGTTCAAAGGTCCATGCAAAGGACCAATCACTTTCGAAGTGAATGGTAATCTAAAGGCTCCACCTAACTGGCTTGGTGGTGGTAAACCTCACTGCGGATGGCTTGAGTTCGAAAAGCTCACTGATTTCACTATAAATGGAAACGGAGCCATTTTTGACGGTCAAGGCGCCATCGCTTGGAAGGTCAATGACTGCGCTAAAACTGGCAAATGCAACACTCTCCCCATCGTAAGCATTTTAACTATCATTTACATCATATATATATATAAGCGTGTTTTTTAAAAAAAAAAATTATTTGAATATATATAATTTTACTAACTCGGTAAGTATATATATACAATATGGATTTTGATAACAGAATATCCGATTCACGGGCCTCACAAACTCGAAGATTATCGGTATAACATCAACAAACAGCAAACTTTTCCACATGAACATCATAGACTGCAAGAACGTAACATTTCAGAATATTGGTATTGATGCACCTCCGGAGAGTCTCAACACTGATGGTATCCACATCGGAAGGTCAAATGGCGTCATCTTAAGAGAATCAAAGATTAGAACCGGAGATGACTGCATTTCAATAGGAGATGGTACTGAGAATCTCCTTGTTGAAAACGTAGAATGTGGACCAGGACACGGCATTGCCATCGGCAGTCTTGGAAAGTACCCTAATGAGCAACCAGTAAGAGGAGTCACCATAAGGAAAACCCTCATCAAAAACACCGATAATGGTGTTCGCATCAAGACGTGGCCCGGATCTCCCCCTGGAATCGCCTCCAACATTCTTTTCGATGATATCACAATGGACAATGTTAGCACTCCCATTCTCGTCGACCAAGTGTATTGCCCCCATGGCACATGCAAAAGTCAGGTATATATATATGTAACTCAATCAAATCTTTACTATCTATAGGAGTTATACATATACTTTGGTATTATGTATGTTTGGTAAAACTTTTAATTAAGTGTTTCTTGAATTAATATATATGTGCAGGCACCATCCAAAGTGAAGTTGTCGGACGTGTCATTTAAGAACATTAGGGGCACATCAGCGTCAAAGGTGGCTGTGAAGCTACTGTGCAGTCCAGGCGTACCGTGCACTAATTTTGCCTTCGCTGACATTAACTTGGTCCACAACGGTAAAGAGGGACCAGCTGTGTCGGCATGTTCTAATGTAAAGCCTGTTGTCAGCGGAAAGATGGTTCCACCAGCTTGCACTGAAGTCGCTAAACCAGGTCCTTGAACGTTGCCAGTCCAACCATGCATCCATCCAATCTGGCCGTGAAGACGCTTTGATTTTGGTGCGATGAAAGTTTTGAAATAACTTTTTATTTTTGTTGAGGTTTTTTTTGTCTCTTACGGATAAATGATATGGATATCTATAGATAATAGTCCCTTCAAGCTTGTACTTTATTAGCTGAAGAGTGACTCGTGATTGGATAGTAATATATTTTTGTGTGATTCGCAAATTGCAAGTTTTTACACTTTTATATAATAAATAATAGTATCATTGAAATTTAAAGGGTATGCTTTTTTTTATATTTCATATAAATTCAAATACAGTATCTATATTGTACACTATTTGACATTCATGTTAGTCTCCATTGCTCACCAGTTTCTGTTCCACATTCTGCCATCACCAACAATTTCGCTTTTCTCTCTGTATTATTAATTAGCTATATTCATCACCTTAAAACCTTTAATTAGTAACGGCTTCCCTCCTCCTTACTTGGGCTCAACCGATTATCATCGTACATTTCACCTTATGAATCACCATATATGAAAAATTGAAACTATATGAAGAAAATGAAACGATCTCTTCCGCTAACAGATAATTAGGCTTAGACCAGCTCCAACGCTGAGTAAATTGGGGGTTCATCGATAGTAATATTGGGCATTTTTTGATTTAAAATAAAGAATAAAAGCCCAATATTGAAAGCAGCGGTGCTTCCTGATGGACTTAAAGCAGCGGTTCAGGAAGGGGTTCATCGGCCACGTGTGAAGTTTTTATTAGTTGAAGCAGAAAAAAGAGAGAAAATAAAGTTAAGTGGTATCGGATTTTTTTTTTCTGGAAAAAATATGTTTGACAGAAATTTGGACATTTGGTTTAATGTTTTTTTTTGTGTTTTAATTATATGTAATGAATAAGTTTGTTTAATCTTTTTCTCATGTATTTTTAATTATATGTAATGAACAATTTATTTGAAATTATAATAAATTAAATGTTTAAAATTGATTTTCAGAAAAAAAAAAATTTGAAAAAAAAAATTACTATAATAATTCAAAAAACTCCTTGAAGGGGTTCAGGGTTGGACACCAATTTTTCCATAGAGTTCATCGAAAAAAATTTTCTCAAAAAAATTAATAAAAAAATTGATAAAGCCTTCAATGGGGTTCAAGGTTGGAGATGGTCTTATGGCTTCTGACACCGCTAGTAAAACACTAATACACCATCAAAAGACTGATCTAAAATCACATTTTTATAGTGAAGCTGTTAGGTATATGGCATATCTTTATCTTTCTTCTTATATTTAGACTACAATCTTTTCACTATCATCTTGTCACTTGAGAAAAATTGTTACGTCATCATATATAGTTAGAGTACTTACTTTCAAAGAGCTGTAAATGATTCAAAGACACAAAAAGTACACCAAAATTAAAGTTCGGTTCGGTTGAATTAGGATATTCAAATTTCGGTTTAGTTTAGGTAAAAAAAAAAAAATGTCAATGCCGAATCTGGAGAGAAGTCCTTTACAGGTTCTAATCCCCAACACGATTGCGTAAGAACAATAGAAGCTATACACTACGCACCTCTAAGTACTATAAATTAAACATGCATTCGATAAAGGCATGCTGTTGTCTACACAACGACACGCGCGCTCTACATAGACCGATCACCGATAGGATTCAAACTTCACGCATCACAATTTTAAATTGAGCTAAAGTTCAGACGCTAAGAGCATGATTAGAGAAATCCACATGAGTTTCTACTTGATTATTATAGTGATAAAGTTGAGGGTAGAAACTCAGCAAAAAACCTAAACTTTTTTGATGTATATTGGAGAAACTCAATCTCCACCGAAAATCAAACCATAAAATCTATACACAAATCAATTTACAATTGGAAAATTTCATTTCTAAAACAGAGAAATTTAGATTTGGAATCGAAATTACCTTTTGATCAGGAAAGGATTCTGAGAAGTCGAAGAAGTCGAAATCATCTTCTGAATTTCTCATGAAACCATCTAAGCAGAATCTCTGCCGATGATGCGATTGGACGATTGGACGACATGCAGACGGCGGTGATGCAAGTTCTCTGCCGGAGACTTCGAAGATTTTGACTAAACCCAAAAATCAGCCATCGGAGAAGTCGAGTTCTCTCTATTGAAGAAGTTGAAGAATTTTTTTTTTCAACGAGGGAGAGAATGATTGCAAAGAAAAACATTTCCATGCCAAAAAAATGTCCCTTTTGTGAGAACCAATAACAGTATGCCACGTAAGCAGAAGAAACTGATCCTTCTAATCCTTAAAGAAGAAACGATCCTACTTTTTTTACCCACTTTTTCCATTAAAAAAAGCCCATTTAATCACAAGAAATCCAACAGAAACGATTGATAAATATGGTCTAACATGATTTTCGCATCGATTTCATCACCTTATTTTATATTTTAAAAAGTAAAATTTACTTATCACAATATACCATATTTATAATACAACCGTAAATATTTGTATTTGAGTTGCGTTTAGTAATTATGCCTTTTTACTTTACTGTAATACAAACGTAAATATATAGGTGTATTTGAGTTGCGTTTACCAATCAAAATACCATTATATTTTTGAAAATGAATATTTCAACTTTTCGGAGTTAAATAAACATTTCCTACAAATTATAAACACAAATAACTTCCTTTTTGTTTGCATCTAGAATCTGTATTTACAATTTATAAAAGAGTTTTGATAAGAGTATAGTGGTTAATTTCAGTAAAAAATGCACACTATTCCAACATGAAAACATGTAAACCTAAGCGTAAACAATTGTTTTGTTCGAATAGGGTTCACTTTTTCCGAGTGTATATCAGTATATGATATCATATTTCAGCTAATTAATTTCTTATTTTAAAAACTTGTTTAGATAGAGTACTATATTTATAAGAATGCTATTTTTCGGGGGATTAAATACGAACATGACTAGAACAAGTCTTTTGTTCAATAAACGCTAGTTTCTCCTCTCTTTTTGGGGTCAATACGCTAGTTTCTCCTTAAAATGAGATCAAATAACCTAAAAAACGAGACGTTGAGAGAAAACGGTGCTTCAACATCTCTCTATTCAAGGCACTATATAAAGAAGCAGATGCTTCGTTAAAATCTCAAAAAACCAAAAAATAAATAAAATAAATAAATAAAAAATAAAATAAAATAATAAAAAATAAAATAAAATAAAGAATGGGTTCCTATTTCGGAATATCTACTATTTTGGTTCTATGTTTGCTGGGATATTCAGCCAATGCCGAGGTGTTCAGGGTTCCTGGTGCTCCAGGTTCTGATATCACTCAGGTCAGTTGTATACAATGCTTTTCATTTCTTGCACCCCAAGCAACCTATAAACCATTACATTTTGGGCTTACTTACGTGCTCGATCGGTTGGGTTTGATCAATGCAGGCACTTCTAAAAGCATTCACATCGGCATGCCAAGCTCCGGCACCGAGCCAGGTGTTGATCCCAAAAGGTGAGTACAAGCTTGGCGAGATCGCGATGACAGGTCCATGCAAATCTCCAGTCGAGATCACACTGCAAGGCACTGTCAAAGCTGACGGTAATATGCAAGGAAAGGAGAGATGGGTCGTCTTCGAAAAAATTAATGGGTTTAAGTTGAACGGAGGTGGAATATTTGACGGTGAAGGCAATGCAGCTTGGAGGACCAATAACTGCCACAAGACTTTCGAGTGCAAGAAACTTCCCATCGTAGGTGTTTCTGTCTTTATTATAGCCAAACCTACTTTTTTGAGATTTCTCTAAATATTAATTACTACCAATTGTGCATGTTTTGTATGATCATTGATTGCGCATTTGTATTATGTTGTTGTTGTTGTTGTTGCAGAGTTTACGGTTTGATTTCGTGGATAACGCTGACATAAGAGACATAACCTCAATGGATTCAAAGAACTTCCACATAAACGTTATCAGTGGCAAGAACATGACATTTGATAACATCAAGATCAGCGCTCCAGCAGAAAGCCCCAACACTGACGGTATCCATTTGGGAAGATGTGACGGAGTCAAGATCCTCAACTCTAAGATCGCCACCGGAGATGACTGCATCTCGGTCGGAGACGGTATGAAGAATCTTCTCGTGGAGAAAGTCGTGTGTGGTCCTGGACACGGAATCAGTGTTGGAAGCCTTGGAAGGTACGGCTTTGAAGAAGATGTCGCAGGCGTTAGGGTTGTGAACTGCACCCTAGTGGGTACTGACAATGGTCTCAGGATCAAGACATGGCCATCTGCTAAATGCACCACCACAGCCTCCGGTATTCATTTCGAGGATATCATCCTTCAAAACGTTAGCAACCCAATCCTCATCGACCAGGAGTACTGCCCTTGGAACCAATGCAACAAGCAGGTATAACCTATCTTTCATATCTTGTTCTTGAATCTTGAGGAGGATATATTCACCATGTTAATTGGTAGATGAATCTGATTCCCAAATGTGTGTTTTTTTTTTGGTAATTTGCAGAAACCATCAACGATTAAGCTGGTGGACATAAGCTTCAGGAAGATTAGAGGAACATCAGGAAACAAAGACGCAGTGAAGCTATTGTGCAGCAAGGGGATTCCATGTGAGAACGTTGAGATTGGAGACATTAACATTGAGTACAAAGGAGCCGATGGTCCACCCACTTTCCAGTGCTCTAACGTCAACCCTAAGCTTGTCGGTACCCAGGTCCCTAAGGCTTGTAGCGGTGGATCTGCCGTCATGGCACCTGGCTCCTCCTCCTAAGTATAATGTAGGGCCTTCATATCCAATTTTGTTTCCCATTCTTTTAAACTTTTTTCTTGAAAGTCACATAAAGGAGACTTTTGAAAAAAACTGTAAAAAAAAAAAAGTTTCTTTTTGATGCCAACACATGTATTTAGATGTGTGCGTGCATACTGATGTAATAAAACTAAAAGATTTATATAATATCTTTTCTGCATACAAGTCGATCTCTTTTTAAATTCTTGATTGGGAACATATATCTAAATAATTGGTAATAAATAAATTATGTTATGTATTTTATATATTACTTGAAACTACAATTTACTCATAAATGATATTCATCGATCTTGCTAGCCCCTCAAGATAATTTAGCTATTCTAACCATTCATCTCGATAAGATTCCACTATCGAATTTCTCTTAGTTTAATTAGATCAACTAAGGCTGGTCCGTGTTTATTCAAGTTGAATAATAATCTTTTTTGGATTGGATTGGTTTTGGTTCACGTTGAAGCACTCATAAATTTTATACTGATGTTGCTAATTTTAATAAGGTATTTCATGTTAAAAACAAAACTTGATTGAAAGTTACAACAAAACTCAAGTTTCGCATGCTTTGAGACCCGCGTGTTGTTGGAACATTCCTTTATTCAGTTTACTCTGAGACAACCAACTATAAAGACAGAATGCCCCCGAAAAAACCGTTTCAAAGATCGAGCATAGGACGTCCCGGTAAAGGCTGACTAAATGACAAAATTGCCGTTGATAGATTACTCGGTTTTTTTTATATAAAAAAAAAGACAACCTTAAATTGGGATTTGGGAGCATCACTCAAAATCTAGCAACTATGTTGTACTTTCGATGGATCCCTTGAAACACATCACACCTGGCACATGCATGTGTGGGTTTAAATGGGAAAAATAAATCAATTAAGTGGTATTATTGTGTGCGTCAGTGCTTGAGGCCTTGAGCTTAATATCTCAACATGCTTCGATATCACTTAAATCAACGGCAAACATCAACGAGTACCATTTTGCATGTACATGAATGTTTGTGCATGCCCTAAACTATTAACCTGACCATATTTTGTATGATACCTGGTCGTTTATAATTTTATTTTATTAGTCAATTTGATTGAGTTAGTCAAACAGTAACTAAAGTTGATTTATAATCTTTAGCCAAAATAGAAAGTTGGTTTGTCATAAGTCAACAAAACATAATTTTTGCTACATAACTTTCTAAAACAGATTCAATTTTATTTTTTTTTTTAAAAATATATATTCAAAAATTAGCTTAATCTTGTAGAACAGCGTTCTCAATTGTGTTACATGAAAAGTTATTAAAACTTTCATTTACAGTTCATAAAAACTTAAAATTTTCATTTATAGTTCATAAATAGTTTTGTGACATTTTTACATATAATATTTTTGAATAAAGCAACATCTAAAATTACAATATATTAAAAAGCAAAAATTTCTTGTTTTCTGTATTAGATACTTTTTAGTTTTACAAATACAAAATTAGACATCAGACTTGAGACTTCCTAAAACAGGGGTCAAACAACCTAAAAAAAAACGAGAGGTGGTGAGAAAAATTAGTCTTGAACATCTCTCCACCCAACCCACTATATAAATGTAAACTTGAGCTTAATCAAATCACAGAGAACAAATCAACGTTGAATAGTAAAATAGTAATATTAGTAGTAATTAAATAAACAATAATGGGTGCACATTTTGCAGTTTCTACAATTCTCGTTCTCTGTTTGTTGGGAATTTCAGCCAATGCTGAGGTATTCACCATTGGTTCTTCATCGGGTTCTGATATTACTCAGGTCAGTGCTATTGCTTTTCCTTTTCTTGTTCCTCAAGAAACCTACAAACCATATATTTTTGGCTTAGTCGTTATAATTAGGGTTGATATGATATGTGCAGGCACTTTTGAAAGCATTCACATCGGCATGCCAATCTACGTCACCAAGCAAAGTGGTGATCCCAAAAGGAGAGTTCAAGCTTGGTGAGATCGAGATGAGGGGTCCATGCAAGGCTCCAGTCGAGATCACCCTTCAAGGCACTGTCAAAGCTGACGGTAACACCAACCACGGAAAGGACAAATGGGTCGTCTTTGGCAACATCAATGGGTTCAAGTTGAACGGAGGTGGAGCCTTCGACGGTGAAGGAAACGCAGCTTGGAGGGTCAACAACTGCCACAAGACTTTCGAGTGCAAGAAACTTCCCATCGTATGTTTCTTTAAAACTGCCTTTGATGAGATTTTTAATATCACTTATACCAAGTTTTGTAGTTGGCCTTAGCGCCAACACTGATCATGTTTATCTGCTTTATTTGTGCAGAGTGTAAGGTTTGATTTCGTGGAGAACGCTGAGATCAAAGACATATCCTCGATCGATGCCAAGAACTTCCACATAAACGTGCTCGGAGCCAAGAACATGACCATGGATAACATCAAGATCACCGCTCCAGAAGACAGTCCCAACACAGACGGGATCCATTTGGGAAGAAGTGACGGAGTCAAGATCCTTAACTCCTTCATCTCCACCGGAGACGACTGCATCTCTGTCGGAGACGGCATGAAGAACCTTCACGTGGAGAAAGTCGTGTGCGGTCCAGGACACGGAATCAGTGTCGGAAGCCTTGGAAGGTACGGACACGAGGAAGATGTGAGCGGCATTAGAGTCGTGAACTGCACCCTCCAAGAGACTGACAATGGTTTGAGGATCAAGACATGGCCATCTGCTGCTTGCTCCACCACAGCCTCCGATATTCATTTTGAGGATATCATTGTCAAGAACGTTAGCAACCCAATCCTCATCGACCAAGAGTACTGCCCTTGGAACCAATGCAACAAGCAGAAAGCATCAACGATCAAGCTGGTGAACATAAGCTTCAAGAACATCAGAGGAACATCAGGGAACAAGGATGCAGTGAAGCTGTTGTGCAGCAAGGGATATCCTTGCCAGAAGGTGGAGATTGGAGACATTGATATCGCGTACAGTGGAGCGGATGGTCCAGCCACTTTCCAGTGCTCAAACGTTAGTCCACAACTCTTGGGATCTCAGAGCCCTAAAGCTTGCAGCGGTCCCGTGACCACCACACCCCAACAATGAAGTAGAAGCTCTCAACACTATTAAGCGCACCCATTCAATATTGTTTGTTTTCCAATACACAAGTTAACTATGGTCTATGATGTATGCTCGCATTCTATCTAATTCCACAATGGATGCATCCATTATGCCCTTTTTGACCCTTTAAATAATATTCATTTATTCATTTATTTCATTTGCCTCACTATATTATATAGAGTTTTACGGCAACGAAGGACATCTTAAATCTTTTATACGCATTATTTCATTTAACTAATCAGTAAAGAAAAATGTGATCATTTCATTGGTATCGAGATTTACGTTATAAGCCTTAAAAAAAAAAAGGCCATACAATTTTTGAGGGATATCCAATATTTTCAACACCGTTAGTGGTGGCTTGGCTCCTAAGTTTCTTCTTTTATTTTTTTTGGGAAGGTCCCGCTCTAAAACTTAGAAATTAATCTGCCGGACTTAATACTTTTGTCACTTAGGCCGTCATGTTGGCCAGTCATGATTGAAACAAAAAAACTTGATTCGAATCTAATCTAACATGGTCAATGCTTCAGATCACCATAAATTGGTTGCTCCTAATGAAAAATCATTGATATGAGTTTTTAATTTGCACAACATGATGTAGCTTTGTATAGTTACAACAGTGAAATTTAAAATTTCTAAACGCCGAAAAATCTTTTCTAGCAAAATGTTTCATTATTCGCCTCTTTCATCAGATTAATTAGTTCGTCCAAGACGTCGTTTAGATATTGAAACTAGGTAGTCTATTCGATGTTCTATGCGAAGACTTGCACCCATTTATGTTGCTCTAGGATTCCAACAATCCAAATTCACAAATCATGTTTGAGTTACGAAATTGTGAGGAGGATAAATAAAAATTGGTATATCATAAGTCAAATAATCAGTATGGATTCATAGTAATAGGGAAAAGACAATTGCTAAGAAAACGATGTTAAATTCTTCTTGATTAAAACATATGGACAGCCAGAGCGATCAAGGAATGTTAGTCAGTCATTGCAGTATTAAAGAATAGCACAAGAGATAAATCAATAAAACATAAAAATAGTTTCTATAAAAATAGAAGTACATCAACAGAAACGAGTTTGGTTGCGTTCGCATAAGACATACAAACAGCCTGAGAACAAAATAATCTCATAGTGATAAAAAGACTTATTCTCGAAAGCCCTACATGGCTAAATACTCTTTTCCATATCTCACACTATCGAAAACAAAAACATTAAAAACGACAAAACAAAAGAAACATAGCCTCTAGTACAATCTGCCTCAAAACACAAACCTTAACCATAACCACATGAAGAAGAAGAAGAAAAAGAAGAAGAACCATTACATGACAATAAAGAAAACTGAGAGGAAGAAGAATCATCTTTTTTTTTGGGTTTTTGTTTTGAACTCTTCTTATGTATTACCGCCTCGCCGGAGACTGATACAGTTTCTTCTGTCCCTCATTTAAAGGAAAACCAAAAAAAAAACAAAAATAGGGAAAAGAAAGCAGAAAAAAAAAGCCTAGGAGGAGCAATGAATTTAGAAAACCAAACCATGACAGAAAAATCTGTGGGATTTTCTGGTTAGCTCTAGCTGATGATATGATCAAGTTTCGTCCTCATGGGCTTTGTATGAAGGAGAAGATAATCTAAAAGATTCGCCAACAGACACAGATCGTTCACCGTGATGGCTCGCCTACAATATCGTGGTAAAACAAAAACGATTGTACTAAGTAGCAATTCCTGCAACACAAAGCGAAAAAAAGGGGAAACTAATTCAGAGATGAAAAAGAAGGGTGATAGGAAACCAGTAATGCAACGGGTTTCGTCATCACAAGTTTCTTAGACCTCTCAGAGACTCTGGTTTGGGAAATGCATAAGATTTAGCTACTTTCCTAGAGCGCATATCTAACACGGAAATAAACTTTCATCCTGATGAACTAGAAACTAGTAAGGACGCAGCATTATGAATGCAAGCAAGTTTCTCTTTCTGAGGAAAAGCCAATTCACTATTAGTTCAACACCCTAAAGAATGGTTTGTTTATTCCCGAAAGAAGAAGAGGATAATCAAGTCAAAGTGTGATTTGGAAACTATCTAGGATTTCTATTCCCTTACTTATCAATTAATTCATGGCATTCTTTAGTTATTGAATCACGTTTTAAAGAAAAGATTACTCAAATTACCTCTGTTTGATTGCCTCTTGTTCACACTGTAACTGCCAACATAACCTGGAGACGCACTTCTAGCTGAAACATCCGAAGAAGGACCTCCTCCTCCAATCCCATAGCTAAAAGCAGCAGGCCCTTCTGTCTCAGGAGTTGGTGATCTCCATGTGGGATCACTATAGACTGCACCATTCCCGTAAAACTCTCCAAGTCCTGCTGCATCGTAACCCGTGTTGTTAGCTGCCGAGGCAGAAGAGAATGAAGATGATGGTGCTGCCTTGCTAACCCCTATGTTTCTTGCTGCATAACCACCTGTCCCCAACCCAAAACCAGACTCACCGTTTCCTCCATAACCAAACTTCACATTCTCGTTACCAACAGCATTGTTTCCTCCTCCAGGGGCGCCCCAATTGACTCCCAAATTTCCAAATGGACTGCTAAGTGTGTTGTTCCCACTTGTTGATCCTCCCATGTATGTATTGGAATTCGAGTTTGTAGTGTTGTTGTTATAGTTAAGACCCCCGTTGTTTCCCCATAGTTTCGGTGTAACCGAACTAAAGAAGGATGAGTTTCCTCCTCCATTGCCTCCTTCATAACCAACCGCAGGACCAAACCGGTTTGTGTTACCAATGTAGTATGGGCTCATTCCTCGACCATAGTCAACGTTTCCATTGAAACTTGTACCTCCCGTGAACCCTGTGGGTAGGCCCTGTTCAAAGTTCACATTCATCCCATATCCAGAGCCAAAATTTGCAAAGCCACTTCTACCACCACCAACCGGACTGAAACGACCATCCATCCTAAGACCATAACCTCCAACTGCAGCGGGATTAAATCCTTGAGCATATCCATTAAGGAGGTTACTCACCCTATTAACTCCGTAGCTGTAACCAGCACCAAGCGGGCTGCGACTTGGACCTGGAGATAACTCCTTTGGAACAGCTCGCTTAACCTCAACCATTTTACCGTTTAGTTCATGGAATGTCTTGAGCAATACTTTCTCAACCGCCTCCTCGGAATCATAAGTTATGAATCCAAAACCTCTAGGCCTTTGTGTGTTGTGGTCATACATAACAACCACATCTGTAGTTGTCCCAAACTGCTCAAAATACGTCTTGAAATCACTCTCTGTAACCGAAGAAGGTAATCCTCCAACAAATATCTTCCTTGTGCGACCTGGACCGCCTGGTGATCCTTGGATGCTACTGCTGTTGCTTCTATTTACTATGTTCTGGTCATCTCTGGGAACAGCTTTCTTGGCTTCAACCTGCATGAGATCATCAAAATTTAAAACTAAGCTTATTTCTTCTCAAAAATCCAATCAAAGAAGGAAGGAAACGTCAATTCAATGCAATAATGTAAACTTTTAAATTGTTAATGGGAACGAAATGGTAACAAAATGTGGTTTTTGAAGGGTTAATTGCACAAAGAAGCTTCGAAAACAAGTTACATTGTAGAGAATGAAAGCCGACAAGAGTGCTAACATGAAGATACATACCAATCTCCCATCAATATTATGCTTTTCCGTAATAACGATCTCAGCAACAGCTGGATCAGCAAACACTACAAAACCGAAGCCACGGGCACGACCTGTGGTGCGATCTTTCAAGATCACAGCCTCGATCACTTCTCCAAAGCTGCTGAAATACTCCTTGAGACGTTCCTCATTGGTGTCCCAAGATATCCCGCCGATGAAAAGCTTTCCATTGTCCGATTGCATTTTGCTCTGCACACAACAGATTTGGCTTTTTCAGAAAATCGAAGAAAATTTTGGCAGATCAAAACATAAGCCAACAAGCAAGTTTTGCTTTGTTATGCGGACGATGAATCAGATTTCCATATCGATTCTAAGAATCTGATCAAACGTAAAATCAATTCAGAGCAACACACAGATTTCGATCGTATCTGGCAACGACCGAAAAAGGGCCACTCGGATTCAATCTAGGAACAACAGATCCTTCATCTACGGATTAAGGAGTACAAAATTAAGAGAATATGTCGGAGAGCTTTGATCGGATACAGAGGGCAAAAGGAAACGGCTATCCCAATCAAACATGAATCGAAATCTCAGATCAAAGAATCAAAACCAGATTTATCGAAAACCCACCAATCAGATTAAAACCCAGATGCCGAATCTCGTCGAGAAAACACTAAGATCTGAGGATAGGCACGATTTGAATAGAGGGCATAATTTTATCTGCTCCAGAAATGAAAGATTGAGAGAAAAACAAAACAGGAATACAAATTATTTGTTTTTGATTAATCCGATTCAATCCCTCAATTTCAATGGCTTCAATAAAAACATATTGAGCTCTAGATAGAGAGAGAAAGAGGGAGAGTTGTAGAGATAGAAAGACAAAGGCTTTTAGGATGCAAGAAGAAGATATGTCTGTATCTCTATGTATATATATGTGTAATTACATTACATTATAATGAAAGCTTTTGTTTTTACAAACCAAACTATGTGTGTATGTATGGAAATGTGGAGTTTCGTCTTTCCTTCAATTTATTACACGTAAATTTAACAAATATTACCAAAAAAAAAACTTATTGGAATATTTTGTTTCTACTCCATATATTTAAAAGAATAATCAAGATTAATTTAGGATGTTTATTCACATAAGTTATAATGTCAACATATATTTGTCTTTAAACTTGTGGTGCATCTCTTTTTCTAATCGTTGTTCCTCTATGTATTTTAAATTTTTTATTACCGCGATCAAATCGTGTTGACCGCGAAGATTGGACATTGATTTTATGATTGAAAAAGTACTTGAAACTATACTATGTATTGAAGCTTTAGATATGAAGGTGCAACTTGAAATTCGAAATTGGAAGAAGCAAGAAACATTATGTATTTAAGTGAAAGATGGAACACTTCAACTGGAGAAGGCTGCGAACATGCTCAACTTAGGGCCTAAAAAGCCCAAGTGTTTTGGGCTTACGGCCCACATTTAAAGAGAAACTGAATACGATTATTTTCAAACTTTAAAGGTCTTTTGTCTTTTTTTTTTTTAATACATAAAAAGTCGGTTTTAGTGTTTCCGCTTTATGAAAAGAGAGTAAAGTTCCCTCTAAAAAATGTTTTCCCTCCAAAATGTCAAATATTTCAAACTCCAATCTTTGACAAATCTTCTCCTACAATTTTCTTCCTTCTTCAACCTCTGGATCACTGTTATATATATCATCGACAAGTTATTTACCATCGCCACCTAAAACCACAAGCAAGTTTAATCTTTCTCTTCTTTTCATCCCCATCTCAAGATAATTTCTCTTCAAAAAGTCTCTGCCATGGCGACCCTCAAAGCTTCGTTTTTGCTCCGAAATCTCGACAGTGACATCGCCGGAGATGTTATCGCCGATAAGGAACATCGCGGGTCCGGCGCTATTCATGTTATCATGGGTCCTATGTTTTCTGGGAAATCAACCTCTCTCCTCCGCCGAATCAAGTCAGAGATCAGCGTCGGAAGGTAAAATTGATCATCTCCATGGATTCTATCTGTCAGATCTTCGAGTTTTCCGACCCGGATTTGAGTTAGTGTTCGCAGACACGCTGCGAATTTTAACGATTCAGTGGTCTAATTTCTCAATTTCGTCTTTTGGTTATGTAGAAGTGTTGCGATGCTGAAATCAAGTAAGGATACGAGATATGCCAAAGATTCGGTGGTGACACACGATGGAATTGGATTCCCTTGTTGGGCTCTTCCAGATCTAATGTCATTTCCTGAGAAATTTGGAAAAGCTGCTTACGACAAGGTAAATTCTATGGTTTCTGTATATTTTGGATCATAAATTGTGAAGGATCTGCATTGAAATTGTGTTTTTTTTCTTCCTCCTCTTACAATTATTGGCAGCTTGATGTGATTGGTATTGATGAGGCTCAATTCTTCGGAGATCTTTATGAGTTTTGTTGCAAAGTCGCTGATGATGATGGCAAAACAGTGATTGTTGCAGGCCTAGATGGTGACTATTTAAGGTGATTGATTCTACTTTCAAAAGCTGTGATCTGAGACTTTACTTCAAGTTATAACAATTTGGTTGTTGAATGTTACTTGAACATGATTCTTCCTGGCAAAATGCAGAAGGAGCTTTGGTGCTGTTCTTGACATTATACCAATAGCTGATTCTGTAACAAAGCTAACTGCAAGGTGTGAGGTTTGTGGACAGAAAGCTTTCTTTACTCTAAGAAAGACTTGTGACACCAGAACCGAGCTGATCGGTGGAGCTGATGTCTATATGCCCGTTTGTCGCAAGCATTACATCAATAATGAAATTGTCATCAAAGCTTCAAAGAAAGTGTTGGATTCTGACAATGGAAGAGCTGAATCCTGTGTGGAGACAGTTGCTGCTATGATCTAACTATAACTGCTCTGGAACCAGTACCATATATGATTGTGAAATTTTGTTTTCCTGCTTGCTTTCGTTTTACTTGCCTGGGTTTTATCCTCAGTGTTGTCTTTGAAAATCACTTGTGATGTTTCTTCTTGTATGTATATAAATATATGTTCGAGTTCTTTAAAGCTTCTGGACGATGTTTCATGCATTACGGGCTTTTGTTAGCAACTTTTCTCATCGATTTTACACTCCTTTCACATACAACCTGTTAGTTGGTCTAAATGGTTTCTGATCTGTCTCCATTTCCAGTGCCGTTTGGCTTCAAAGAATTAGACTTATAATTCTGCTTAATGAATGTGATACTTGTGGAGTCGCATTCCTTCATTACTGAAATAGATCTCTAGGGGTTCAATGGCATGAGCTCACGATTGTCAGAGAAGTCTCCACAATTTGTGAATCTGAATGACTCAAATCACTCTTTAGATAGCCTCCTCACTTTAGTGTTAAGATACACAAACATAAATGCATAATTAACACCAAGCAACTCGAAATTCAAAGATGATTTAATTTAAATTAATTTTTGACTCGAAATTCAAAATATAACATATTCTTCAACTAAAAACATAAGTAGATAATGGGGTTTTCTTTACATTTTTAATCATTACACAGAACATAGCCTCAAAGACTCATAACTTTTTTAAAGAACCTCCACATCCTTAACCATCTGCACTAACTCAAGGCGACCTTGAATCCGCGGTACTCCTATCTTTGCCAAATCGGGATACACTTCTTACACTCTTAGGAGTCACAGCACCAGGGCTCGCTCCTCGATAACTTGCCCGGAGGCTCTCATCAACAGTAGAGGACGATTTCGCTATTGCCCGTCTGAAAAACTTCTGAGCAGCAGGTGAAAGTGTCCTAACATTTGGACTTGCACTTCCACTTCGATGAGGAGAAGGCAACGGAGGTTTCTTAAACATACTGTTTGATCTCTCTCTCAGTTTTCGCGAGGCATCCCTTGATAAAGAATGTGCCCTTACGTCTCTTGGAGGTGCAGATGGAATGTTGTAGTGCGGTCCATCAGCACTACCACCAATATCAATGGGTGTATCCTCAAGATCTAATCTCATTGGTGTCCCTTCGATCTCACCCCAAGTTATAAAAGGTGATTCATCAAGACCAGGTGCAGGGGATGGCGTTCTAACAAAACTATACCCGTTATCTGCCCTTTTGTCTGATTCCACATAGAAAGGATTCGGAGTTTTCCTTAGATCGTCCAGATCATACCTCTTAGATTTGTCTCTGTCCCTACCTGAGATATGCATTGGGGAAGAGCCTGCGATTGGAGTGTAGAGAATCTCGACTGAACCATCTTCTCTCGGCCTAGAATCCATTGTCTTGCCATGAAAACGAGTGTTCCCTTTAACTATCTCCTTTGTCAATCCAAGTAGCCTCACCGCCCTTTCCTCTTCGGTTAAGGGTGCCTCACCACGATCAGCTGGATGATACATCAGAAGATTCTTCGCTGTATATTTCCATCCTTGTAAAGTGCTCGGTGGCTGATAAGATGTACCATACCCATCTGTAATCCTGTCTCTCTTTGCATCCTCAATCAGATTACCATCCTCCTTTTCACCTCCAAGTAGATAGCCATACTTCTCCTTCTTCTTCCTATTCACCTTCTCCAAAATCTTCGAAAAGCTATCATTATCCTCACTTGTATATCTCCTAAAGAACTCATCTAAGGACATATCGACATCTACACCTCCGTCTCCATCATCAGCACCACCGCCAGGTAACTCTCTACCAGAGACTCCAGGAGTTCTAGGGGTCTTACCATCAAACTCATCCAAAGGAGTAAAATTTCTCAGAAAAGTAGATCCAGGGGTTTGAGTTTTACCCTCGGTGTCCCCAGGATGATGATTCGCCGCCTTCTTTCCGCGCCTCTCGATAATCTTCAACTGGGCATCTCGGATCTGAATCGGGTCACGGGTTTTCACCGCCTGGATCCAATCTAGCCGGTCCCTAAGCTTGGATATATCCGGAAAGTAATCGCGCTCGATGATCTTCTCGATAGCTTCAACATACGCGTCCTCATCGAGGACTCTCATCCGCTTTCTGGGGTTCCGAGGAGTGATCTCCGAGGAGGAGCTGCGAGGCGTCGAACGGAGACCATCATCTGAATAAGAAGACGGCGTCGGAGAAGATATCTGTCGTGGAGAGTGGCCAGGCGATAGAAACATCTTGAAATCAGAATTTACGCGTTCCCAAAAACTGCGATTCGAATTTCAGATCCGGCGAATTTGTTCGGAAATTTGGACGGAACACTAGGGTTTGTTGTTTTTTTTGGGTCGACAGGAGAACCCGATGATGGCAGATGAATGTATAGATGAAGACTTCCTTATCAATTCGTCTATACGCGTTAAGCTTCCAGAATATTACATCATTGCCCCAAATATTCCAAATTCTCCTACTTTTAACCTCGTAAGAAATCTGGATCGTATTTATAACCACTTGATTAGGATCTTATTGGGAAAACGTCGGTGACGATATTTTGTTTCTTTTATGGTCAACTGGTGACGGTATTTTATTTTCATTATTATTGTTTCTTGAAATGTGTATATCACGTATTTGTAGTAAGAAATTGATCGAATCTTTAATCTAGTGGTTTTTTATTAAAAAAAAATTCATTACATCCAGGTTTGATTGATGAATTTATCAAAGTATTAGATTGAATTTATCAACAAAATAATGAATCAAAGGGTCTACACTGTATAAACTATCTGAATTATTTTGTAGATAGAAAACGATTGAATAATGTTATAAACAGTTAAAATATAGAATACACAACAATCACATTCATGTTAGCTAACATGTAAATATTTAAGGTACAATGCTTGGCTGTAAGTTAAATAACTGACATAGTAGTGAAGCACATGAAGCTCCAGTTGAGAAATCCCCAAACTCTGCTAAATCCCAGTGAACTCATTGGCAACACTGCCTTGCAGGAGATTCTGGCCTCAACACAAAACCAATCCTTTGCAAAACTTAAATCTACACTTGAATACAGCACAGTGACCACAAGGCTTCACACACAAATCCAACCTTATATTGATTCGAAGCTGAACTTGATTACAATAGACAGACATTCTAAGGATTGGATCTGAAAGGATTTCGCTGGTTTGATCTTGGATCTACTCTTGGCGACGACGCATTGTACCCATGAAGCATTTCTCTGATCTTTGAGTACATCACTGCTTGTGACGTCTCACCACCATTTCCACCACTTTCTTGCTCTTTCATCTTTTCAAACAGATACTCCTTCTCAGCCTCTGCCTCACTCAGCCTCAGTTTCAAGTAGTTACTCGCGTACTCCTCCTCCGTCTTCTCCTTTTTCGCTTTCACAATCCTTTCCAACCTCTCTGCTTCCACTTTCGCCTCGTTTGCTTTTAACTGAAACATCTCTGCCTCAGCTTGCTTCAGCCTCACTATCCTCTCTACCTCTTCTATCTGTTGTTTCTTCTTCTGCCTCTCCATCTTCAATTCCGCCACTTCCTTTGCTTTCTCTTCCATCTCTCTCTCGCACTCCTCAAGCCCCAATCGCGCTTTCTTATACATCCTCGTCTTTTCCTCACCCACTACCTCCATTTTCCTCAGTGTCTCCTTCACAACCGCAGCTATTCGGTTGCATGCATCTTGAGGTGCTATCATTCCCCCACCTTCTCCATTTTCAAGGCTCTTTGGAGAGTCCAATTCAATTTCTTCACACACCAAAAACAATGGTTACCACTTGAAAAGAGTAACACACTCTTGATCATAAATAAGATATATTAACAGAAGCAAGCGGGTTTACCTTGGAAAAACATCAATATCAACTTGGCAGCGGTTGCTTCTGCGAGGCCACCTTTAATCTTGTCAATAAGTTCTTCACACTTCCAGAATAGTTTCCGGCCTCTTGTATCTTCGCTTCCACGGAAAATCCTACTCACAAAGTCGAGTTCTTTCATCAAAGACTCCCTATCCCAGTTTGGTGCACAGTGCTGAAACACATCTTTAACCCAACCCAGCAATTCAGAAGTATGGTTGCAAGCTCGACACTTGAACAGCATTTCTCCCATCCCCGACGCACTCTTGGCAGAGATTCCCATCGAGATCTCACCATCCCTGATCGCACAATCCGTGTGAGTCCAATGAGAACACACATCACAGCCAATCCAGCGGCATGTGTTGACTGCAAAGTCAAACTTGTTACAGATGACACACATGCAAAGGTTGCAGAAGCCTTTCCTATTAGCACATATCTCGCAGGGACAATCATCAGCGGGGAGCTCGTTTTGGCAAGCTATGTTTCTGCATCTCTTGTACAAAAAGATCTCGATGAGAGATGTTTGAGACAGGTTGATGTTTGGGTGCAAGAATGCTTGGATTCCAGTGTTTATCACCACAAGGATCTCAAGCTGCACTCGGTGAGCCCTGATTAGTGTCTTTGAATTTAAATCTGATCGCGTCTGGACAAACTTTTGCAGAAACATAAACTCATCTATGGGCTGCGCACCATTTCCCTCAAGGATAGCCTTAAGCCCATTCTTTAACTCGTCGAGATATTCTTCTGGTAAACGCAGCATTCTCTCCGAGACTATGTCCACTCTCTCCCTAGCTATGTCCCGTAGTGATACCTTATCGGTTATAGAAACATGGCGGATCACAGGCTGCTCATTAGAATCAGGCCCTATCTTTCCGCTCTCTGTCTTCTTTCCCATAATAGACTTTGAAGTTGGCCACGTTTCTTGAGAGCTCGCACTTTCAGCTGGAGATTCACGCACAATGCCAGAATTAGATCGTGACAAGTTGGGATCCGAAGATACAAGCGAAAGAGACGTTTGTAGTTGCTGACGAGGAGGTAGCATCTGGTGAGGAAGATTGGATCCAGATGATGTGCCCATCAATTTAGTGCTGCAGACACCGAAATTACGTCAATGCCAAGTTCATATTGACCAAAACAGTGAAAGCAAAGGAGAAACCTTTCACATATTAAATCAGACAATCTATTACGCATTTGAGACCTTACAAAAAATACTTTTCAAGGTGAAATGTAAGTGCAGTGATCATAATATTAGTAACATAAGTAAGATTTGGTAATTCGTTGAGCATAAAATTTGATTATTCATCCAGAAAATCCCTAATAATGTTGCATACGCCCTAGAAGTACACAACATCCTACGTTCAAGTGAGCTGAGATCAATCACTAGTGGAAGCTCAATAACACAAACACAGGATAGAGTGACACAAAGCAGGCGCTAGACCAAAGTAAATCGAATCTATTTGCCTCGTTGATTGAACGCTAGAAAAGTCAAAACACTGAATCTTTAAACCGGAAATTCTTCTCAAAAGGAGAAAGAACTGCCGCAAGGAGTACCGGATTCACCGGAGAGATGACTGGAGACCCGATACGAACCGCAGAGGACGAAAGACGACGGACCCTGAGGTAACCAAAGGGAAAGCTAAAGATTGAGGAAATGGAAACTTCTTTTATTTTTTATTATTTTTCAGATAAAAAAAACGAATAAAGACATATACAGCTGCCAGTTCTTAATGTCCTAACGGTTAACCTGACTAGCCGGTTACTGTCGACTTGTGTTGACTTTTTGAACGCGTTCTTTTTTTCCCAACGTTTGCGTCGGGTCTATCCAAAACACACCTGTATTTAAAATACAATCACCTGTAGTCCCCATAGTTTTAAATTTTATCAATAAAACCCACAAATTTTCATCAAGAAATAAAAAAATTTCTCCTTTCGAATATTATTACATCCAACCGAGGAGTTAACGCCGATTAAACCGTCCTGGGGATTACCTTAAAACTAAACAAAAACAAGCTCAACATTCTCATTGGCTCACTGCCTATTGTTGCTAAATTATGAATTTTGGGGTTCTACTTATGCTGCTACTAATAAAAGAAGAACATGATGAGAAATTGAGAATCGTAGCAGTGTAGGGTTCATTAGGCTTGTGTTCATTTCTGTCCATCCACTTCAAACGGTTCAACCACTTCAGCTTCTAACAACTCTGCATCGTGAGAATGTGCCATCTGCTGCTGTGGCTGTACCTCAGGGATTGACCATTTCCCGGAAAGGGCAGTACCCATCATCTCATATATCTTCCCACCGAGCTCTGCTGGATTCTCCGGCTGTACATATTCAGAAAGAATCAAGGTTTTACAAATCTTCTCCCACATCATTTCAGAGAAAAAGGAAACAAAGTGTTAATATAGACTACAAGCAGAGGCTTACCGTGAACCCACTAGAAACTAGTGCTGCATCATACATAAGATCTATGGCTCTCATTGCATCTTCATCATTTGGGTTACTCTTGTAAGCAGCCTGCGAAATGAAAAAAAAAAAAAAAAAAAACTCAAGTCAATATTGATAGCCAAACCAAACCAAGTAAAGTGATGATGATTGGTGACTCACATTTATGCTCTTGATAATTGAGTGGTCAGGATTGATCTCAAATATCCTTCTCCCTTTCATGAAATCGAGGCTTGTTGTGTCACCAGCTGATTGTGCCTTCATTAGCCTGTCGATATAACATATTCTCTATTAGTTCACCAGGAAAATAAAGAGGGACAAAGCAAATTCTTACTTAGTAAAGAGATCTTACCTCTCCATATTGGCTGACCAACCAAATTTACCAGACACAAGTACACAGGGCGACGAGCTAAGACGGTTAGAAATCTGAACATTCGCAACCTTATCACCTAGTCGTTTTTTAATCCAATCACATGTCAGCCCAAATTCCTTTTTCACAGCTGCCTCTTTCTCCTCATTCTTGTCTCCTGTCAAATACAAGAGCATAGCCAGAAAGTGTGTTAATGCAATGTAGTGGGATTATCTAACATGGTAAACCAAGGGAGTTGCATCAAACACTTGCCTAGGTCTAAGTCTTCCTTGCTGATGTCGACCAAGTCCTTTTCCTTGTAAGATTTTAAGCTCTGTATGGCAACTTCATCAATGGGTTCTACCAGATATAGGACCTATAATCACACAAGGAATAAGTGCATATCAATCACCTCAGAATCACCTTAGAATTAATAGGAATATTTGCAAGGAAGAACAAAAGTGTCACCTCAAGTTCTTTCTCCAGAAGCTTCTCGAGGAAAGGTGCATTCTTAGCACTTGTAACGCTGTCGGAAGCAATGTAATATATCGCTTTTTGATCAGCTTTCATATTCTCGACGTATTCATCCAAGCTGATCATGTCATTCTCACTCTGGGAGGAGAAAAATCGAAGCAATGGAGCTATACGCTTGTGGTTCTCGCGGTCCTCGATGCACCCCAGTTTTAGATGTTTTCCAAAATTCTCCCAAAACTTTTCATAGTCCTGTGTAAATGAACAGTGAGACATTGTAAATTTTGGCAGGAAAATCACCACTAGAACATAGTGATTTCTAACGTGACAAGAAAAAAGATACAAAATTTAAGCAGAAGGGATCAAGAGTTCTGAAGCATACTTCTCTGTTTTCACTCAAGGATATTCCCAAAATCATATCAAAAGCCTTCTTCACCAGACGTTTCTTCATGATCCGCACCTTTGAGACACAATGCAAAAACGTAAGCTTAACAAATGCATGACACTTATACCAAAACAAAACAGAACGTATATCTTTAAGGCTATGCAATGGGTGCAAGCACTTACAATGCGACTTTCTTGAAGAATCTCACGAGACACGTTAAGTGGGAGATCGTGCGAGTCCACAACACCTTTAACAAAGCTCAAGTACCGAGGGAACTGTTCACAAACATCACAAAAGAAACCATCAGTACAAAAAAAGAAAGACAGGTTTCTTGAAAGACCACACCAAAAGAAACTTCTCTCACCAGCTCCCCGTCGAAATCATCTGATATGAAAACTCGTTTTACATAGAGCCTTATGTTCTTTGTCTTTTGATTAACCACGTCATCCTTCCCCGTTGGTGAGACAGGTGGCACGTAAAGGATGGACTTAAATTCGACCTCACCCTACAATAAGAGCATTATCGTTAAGAAGAGATATTATGAGTAATCATCTATTTTTAGTGGATTAACAAGGTGTAACCACTTTTCAACAGATACAAAACATAATCTGCTTCGGCTGTTTAATGCAGATATATGTACTATTCAACAAAAGTTTTCCCTCGAAAGTACCTCTGTTGTGAAGTGGGAAGATGCCAACGGGTCCAAATACTCGTTAAAAGTTTTTCTGTAAAACTCATTGTACTCCTCTGTTGTCACCTCCTTCGAGTTCCGGAGCTGCAATACATAAAAAAATAAACTCTTGAACTGAATCCATATTTTTTATTGTGAGTGCACATAAAATACATCGAGCAGTCCTTACCCATATTGGCTGCGTCTCATTAGTAAGCTCCCAATCCCAGTATCTCTCAACAACCTTCTTGGTTTTCTTTTTCTTCTGTTATAAATTAACAAAAAAAACTTTAAGCCAACTATCCTTGCACATCTACCTATTCTCTGATACTGATCAAGATGATTCTCGGATCTGGCACAGAGAAGCAAGTATACCTCAGTTTGGTCATCCTGGTCATCCTTTTTCGATTCAGCTGGATCATCTTCAACCTCAACCTGTATAAGATAGAGCCAAACATACAAAGCCGGCCAATAAGATAAGAATCTTAGTTGTCTTCTGATACGAAACTAGATATTGCATTTTTCCCTTGTAGACAGAGCAACTTTGGGCATTTGTGCCAATGTTTAAGTTCAGATATGTGTCATCATATTGATCATACCTCTTTTGTGTAGCCTTTTTCCTGCCACGTGTATATAGGGAACGAAACAAACTGAGAATAGTTTTTCACTAGCTTCTGAATCCGCTCTGGATCTGCAAAGCCTTTGTCATCTCGCTACATTAGGCACCACGAGAAAAAAAAGAAAAAAAAAAGGAGAAAGTTTTAGTATGTAAGTTTTGATGACAGAACAAATACTTGAGCTGCAAAAGAAATACCAGAGCATAACGAACCTTAAGATGCAATGTAATACGAGTTCCCCTAGGAAGAGTTAATTGAGGATCAGTCTCTTCCTTAATGGTATAACTGCTTGAATCTGCTTCTCCTTCCCACACATATTGCTTATCAGACTTTGGGCTCTTCGTTGACACAGTGACCTTCAACATATAGATAAGTAACACAATATTCAGGTGGTGGAGAGGTGAGCACAACAATGATCAGAGTCCAACGAGATCACAACATACCCGATCTGCAACCAAGAATGCCGAATAGAACCCAACACCAAATTGACCAATTAAATTGTTGTCACCACCTGCATCCTTGTTATCCTGAAAACATTACAGCAATGCTTAGTTGATCCAGTGATTCCCTGGAAGGAAATAGTAGTATCAGAGAAACCAGTAGAACCTTTAAAGCTTTCAGGAACTTGGCAGTTCCACTTTGCGCAATAGTCCCAAGGCAGTCAACTAATTCTTGCCGTGTCATACCGATACCTGAATCACTGAGAAAGTGAAAAAAGGACAGACAACCTGTTAATTCTCTGCTCACCATTGCTCTACACGAAATTTAAACTTCCAAAGCAGAAACAAAATATGACTTACGTGAGAGTTATTACTCCATTCTCCTTATCAGCATAGATGCGTATATCAAGATCAGCAGCATCCTTTGAAAGCTCAGGGTTTGTAACGCTCAGGTAACGCAACTTATCCAACGCGTCGCTAGCATTGCTATTGGAAACCAAATAAATGTAGATTGTTAAAGAAAAAGAATAAGAAGGAACTCAATTACCAAAACACTAACTCAAAATCAGGACAGAGGATACCTGATAAGCTCCCGAAGAAACACCTCCTTGTTGCTGTACAGACTGTTAACAATGAGGTCCATGAGGCGACTCACCTGCCATTTGTGTCAAACATGATTAAACACACAGAAATTGATCACAAAACAAAAAGAAAGTCAACTAAACAAAAAAATTGTCCGTACTTCAGCTTGATATTCAAATTTCTCAGCCGGTGGAGGAGCCTGAGACGAAGAGTCCGATGCTGCTGCGCTGGATTCATTCCGGCATCCCATAAACCAGTTGGTTTTCATGTTCAATTGAGCCAAGGACTCACATTTCTTGCATTTTCCATTGGTTAAGGATGAGTACCATCTCGATTCAGTGTCACCTCTCTTCGCATCCTAAGATTGAAAAAAAAATTTGTAATGACTCAGAGTAGTTTAGCGATGATCTCTTTCTATTATTTGAATAAGAGGATGGCTTCTATTGTTTAGAGTTGACAGTGTAAGTTACCGTGGTAGATGGGGAGGAGCGGGAGATCGAAGTCGCGGCGGCGGCGACGCGGAAGCTTCGATCGCCGGAGAGTAGGAAGTTGGAGACGGAGCGTTTCGAAAGCCTGAGCATAGTCGCAGCTTCTAGAAACTCTCGCAAGAGAAGCTAGTGGAAGAATTTGGATATTGGTAGCAATGAGCAAAGACAGAGACGACTGGTGGAAAAAGGAAAAAAAGGTTTTTGTAGGGTTTTTCGGCGAAAGGCGAAGCTTCTGGATGAGAAGGGTAATTGCGGTGATGTAAATAATTTCGTTAATATCCGAAAAAGTTACTGTGTTTCCTAAATCGACTTCGACCCTTCCAATCCGGTTCGACTATGAATCGAGGTGGAAGACCGGGTTGAGTTTTTTCTTCAATGATCTAAAATTATTTTTCTTCAGTGACCTAAAAATTAATCTTTCTTACTTTTTTTTTTTATCTCTAGTTTAATGTTCTTTTACTATTAATCCGACAAATAATAAGCTCAAACATCATAAAAATTTTTATAATTATTTTTGTTTAGTCGATCATATGAATTGGTTTATGATAATTATATATATACGAAATAGCCGTTTATTTTAACGCGAAAGTTGATTTGGTTGGCAAAAAAAGTTTAACAAAATTATATTAAAACTTTTAGTCTATAACAATCAGATTCTAAAAGAATGTAGTGTGTATAAGCTATAAACAAGAGGATAAAAGGGATGAATTAACATCAGTTTAATATTTACAAGAGAGAATTTGGCGACAACATGCTCCAATGCACATTGTATTATTGTACCAATGCAAAGTTATAACAATATGCGTTGGAGCATATGTATATCGGAAAAGCACTGTGAACTATATTGCAATATGTCAGAATTCCAAAATGGACATCGTGACAACCGGAAAATCGGTTTATTTTTCTAGGAGCCCGGTATACTTTGGATGGAATAGTTTAAGGATGTATCTCACAACTTGCCTTTTGTCATTGATTTTTATCTCCAAAATCTTTTGATACATCTGATTTTTTTAGTCTACAAAAGGTCAATTATTCGTGACTTTAATTCAACAATCAGAAAATAAATAAAGATAGGGATTTAAAGTTATCCGATGTGGACTCATGGAGTATGTGATTGTACTTGGAGTGTACAGTCTTCAATAAACCTTGTGTAAAATCAGATATATTTTCTATTGTCGATTAATGGAGACTAGTATCATTCAGAAGATTAGGATCATATATACGAAATCGGTAAAGTTAACCATGAAGTTGGATTACCAAAGTTTTAGTAATTTAGTATTTTCCCCCAAGAATGTGTTTTTTTACGGAACTGTCCAATAGTAGTATTATCTGTGAAGATAACGCGGACTCGGTGAAGAGATATATTCGTCCAAGAGGATACTAAAGGTACTAATTGCCAAAACGGAAACATGAAGTGAGCTATATGCCAAAGTCTTCTCTTCTTGATATTTCTCTGAAAATTTGGACCAAGTGAATGCTGTTTAATTATGTAGAACGTTCTGTTGACAATATCCCTTTTTTTCTGAAAACAAAAAATTAACCACCGATATCTCGTTGAATATATAACCACCGATTTTTTCTATTTGTAGCTATAGCTAGGGTCCAAAATCATTGGAACATGTTGATTAATTGGAGAGAGAACAACAAACTGTTACACGTTTAATTTCTTTCTCGCCAAGGGTTTTCCACATAATCAAATTAATACTTCGGATTAGTCATACTATTATTATCTGTCACATAAATATTGCACAAGCCATTAAACATCTGAGAGAAAGCTTTGTATACACGAAAGTACAAAACCCATAATTTTTTTTCCCCTTGCAGGATTTTACCAAGCCAAACAGTATTTTGGCTTGAGTTTGTTTCTTCCTACATATGCCTTTCATCTCCCAAAACAAACCCAAACCAAAAAAGGACAAAAAAAAAAGAGAGACAAGTACATACATAAACAGCCAAAGTGTAATGTCAAGATTCAAGCTTTAGAGATACAACACGGGATTGTCGGTTGCGCTTAGCCGCCTTAACAAAGACTACTGAGAGACAAGAGGGTGCCCACCATGGCCGTCGAACTCTCTGCTCACCTTTCAAACAAGCCACTGTCAAAAGAACATATCTTTTATTAGTCAAATTTCTGCAGCAACTTAAGCTGAGATAGAGAGAGCAAGAGAGAACCTTTAATCCTTCTGAGTTCTTTACAGAGGGTGATAAAATCTCCCCATTTCATGTGATGCCTCCTTATGAAGTGAAGGATCTGTTCGGTTGTAAACACAGACATACTTTCTAGATATTCTCCATTGACACCATTTTCTTTGAATATCTGGCGGTAGCTCCCAAGGTTTATCTCTTCAAGCCAAGATCCAACATCCTGTAAAAGCAAAATTATTAGATCTTCTCATCTACAAGACGCTCGATGGACATACAGTACAAACGAATAGACTAAAAGTCCATAGTAGTAGCATCTGACTGAACAGAACACATCAACAACCACAAGGTCCAACTTTTCCATATGAGTGAACTAATTCTATCTATCTCTCACGAAACAAAACAAGTTCGTATCAGGCACCAGTTGAGTTTCAGTTTCGCCAACTAGTATTCATCCAGCAGAAACCCTTTTCACGAGTATTACTTTGCTTGAAAAGAGACTCAGCAAGTGACAGATGCGAATATCACTGTACACCAATCTTAGTGGGACTTCAGTTCACTAGGTCGAAGAAGTATAGCAATTTCTAGCTTGCATGATGTAATTGCAATCAAAGGTTATAACATCAAGGTAAGAGTTGTTCTTTCAGTAACCACCAGAGGTACCAAAAGCGCAAAACACAAGTAATAAATAAACAACACCCAGTTCTTAAGAGCTAATCCGAGTAATCTGGATCCAAACCCTAAAGCAAACTAGGGTCATACCTGAAAGAGAACATAAGGGGTGAGATCAAAGCAACCCAGTTAAGGGTTAAATAGGCTGAATTCAGATCAAAATTAGGCTAACATGATTCACGATACTCTGCAACAGAAGCAAGTCTAAGGAACAGCTCAATCCAAGAAAGAGGTGAAGTTGATCGCGTGGTTCAAAGACGAAACAAAAACATAAGATAGGGGATTGGTTGAGATTTACCTCAACAGTCCAGATGAAGAAATCAAGGGGCTCGGGGGGATGTTCTCTGCTCATCGTCTCCTCTGCACAAAAGTCCCAATATAATTCGCCCACAATCATTTTACATAGAGCTCAAAGCAACATCAAATCGAAAACGAAGTAAAAGGAAACGCGAATTCGCCATCCTCCAATCCTGATTAGAAAAGAGAAACACCTACCAAGGAGACAGCTGTAAGATCCGAAATTTGAGCTTTGATTTGAGTGAATTTCTTGGGAAACAAACGGAGATAGAGATAGAGATAGAGAGAGAGAAAGAGGGATTCAGAGAACTTGCAGTGCAAAAATGCGTGAGTTTTAGGGTTTGAAGAGAGAGAGAGAGAAGGAGATGAGAGGTCGGGGACAAATGGGTCCACAAGTGAAAGTGTGCTTTTCTCTTTTGGCTCTCTCTTTCTCGCACTTCACGCGCCGCTCTCACCACGACGCGCCACCGTCTCTCCGTACCACGACTTCTTTCCTTTCCATTTTTTCCACTCTTTATTGGATTTTTACAGGGAGAGCTGCTAATTTGATATATTGCAAGAATACTTTTTTTTTTTATTAAATGACAAATTGTTATGTTTTGTTATCAACAAATGGCAAAAATGTGTGTCGGTAAAAGACTTTAGCATGAAAATAAATAAATTAAAAAATTATTTTTGAATATTTAATCCAAATGTTGACGACATAGACATTTTTTTTTCATGTTGACATCCATTCTATGAATTAATTAAATATTTTAAACAAGCTAAAAGTCGAGAGCTTCATATGTAATAAAGTGGCCAGGACAGTGTGTATGGTTGCCTCTCAGGTATAAAGGTTCCATTCTTTTTCCCAGAGTGAAACAAAAATGAGCTAGTGGACATATTAGGTTCCAATTTAGTAGCTTTTCTGGGACAAATATCCATATGAGTCCATAGACCTCTTTTAAAGCTTCCAATCTAACAAAAGAATTTATAGTTTGTACTTCTGTTGCATAAATTATCATTTTAACGTGGTTACATAGATGCTTTTTTTAAAATATCTTTAACTGAAAGTATAAGAAGATTAGCAAAACAAACAAATTTTTTTGATAAACGAATCATTGATGGAAGAAAAAACGTGAGCGGTGATTGGATTGATGATAAAATAGAATCCTGGGTCGCGAACAGTGATTCGATTGATGATAAAGAAAGAGAATTCTTGAGCACAATTTTGCAAAGAAATAGCCCACTTGTTTCTCGAGAAGAGATGGGAAACATGCTCAATATCATTTGATTGAATAGTTGACCCCGATTCAAGATAAATTCATGAGGAAGTGGTATTTCTTTAGGATCGACTCCAGCATTTAGAAATTGGTTAATCGGTAAAGATACATGTACTTGATGTCCTGCCCTTTTCCAATTAGTTTACCAATAGAATTCCATTTCATTTGCAAAATCACTTTAAACTGTTATGCTAGCCAACTAAAATGAAATCCTCTGGGAAGCTGAAAACCCATGTTAGATATTAATCCATCCGTTTTTTAAAAGAAGTGTCGTTTCGACATGTTATAAATCGGAAGATTTGGGAGTTTTGGAGAAAACAGTTGAATGTTTCAAAGTCATCACCAAACCCAAAGCTGAGATACACGTGATTATCGTTGGTCACACACTTACATGAAATATTAATTTGACCTTTGGGTTTAATCATGGACCACAAATCTTCTCTTCTTTCCAAGTCCACTTAATTTTTTTTGCTGATCTCATCTCAATTCTCCTTTTCTCCTCCCAAAATATCACAATCCTCATGTAACTTGCTGTTCTGTTTTTCGTTTTAGACAAAGATCCAGAAACAATGGAGTAAAGAAAGACTATAGCCGCATTAACAAGGAACCGCCCTTTTCCTTTTTAATAATCCATAAATGAAATTTAGCGTTACTATTATAGCAATACTGTCTTTAACACACCTCTTTCTAATCACAAAGCATGGAACATGACAACACACGAAAAGTGATTTGTTTAGCTAATTATCTGTTCTAGACTTCAGAGGCACATAGTTTTGTTTCCTTTGGGGGGTTTTACAAAGGATGAAATCCATAGATACAAATGAGACTGATCCAGAAATTGATTGTTGCAAACATATCTTGAACCTTTGATTCCCATAGACTCAAAAGGATCGTAAAGTCAAGACTCATCTTCGCAGGCCTCTGCAGCTGAAATCTCGGAATCAAGTTTGTTCATCAGACTCTCTGACACATGCTTGGCCACAGATATCATGTCAAGGATGACGCTCGGGTCTAAGCCACACCCGCCTCGTTTGGTTAACCCACATATATGGCCCACTCGGTTCACCGATATAGACACAGCCGAGCTCATCTGAGACTCCTCTTCCGTTGTTGCATCAACTATGTAATGCGCTCCCACCTGGAAAATCAAAGACCAAGCATTTACATGTGGATGGCACAAAGATTAGTAAACTTTGTCTAAGAAGATGTCGATCAAGAGACTTGAGATACGATTTACTTTAGTTAACGTGACAATGACTGGGACACTGGAAGTGTCAAATTGTTGATACTCTTCGTCGCTGATGTCAATCTCTGGTTGCTCATCATCCGCCACTTCAGCTGAAACTTGGACTTTTGGTATAGCGGTGTTGGTTAAAGCAGCCTGCAGGAGCATTGTCAACAAGTGCACTAAAGCATGCGGTCAACCTTGAGGAAAGATGACTTTTGGGTTTATTAAACGATCAATTCGGAACATATCGCAAACCTATGAAACCAAACAAGACAAACAAATTGAGCTGATCTACAACCACTTAACGAAAGACCCTTTCTTTCTCATTTCCCTATACTATCATTTCTAAAAGCCTTTCCTTCCTCACGATCTTGATTAATTGCTATGATTTACTCATTACCGTCTGCAACCAAGCCTGGGCCGCTGGTTTAGGAGAGAAAACGAAACAATGTCTCACGAGAATTACCTTAATGGCAGCACCAAGGGCGTCCAATAGATTCCCATCCGAGCTAATGACAAGGCCATCTATATAAAGGTCCCAGCAAACTTTTCCTTCTTTTATCAAAAGCGAAGACAAATTTATCCCAGCCCCTATTACCAAAAAGGATTTGCTATAAACATTACTAGCTGAAAGCGTAACAATGTGCAGGTTAAAAAAACAAATTGCAATAAACATGATTGCAAACCTGCTCCGCTTTTGCCACCTAGAAGACATCTTTGAAGAGCCAAAGCAAGCTCAGAAGACAATTCCTCACCGCCTCTCCCCTGAGCAACCGAGTAATTCACAATGTATTAGTCTTCTATGTAGACTTAAGGAGCCATAAAGACAAGGTTATGATAGCCAAAAACTTAAGTTGAACAAAGTTACGATTCCAATTGATAGAGCCAAAACCAGGGCATATCATATAAAAGCTCACCCCAAATGTTGGTTCTGCTGTTGGACTGCAATCAATGAAAACTGCAACTTTTCCTTTATCAGGTTGGAGAGAACTTGGCCTCCCAATTTCAGCCTGCAATTACACAAAGGTTATTGGGTCAACATTACCAGTAGCACTTCTGATTCAACAATGGCAGTAGAGAGAATAAGAGAATAAAGAAAGTACCTTTACACTGGCAATCACATCAGTGCCACCTATCCTAACTCTTGCTGAACCATTAGCCTAGAGCCAAAAAAAGCAAGACAATAAACCAATCTGTTGGAACATAACAATGCTAAACTCATGAGCTCTCTGAGTTTACATTACCTGCGGAATAACACCGGTTTCGACGTAGATAGGACGGTAAGTCAATCTTTTCCGACCATCAGTTCGAAGATCTTGAGCAATCCCACCTTTAACGAAGTGTTGCTCCCCAATAGAAAGCCCCACCATTACTACACAGACATCAACAACACACCATCGTGTCCACGGTTTCAGGGAACAATGAAATGGGATCAAACGCTTAACAATTAAAAAAGAAAAAGTAGATTATCCTTCAAAATAATTTGACCCACTAATCTTCTTTACCTTCCCAGAGAATTTGATAGAAGACGGAACTCTGAATTCCCGTCGACCGTAGCGGCAATTTTGGATTGGTTAGGTTAAACGGAGAAGTGACAACTGCCGGTAGGGTTTAAAGATGGCGTGAGCATAATTATTGGCTTTTCTTAAGGGTAATGTAGTCATTTACTTCTTTATATATTTTTTTTTTGTTTCTACTGCTTTTTTAGCGTCTTCTCTTTTTCTGTTTGTGCTGGTTTCTTCAATTTTCCGGGAAGAAGTGCGAGCTTGGTGCGCGATGGGTCGTTCGAAACTAGCTTCTCGTCCGGCTGATGAAGACGCGAATCCAGGGTCCGTTTAAAGTTTCAGTTTTCATTCGTTTTAGCTTGAAATCTTTTAGGGGTTTTCTCTGCTTGCTTACTTATCTTTGCGAAAACATTTCTGTAATCTCTGGTAATCCAATTCAGTTGTCTTTTATCGCCATGTTTGATTAGCTGAAGCGGAGTTCGAGTTTGTGGGTTCTTGATTTCATATTGCTTCCGTCTCTTGTCTATGTCTTAATCAGTTGATTTTTCACTGTTTCAGAAAATCGAAAAGGAAAAAGTTATCCTTGGATCCTGAGAATGCAGGGGCTTCAGTTTCGACCGGTATGTTTACGTTTTTATATGGGCAATTAGATATGGTGGTGATAAGCCTAAAGTTCTTTCAATCTGAAATCTTTTTTCCTTCAAGCTATCGTGGGTATACGCATTAATGTATCACCAAGCTGCCGTTTCCAAAAGCTCTTAAATTTGTTGATATCTCTAAAATTTTACATTGTATCCATTCCAATGCAATGTAGGAGGTGAAGCTAGGATTGAGAGGAAGCCTGGCCTTTACTGTTGTAACTATTGCGATAAAGATCTGTCTGGTTTTGTTCGTTTCAAATGTGCTGTTTGTATGGACTTTGACCTTTGTGTGGAATGCTTCTCTGTCGGTGCTGAACTTAATCGTCACAAGAGCAGTCACCCATATCGGGTTATGGTTAGTTTCCAACATCAAGCAGTATATTTGAATTCAACCTCTATCAGCTGAATAGTTAGTGGTTAGATAATTATTTGTGTGTGTGTGTGTGTGTGTGTGTGTGTGTGTGTTGCATCTACCCTTTTGTGTGACAGGACAATTTGTCTTTTCCGCTTGTTACTTCTGATTGGAATGCAGACGAAGAGATACTCCTCCTTGAGGTAATCACTAATCGTTTCTAACAGAATTCATTTTGCCTGTGATTGTACTCTATGGAGGTTTCATTTGACTCAAGTTCATCTATTGTTTTAGGCCATTTCGACATACGGGTTTGGGAATTGGAAAGAAGTTGCAGACCATGTTGGTAGTAAGACAAAGACAGAGTGTATTGATCACTTCAATTCTGCTTACATGCAGTCACCGTGCTTTCCACTCCCTGTAAGAACACATGATCTCCAGATAGTTGACTTTACCTCATTTATTTACTCAAGCTCTTCACTGTGTAGGACTTGTCTCATACAAATGGAAAGAGCAAAGAGGAGCTTCTTGCTATGAGTAAAGAACATGCAGTGAAAAATGGTCAGCTTGGAATGTATTAATGGGGTTTGCTTGTTGATTTGGTACTCGTCTATTAACCTTGATAGAAGAAAATTGACAGCTCATTTTTGTTTGTCACAGAAATACCTGCACTCGTGAAGCTATCTCCAAAAGAAGAGCTGCAAATGTCAGCTGTAATCATGTATGTACTTATGTTTGTAACAATAGTGTCTCTACGTTTACAATGTTGAATGGTCCCTCTTTAATACTTCTATGTTTCAATGAGCAGACATGAAGATTCAGGGAAGGACGATGCAATAGATCAACCGTTGCCTGTCTTAGCTGGAGGTATGTGGCACTTGTCTTTAAATGCCTTTACTATTGCCTCTATATAAAATTGTAAACACGTTATTTGCTCTTAGATTTATGGCTAAGAAAGCAAATTATCTGTCTTTCAGACTTTAACCTCAAACTCAAATATTTTGTCATCCATAGTCCCAAATGTAATATAATGCATTTTTGTTGGACAGTTAAGAAGAAAGTCAATGGACCACAGGCTACTGACAGCATTAAGTTGGAAGGTTTGTATATTGTGGGACAAGTTTGAATGTAAAATAATATTTGAAGGACACAAAAACTAAACGTACTTACAAATCTAAAAAAAACTAAAGGTAGTTCTTGCCGCTTGTGTCTCAGCTGCAAAACAACCGTCTGACAGGAGTGTCGGGGAGAAGAAACCGAGACTTCCTGGAGAAAAAGTTCCATTAGTAACGGAGTTATATGGCTACAATTTAAAGAGGCAAGAATTTGAGATTGAACATGACAATGATGCTGAGCAACTACTCGCGGACATGGAATTTAAGGATTCTGACACTGATGCTGAGCGTGAGCAGAAGTTGCAGGTTCTTCATATTTACTCGAAAAGGTACACATTGCACTGGAACAAGCATTATTAGTTCTAATTTTTTTTTTCCGTAACCAAATGCTACAGCCAAGATCGTGCTTTGACTTTATTTGCAGGCTTGATGAGAGGAAGCGGAGGAAGGAATTCGTTCTCGAAAGAAACTTACTGTATCCTGATCAATTTGAGATGAGCCTTTCAGCAGAGGAGAGAAAATTATACAGCAGCTGCAAGGTATTTGCGCGGTTCCACTCCAAGGAAGAGCACAAAGAACTGATGAAAAAAGTCATTGAGGAGCACCGAATTCTCAGAAGAATCCAGGATCTTCAGGTTTGATGCTTATAATTTTACGAAACTTGAGAACTGGTTACAAACTCAATCAGGCGGGAACATTAAGTAGAGCTTTTGGTAAATGTTGTAGGACGCAAGAGCTGCTGGTTGTAGAACATCTACAGATGCTAATAGATTTATAGAAGAGAAGAGAAAGAAGGAAGCGGAAGAAAGTTGGCTGCGACAAAACCACGGTGCACCAGGCAGTATAGCCAGTAAAACACTAAAAAGTCCAAGAGGGTTGCCCAGAAATTTACAGCCCTTTGGTTCTGTCTCACTGTCAAAGGTCACACTTCCAATAATATCTAGCTCATTAGACGATTGGGATGTAAGTGGTCTCCTTGGGGCTGACTTACTCTCTGAGACCGTAAGTATCAGTATTTTCAAATTTGGTGATTCTCATCTTAACTGTATGATTTTGTTGATTTCGTTGACATTATTCCCATGGTTTGAGAGATTGAAGCTGTGTGCTGTGCAGGAAAAAAGTATGTGCAACGAGATGAGGATACTTCCTGCGCACTATTTCAAAATGCTGGAAACCTTAACAAGCGAGATAAAGAAAGGGAACATAAAGAAAAAGTCTGATGCTTATAGCTTCTTTAAAGTAGAGCCGAGTAAAGTCGACAAAGTATATGATTTGCTGATTCAGAAGGGAATAGGCGAGTCAACATGACTCATGAGCCCTAGGATTCCCCGTCTGGAGAGCTAGAGGTTGTGTGCTTCTTTGGTTCATAGTCCTAACACGTAATTCTCAAACATAGATTAGCCATGTAGATATATAGGAAGCGTGTATACAAGACGATGCTGATGTTGGTTCCATATCTTGTTCGCTTTTAGTTTTGAAAGCTTGACAACTTTCAAAGGATGTTTCAGATCTTGTTCTCTCGCCTTTTATCTTTTTAGATCAGAAAAGCTTTTTAATCAACATTCAAACCCACTATGAATCAGATTCCAGTTTTTGTCAAATGTGATCAATTAGTAATCAGTTTTCCAGGAACAGCCAAAACGAGATTCTTGGGTGACAAGAAACTACTCTGAATCAGATTGTCATCCAACAACAACAACAAAGAAAACAGAGAAACAGCCGTAATTCGATTCAAACAAACTAAATAGTTCCAAAAGTACATCAAGCTGCGTATTAAACCAAAAGATTTACCATCTCCTTATGGTTGCAAGCATTGCTTCTTCTTGTGTCCCAGCTTCTTTTTGTTTTCTGGTAACCAAGGCTTGAAAGCACCACCCAGAGAAATATTTTCCAAGTAAAAGAAAAAACCACGCAGCAACTCCAAACTCGCCTTATCATCACCATCCACACGCTTGTATTCTTTATCGAAATCAGGGACCTTTTCAAGATAGGAGTGTCCCAGTTCATCAGTCTTATAATTGCTTTCTCTTCCCTTCCGCAGTTCTCTACATCGAGTCACTGGTTTCTTCACTGATACCTCACGAGAGAGCCTCAACAACTCTTCTTCATCGTATGGTTTCTCCAGAACATCCATTAGTTTTTCTTTAAAACAACTACTACTACTTTCATCCTCTGCACTTTCTTCCTCAAGATCAATCATGTTCTTGCTCTTGGACACCACAAAAGGTGTACCTTGTCCATCCGAAAAAGGGGAATCACTAACCTCAATCATGTCATCATCATCATCATCATCAGACCAAGACTCATGATCTAGCTCAACCTTCACTTTCGCTAATGGAACCTTGTCAGGGACAATAGTGGATTCTTTTTGAGTATCCGAAATTGGAGGATCGAAAGCAGACGAATCAGGCTCAGTTGTCGAATCTTTAAGAGAACCGACGAGCCATGTGAGGTAGCTCATGTAATCCTTATCCACAACCGCCACACTCTCATCCTCCTTCTTCTTCCTTGTCCCTACAAAAACTTCTTTCTTACTTTGTGTCACCGGAACAAACCTTGAAGTCTCATCTACAGCCTTATTACGCTCTGTAACTGTATTTATACACTCCACAGGAACAGCCCTTGAAGTCCCTGAAGCCTTAGTTTCATCAATCTTCTTCTTTCGTAGTTTAGCAATCCTGTTGTCTCGTCGGATGACTACTTTGCTTCTAACCAACGGAACATCCCATAAAGTGTCAACCTTTGACGCTGACATATTCTTAGCTTTGTATTCTCGTCGGATGTCTTCTTTGGTTCTGAACAACGGAGAATCCGATGAAGTCTCAACCTTTGACTCTGACATTTTCCTAGCCTTTGTGTGTGTTTGATTAATGTTTACTTGGTGGTTTCTAACCAACGGAACAGCCCATGAAACCCTTGCAGCCTCTAACTCAGCATTCTTCCTCTTTCTTCGTTCAGCAAGTCTATTGTCTCGTAGGATGCCTTCTAGGGTTGTAGCTAATGGAACAGCTCTTGAGTTCTCAGCCTCAAAACCAAACGCTTTCCTCTTTCTCTGTTGAGAAACTCTGTTGTCGATTGGCTTCTCGTTACCACAAGAAAACGTGCGGAATTTACGTTTTTCGTATTCTCCATTGTCAGCTTCAAACGGAGTGCCTAAACTGGTACCATTACTAATATGATCCAAGAACAACTTGTACGAGTTATCAATCTCAAGATCATCATCACGACAGATTATTGGAACATCAATTTCTTCATGCATAGTTGAAGTAGGCTCGCTAACTGCATTCACCATAAACCTTGTGCATCCATCGTCAATATTCATAATGGAGTCTGCGTTAAAGAATTCAACATCGTCAATTACAAAGAATAAAACGCAGGGGAATGATTCTGAGAAAGAAAACTAAGAAACAACCCTAACAAATTAAAGATCAATCGATTGTCGTTTTAACCATAAAAATTCCTTTAAAAGTTAGAAAAAAAATGGAGGAGAGCGAACGTAGAATCATGCATACCGTTTGGAGCGACTCTGCTTGTGAACACAAACTGAGAGGAAAATAAAATTCCCAAAAGAGAGAGAAATCAGAAACGGACAGAAAAGGGAATTAATGAAATTTTTAGGGTTTAATTGCAGATCATATTTTGCTTAAACAATAAAGGAAATTTTGGAGAGAAAGAGGAATAGGAAGAGTCAAGAGAGTTAAGAGACTTTAAGAGAGAGCGAGGGAGGCTATCAAGGCTAATTAGTACTCGAGTGTTAAATAGACCTACCGAAAATCTTACTTTAGGCTTCAGCTGTCAGAACTCACGTCATATATATTTTATCTTCTTCTTTTTAAAAAAAAAATTATTGGACACGTCTTATATTTGATCTTATAGATAAAAATCCAATAAATAATCAAAAGCAAAGAGAAAAATTCCAGTGAAGAAAATAAGAACTATATTTTCTGCTAATTTGTGTGATTGTGGGAAACGAAAAAAGAGCATGCATGCATTGGGTGATTTGGTGACCAAGTAATAAATATAGGCTGTTGTGAGAAAGGAACCAAACTTCAACTTTTCCGAGTACTATTATTCTATATATATCTCGTTTTGGGGAATACTTGAAAAGATATTCTTTTTCATTCAAACTGCAAAGCTTAAACACACAACTGAAGTACCCCAGGAATAAACGAGAAATTAAACCATAAACTTAACCAACTTTAAACCAGCAATATGACCTCTAATTATTACAGTCATCACAAACACAAAGAAAACTATTTATAAAGTAAATTCCCGGCCAACTACTAGTCTACTACCCTGGCTGAGAGAGAGAGAGAGAGTAATGGAGTGAATTCAAAGCTTCCATTAATTGTAAACTCATCACCTGATAGACATATTAACCGGTCATAAATGGTTCATAGAAAACGAGGTCCATTTAGTGCCTAGACAATCACACAAGATTGTAGAATTCTAAGGAGGCTATCTTTTGTGTGGAAAATTTAGTCTCGTCGTTTACTTTGATAAATGTATGCAAGTAGTAGCCATTTTTTTTTTTGTTTTTAAAGATTTAAGGAAAGTACTCCAGTTACACACAGAATATTGATTTAAACAATAATCCCGATTTACAAAAGCGTAGATAAACAGAAACTTCACCCAATCCGATAGGGAAAACAGAAACAAAAAACAACTTAATACAGTCTTCTCATCAGATTCTGTGGCATAAAGCACACCGAATCAGACAATGATTTGGCAAGAAAACCAAACCACACTTAGTTACCAATCAGTTGGGAATGAAGAAGAAGATATCATCAAGCCTATCATTGCTCGGCGAGTTCCCTCCATAAACCAACAAGCCATCCTTACCGTCCCGTGATCCAGCCGCGAACGCGCACCATCCTCTAGGCCCGGGATGCTCCTCTGATCCAAACCCATCCTTCCATTTCCTCCATTCAAACGTCTCTGTATCAAGCCCATAAGCTTCACCAGTGAAGCTCCCTGCTCCCATATGCCCCAAATCGCTCGGATCAACCTCCCCTCCAAATATCACTATCTGTTTCCCAACAACCGCCGTCGAAAAAACACTTCTTGGAGACGGTTTCTCGCCTTTTGTCTCAACTTCTTTCCATTCTCCTTTAGCTATGTCGAAACAGTAGACATCATCAGCTTCTTCTCCCGTAAATCCATATACAACCCAGATCTTCCCTTCAACCACCTCGAGCCCTGGACCGCCTCTTCCTTTACAGGCTTCTCCTGGAGATGGGAACTTAATCCACTTCTGATCAACAACGTTGTACGCCCACAGATCGTTTAGACGACCCTCAACACCGCAACCACCAAACACATAGACGTTCTGAGAATCAGCAGCAATCGAGTGGTAGCTTCGGTTTTCAGGACCGGTTTCCCCTGAAGAGAGTAGCTTCCACTGGTTGGTCGAAGTGTTGAAACAGTAGAGCTCGTTGAGCTCCTGGTTAGTCGCGTCCCGGCCACCAAAGAAGTAGATGACGGGTCCCACTGCAGCCATGGCTACACCTACTCTAGGAGGAGGAGCGTCACCTGAAGCTTCCTGGATCGACCATGTACAGGTGTGGAGGTCGAAAACGTAGAGATGGTTGTCCACGGGAACACGCGGTTGGAACTCGCCGCCAAAGGCGTACACTTTGTTTCCCACAAGAGCTATGGCGTGAGAGCTTCTTGCTCCTGGTCCGGTCCCTTTCTGTTTAAGCTGATCACAAATATAACAGAGAAGACAACAAACACAATGATAAACTATTTTAAATATTTACAAAGATAAAGAATCAATCAAGAGAGTAGTTTTCGTATGATAATAAAGTATTAGCTGAAAGTAATCACAAACAAACAAGAGTTGAGTCAGCACGCAAATACTTAATTTCCAAAATAACAAACTCATCGTCCACTAATCCAATTTTGATCAGAGAAATCATAAAATACGAGAATTAATCGTCGAACCAATATGAAAGGAAATCAACAGACTGAGAAAGAGTTTCTTTCTTCGATCCACCGATTAATTTACGAAGAACTGGGACAAATTTTCAGAGAAATTCGTAGGACATCAAACGAATTTAAAATTTCAGTAGCCGATAATCTCGTACGAATCAATAAATCGAAGATACTACGAAATGGTTTGATCGGGAAATCGATATAGAGAAGTAGTAATGTAAACTTAGATTCGAGTGATGGAGAAAAGAAGAAGAAAGAGATTAATATGAAACCTGAACCCATTTGCCTTCCATTTGAGTAGCTGATGCCATCGTTGCTCTGCACTTGCCCACTGAATCGAGTCGTTGTTGTTCTTTGTGTTGGACTTCTCTTTTCTCTTTGTGGGTGTCTCTATTTAAAGCCCTTTGAGGCCCAAAGAGGGGGAAAAAAGGAATCTTTCTTTTAATCGCTATTTTATTTAACGATTCATTGTTTTCTTGGAATTGGAAATATTCTTTTCTCAAAAATATGTCTTTTAAAAATGCATCTTAAAATATCTATTATATAAAGAGTGAGTTATGTCTCACAAGTTTGACACATCAGCTCTTCTCCTTATGACACATCAACTTTCAATTTATTATGAAAAAAAATTTAACACCAATATTAATTTTGTTTTTAATCCCAAAAATAAAAAAAGAAAAAAATATCCATTTTTTGTCATTAGCACTCACTATTATCTCATTAATCTCATTCCTAGAAGTTAGAAAGATGAAATAAGATGGTTATCACGGCGATAGTTTTTAAATTTAGTTATCACGGTGATAGTTTTTATAAAGATAGTAAACTTCATCTAATGAAATAACTTGGTAAAACTGAAATGATTAATTTGCTGTGAATTATTTACTATCTTTATAATTGTAATCTCTTAACAAAATAGAGATGTGAGTTATTTCCTAACTAAAAAATTATTTACGAACTAAAATAGAGAATCAAAAATAAACTATTTAAAACTCTATTAAAATTCTTTTCGGCTAATTATATGATTATGTTTAAACATAACCAGTTGAAATGATTGATAAACATTTTGTATTTTTAAAGTTGAAAATGTTACAACTACAATCACGAATGTAACTATGTAAGTAACCATTTTGGGAACAAACTTTAATACAATTAAAATTTACAGATATCTTACTATATTTTCATGTATTGTATAGTCTTTCCAGAACAATTTTATAATTGTAGGGTTTAAAATTTTAATATTTTTTTAATTCAAATGTTTCTTCGTCTAAAGTCATTGATTTGAGCTTATTATATGCTAATTTTCAGTACCTAAATTTTCTACTTCTACAGAAATCATCCCAACAAGTGAAAAGATGTCAAGAAAATAGAAATGTGCGACCAAAGCCTAGAAAATATTTTAAAATCATGCAAGTCTTCTTAACTGATAGCATATTGTAATGGAACTATAGAATCATAAGACGTCATTTTGAAAAAACTTGGGCTGATGGTTTTTGAATCTGAACTCAACTGCATCAATAAGACCGGTGCTGCGCTTATTGAAAGTGTGAAGATTGTGATTCAAAACCAGGCGGAGATGCTTAAAGTTGACATGTTTCTGATTCCCACAAGAGTATTGGTGGCTCTTTAGGCAAAAAAATCAAGGATAGAGAGTTCCATTTGTTGTTTAGAGGAGACAATGCTAATATTATCTGTTACTTGACACTCAAGTTGGTAAAGTTTCACTCTTTTATAGTTTGTAAAGACTGCCCCAAAGTAGACGGCAATGCGTACTAAATTGAAGGTTATTCCATCTTTTTTTCCATGAATAATAGAGTAGAATTTGCGATGATATCACCACACCAACGGTAGTTTCTGTGTAGTTCAATGCACAGAATCAGAAGGATACAAAGAGTTGCTTGTGTTTATACATATGTGGTGAAGATTGTGTGGTCTACGGAAAATTTGATTCTAGAAAAATTAAAAGAGAAAACTGCAGCATATACTAGCTATTAATAAGGTACTTCGTTATCTCCATTCTCATAATTTTTTTTTTGCTGCATTTTTAAAATTTGTGTAAAGAAAAAAATAGAAGAAGTAAATGGCAAAGAGAGAGTCAGAACTTACAGATAATACACCAAGGAGATGGCTAACAAAAAGAATGAGAGAGCGAAGGATATTGCTCTCTCCTCTAGGATGTACAAGAAGTTTTTTTGTATAGGTTTTGATTTTATTAAGAAAAAAATAATTAAAGAATTTAAGTTCTTATAATTATAATTAGAGTAAACGAAAAGTGTTTTACATTAAAAAAAATCAAGTAAAAGAGAGTAAAAAAACTATTATGGAAAGTTTACAAAAAGATTGAATAAACAGAAACACTCAGAAAAGAGAAGAAAAAGTTATAACAAATCACATTACTCTAAATAGTAAAAACATTTTGTCACTTATCGAATAACTAATCCTCTATCTCGAATTAGGTTGTATTTGTTAAAGTATATTTCCTACCAATCAAAAATTAACTCCTAAACACTAAATATATGAAATTTATTTTATTATATTAAACACAACTTAAAAAATCTAAATAATATACAAATCCGCGTGTACACGCAGGTCTTCACCTAGTCTTATATACAAAAAATGACCAACTCTCTCCATATGAGTGACACCTCAGCATTTTAAAGTTAATATAGAGATGACATGTGTTAATTTTTAATTTAAAGTTACAATTTTTTAAAAAAATTAATCAATAAATTTTCATATTAAATTTTTAACCATTCTTATATATAAAGATGACCAACTCTCTCCATATGAATGACACATCAGCATTTTAAAGTTAATATAGAGATGACATGTGCTAATTTTTAATTTAAAATTATAATTTTTAATTTAAAGTTACAATTTTTAAAGAAAATTAATCACTAAATTTTCATATTAAATTTTTAACCATTCAAAGAAAACGAAAAGTTTTTTTATTAATTGATTCTTAATTAACATTTATGTCAATATTAAACAAGAATTTATGTTATAATTAATTAAAATATTGATGATTTTTTGTATGAAACTTTTGATTTGTTAATAATAAGAAAAATTTTTTTATTAATTAATTTTCAAATAACATTTATGTAAATATTAAACAAGAATTTACGTTATAATTAATTAAAAATATTGATGGTTTTTTGGTGTAAAACTTTAATTTTTAATGATATTATATTTAAAATTGATTGATTTAAAATAATATAGCAATTGATGATTATATTTTTTTTAGAAAATAAAAAATTTATAAATTGGAAATAATTGAAATAAAACCGCACATACATGCGGATATTCACTTAATGTTTACTTAAATAAAAGGGCGCATCGAAATGACCAAGCAAGAAACGGCATGGAATTTGCAGTTTCCGAAGAGAAAACAATATTTTATGCTTCTAGCATCACAATTCACAAGTGGCCAACTAAAGTCTAAACGATACAAAACTACATCTTTTTAGCCAAGATTTAACGATTGACACAAAAAGTTGATCGTGATTTCAATAGTTTCGTGTAATGCACTCAAGTATCAAGATTAGATTAAACTTCATCGCCTACTTGAAGTCTTGAATCACATACTTGAATTAACTCTAATGATAGCATATATATATATTTTTTACAAAATCTATATTTAGCATCTTAAGACATCTAAATATGATTTTTTTTTGCCTACAAATACTGCCGTTTTCACTAATTCTCTTAGTTTTCACTATTTAACCAAAACCAAAAGATCAAAAACTAAATGACAAACTAAAGCTAAAATTTGAAGGCAACCAATAACCTTCCAAAGGGAGCAATAAGCATCAGAATTACGCCACAAACATGGAGCTTGAAAGAGAACTAAAGGGAACACCACCAAATAATCGAAAGCACGAAATCAAAGACTACCTCGAACACCAACAATATTAATCCTGACGGAAGAGAAACGCAAGACTGATAATTCCCAGACCACATAACTACGTAAAGATACGAAAATATGTGTTATATTTTTGTATCTTTCAAAAATAGCAGTTTATTTTAGCGCGAAATTTCGTTTGGTTGACAGAAAAAGTTTCATAAATTTTATATTAAATTTAATAATTATAAAAATAATTTTAAATAATAGTAATAATGTAATCATCAACTTATTTTCTTGTTATCTGTATTTCTCTTTTCTCTGTCTTAGTTTTTCTTCTTCTTTAAAATATTAACCAGATGAACTTTTACTTAAATAACTAACCTTTATACATGCCGGTCGGCCAAAAAACAAAAAAACATGCGGAACACTCTCCAGTGTCCACACGTTAAACGTGAGAAAGCGAAGCTGGACACGCACCTTCCATAAAAAAAATTGGGACTAATAAAAGTTACAAAGATTCTTTTCCTTCTCTAATCAAACTCAAATTTCCATATTCGCTCAAATTTACCCAAATTTCAGTAAGGGACAAGTTTATTTTAGTTGGAAGGTAGAAAAATCCGAGCAAACAACACACGTCTCCTAATTTAAGGGCGACACCATACGCAACTCTCTCTCTCTCTTACTCTATCGATTCCAAGAGAATCATCGTCTCTACTTAATAGCAGAGTTTACAGATTCCTGTAGCAAAGGAATCTGGGTTCTGGGTTCATTTCTGACACAACCAGTCAACCCAGTTCAAGACTCAAATAAAGGTTCCATTTTTCTGGATTTTCTACTTCCGTTATTTGTTTATTTTCTTCTTCTTTTAAGTTAATTGATTTTGCTATTATAAGCTGGATTCAGAACAAGTTAGGCTTCAATCGTTGTACACTGAATTTGGGTTCTTTGAGTTTCTAAGAATCCTGTAGATTCTCTTATCAATTCAATAATCTATACATGGGAGTCGTTGAAAACTCGATCCTTTAGAAGAGGCTTCAACTAAAAGATGTAATGGAATTCTGTTAATACAGCTTTAATTGAATCCTTTGCATTGTTTAGAGTTAAGATCATACAAATGATGATTTGTTGCAGAATTGTCCCCTATGCTTTCCAGTCTTATGAGTCCAGCTGATTCTTTTATTGAAATTTTGTTGCTTGTTTGATGAAATGGTTGCGCTTAGTTTCCAGATGTACGTATACATAGTTTTTATCTCTGTTTATACTTGCTCGATATTGTTCACAAGAGCTGATTATGTGATCTTTGTTTTTGTTTTCCTAGTAAATTAGGTGGAAATGGCGGCATTATTAGCTTCCCAGAGCTACTGCTATGGCAGTGAGACCGCAAGAACCACCAAAGCTATTGGTTTCAGTAGCTCTTTGGATAACCCTTTCACTGGGGATTCCACCAAGTGTTTTGGCAGCAAGTCTAAGAGATTTCATATTGAGATGAGACAATCGGAATCGCCTTCCAAGCCTGGAATCAATGGACGTTCAGTCAAAATGGTTCCGGCTAGTGAGGTTGTGAAAAGGAAAGATGGTGTGAACAGTGTAAATGGATCGGTGGGGAAAGTTGTTAATGGAGCGAATTTGGTTAGTAGTAGAAACATTAATGGTGCGTCGTCAACTTTGGTTAAGGCGCCAAAGCAAAAGACAGGATCGTACCTTCCTCCACCGGTTGAGGGAGTTAGGGTTCTTCCTTCCGATGAAGGTTTTAGCTGGGCTGATGAGAACTACAGCTCACTTCAACGGAGTATTGATGTTTGGTCGTTTGTTATTTCCCTTAGGATTCGTGTCTTGTTCGACAATGCCAAATGGGCTTACGTTGGAGGGTTCACAGAAGAGAAACAGGTAAAAGCCTTTCATCATTGTAATCTCGTTGATTGTTTTACCAATACCGGTTATGTTTGGACTTGGCTCTTATGAGTTTTACCTGTTGTTGTATAATCAGAAAAGCCGAAGAAGAGAAACAGCTTCATGGTTGAGAGAGAGTGTATTGCAGCTTGGTCCTACGTTTATCAAACTGGGACAGCTGTCCTCGACTAGGTCGGATTTGTTTCCTCGTGAATTCGTGGATGAGCTTTCCAAGTTGCAGGTACATTGCTATTTTGTTTCTCTTTAGGTTTTGAATCTAAGCATAAGTTTCATATCTCTTTATGTTTTCTTACTCTTCTTTTAATTACAGGACAGAGTCCCGGCTTTTTCTCCAGAGAAAGCAAGGCGCTTCATCGAGACCGAACTTGGGGCTCCAATAAGTCTAATGTTTAAAGAATTTGAAGACCAACCCATAGCTGCAGCTAGCCTTGGCCAGGTATGTGATACTCCACCTTTGAACACACTTACTTGCTAGTTTTCTTTTTGTTTTAGTTTTGCAGTTCTTCTACATATTGATGTTTGTATTTTAATTTTTCAAAGTTTATCCTTTAGGTACACAGAGCTGTGTTGCACAATGGTGAGAAAGTGGTAGTCAAAGTACAAAGACCCGGACTCAAGAAACTTTTCGATATTGATCTACGTATGTAACAACTTTCTTATGAGTTATAGAAGAAAAAAATTCTGGACATGGATGCTTGATAGATGCTGAAATGAAATGGCATACTTTGTTATCAGGAAATTTGAAGTTGATTGCTGAGTATTTCCAGAAAAGCGAATCGTTTGGATCAAACGATTGGGTTGGTATATACGAAGAATGTGCCACGTAAGTCTTTTCTTCCAGAAAGTAACTATAGCTTGATACCTAGCAACTTTGTGATTCTGATCTTCCCTTTTGTATCAGAATTTTGTATCAAGAGATTGACTACATAAACGAAGCTAAGAATGCAGACAGATTCCGGAGAGACTTCCGGAATATAAGCTGGGTCCGCGTACCTGTAAGATTCATTAGCTAGCCAAAACCTGTGAGATCAAGTTGTGTAATTGTGGGACAAATGAAACTTATTCTGGTTTTGTTGTTTTCATTTGTAGTTGGTCTTTTGGGATTACTCAGCGATGAAGGTCTTGACTTTGGAGTATGTACCAGGTTCGTGTTGATACTACCCAATATATCTTTTCGATTGATAAAAAAAATGCAGTGGTAGAAACTTTCTTATATATTGATTGGTGCAATTAGGTGTCAAGATCAACAAGTTAGACGCCTTAGCTGCACGGGGATATGACCGTTCACGAATAGCATCACGGGCCATCGAAGCTTATCTTATCCAGGTTAATAACAACACAGCAAAACAGTTGTTCAAGTCCACGTCTTTTTTATTTTTCCCTGGTTTCAAACTTATGTTTATGTTTTGGCTGCTTTAGATACTCAAAACCGGCTTCTTTCATGCGGATCCTCACCCAGGGAATCTTGCCATTGATGTAGACGAATCGATCATCTACTATGACTTTGGCATGATGGGAGAGATCAAAACATTTACTCGGACGAGATTGCTTGATCTCTTCTATTCTGTATATGAAAAAGATGCCAAAAAGGTAGTTTTTATATCTTTCACGGACTAAATCTCAAACTGAGGGAGACAAGAAAACTAACTAAATGTCCTTACAGGTCATGAAGAACCTTATAGATCTTGAAGCACTTCAACCCACTGGAGATCTTTCATCGGTAACCTTATAGTCTCATTCATTCTCTATGTGAAGTTTAAATATGTAATCTCATTAGCAACTTTATTCGTGTTTGTGTTAGGTGAGGAGATCTGTTCAGTTTTTCTTGGACAATCTATTAAGCCAAAGCCCTGATCAGCAACAGACTTTGGCAGCTATTGGAGAGGTACTGATCAAAACCGTGCCAGCGAAAGAAGCTGACCTTCTTTCTCAAACCATTCTAATGATTTATGGTAGCTGTTACTATATGATTGTTAAATAGAAAAATTCGTGATTGCTATGGCAGGACTTGTTTGCAATTTCCCAGGATCAGCCATTCCGTTTCCCATCAACTTTCACATTTGTCATCAGAGCATTTTCCACACTCGAGGGTACCTATTCAATCTCTCTTCTCTCTTCTGTTATTCAAAATCTTCGACAAGTCTCACAACTTCTAGCATTCATTTTGCAGGTATTGGTTACATTCTTGATCCAGATTTTTCCTTTGTGAAGGTTGCGGCTCCATATGCGCAGGTTCTTATCTTTAACAGTCTTACTCTCTGCTCTTCTGTATCATTGTGTCAATGCTCATGAACATTGATAAAAACAGGAACTCCTGGATTTAAAACAAAGGCAGCGCTCGGGAACTCAGCTTGTCCAACAAATAAGGAAGCAGGCCGACGATGTAATGCTTTCCCTCTCTTTTTTCATCTCCAATCTCTCTCTTTTTCTGTTTTGTATTAAACACAAGAAAACTGTACAGGCAAGGTCTTCTACTCTGTCCATGCCATACCGAGTGCAACGGATAGAAGAGTTCGTGAAAGAACTCGATTCAGGCGATTTAAAACTCCGTGTTAGAGTTCTTGAGGTAATAATACATCCAACACTCCCCAAATCGTTTTAAGCTCTTTTACCCTAGTAAAATCCAATAATCTCAACCAAAAAAAAAAAAAAACAGAGTTGCCATACAAATCACTGAGCATCGTACAACAATAACAAAGGAGACGCATTGTAATTTCGTTTCTTTTTTTTTGGTTCAGTCGGAAAGAGCAGCTCGGAAAGCGACAATACTGCAGATGGCGACAATGTACACTGTTCTTGGAGGAACTCTGCTTAATATTGGGGTTACATTTAACAACCAAGGAAGCCAGCTTATCGCTAATGGATCCTTCGTTGGGGCAGGTATGAAAAACCCTTGTACACGCGTGTGTATAGGTGTATATGATATATATCCTGGTGTTTAAACTGTTTTTGTTTTTTTGTGCAGGGATATTCATGGCATTGGTATTGAGATCTATGCAAAGGGTAAATAAGCTTGATAAGTTTGAGAAGATGATATGATGATGAATGGTAATTCTTTTGAAGCTCCTCATACCAGATATAGAATTGTGATGATGTATAGGTATAGCATATATCTTTAGCTCCCATATTCATAATATTTTATAAATTGTATAAAAACTATTTCGAAGTCTCAATATAAAGAAAGTCAAAGGTACCCGAGACTGAGTTTCACTAGAAAGTGCACAACATTACTTCTCCAGTTATAAATTGTATACAACTCTGTGTGCTCTTATAAGGAAATTCACAACTAGCCTAGCAGAGGAAAAACTTTTACAAAAAAGAGAGAGCTCAAGGTTTCTGACCAAGAAGCCATGGCTGGAAAAAGAGATGGCTGTGAGCAATCTCGATGAGTTCACGTGGGTCATTCATTGTCTCATCCCTCAGCGCCTCAAGAATCGCCTCACACGAGAACTCCCTAAAACCACCATCAAAGCTTAAATTTGTGATTATAAGGTCCAAAGCTAATAAGGTGAGAAAAGGAAGATACCTTGTTATAAGAATTCTGTAGAGCATCTTCAAGATAGGACAGAGCTCAGCAGGAGTTACAGGTTTTCCCTCTTCAGGGTGTTGAAGACTTAACGAGGATTGGTTTAATAGCTCGAAAAATGCTTTTACCGCAGAAACCCCCTATGAACAATTACATCAAAATCACCTCATTCATCATTAGCCTTTCACATATCTAATCTAAGACATCCTATTTGCAATCTTCTATTGGGATTTATGGAAGTACCTGAATCATTCCCTTGCCTTTGATGCTATCACCCATTTCAAGGCTAAGTTCTCCTTTCGCAAGCTTCTGGCCATACCACGCATTACGACCTTTTAGTAATGTCACATAGGTATCCGCGAGCAAAGGCCCAGCAAGTTTCTCTGGCTCCTTGGCCAATAGATGCGTAATAAAAATCATCTCTGATGTACAATGAGCAAAATATACTGATTTGCTGGTAGCACTTTCCTTTGTCAGTGTCGCCACCATTCCTAAAAAAAACATTGGTTCATGAGCTTTAACCTATGATCACAAATTGCTATTATTCAGATAACTATTTGAGAGATATGGACCTAACCTGCGCCAATGGCATATACATTTTTCAAACCACCCATGACTTCATGAGTAACAAGGTCACTGTTATCCCACACTATGAAATGAGACTGCCTGAGAAACTTGCCCAACGGCTTCCTCCATTTTTCAGACCCACAAATCCGTGCATTAGCATACTCTTTGTTGTATACCTCGGAAGCAATGTTAGGTCCTCCAAGGTAGAGAATATTCTCAAGAGGAATACCAGCTGCAAAGAAGGATATAACAAGAAAATTGTAAAAATTTCAACGAGCAACACCAACACGTTCAAGATGCAAGAGACTCAGGATACTACTTAATCTCAATAACAAACAAAAATTCTCTCTCATGATTCATGAAAATACTGAGGAAGATAGATATCAGATAATTCATCTAGCAAGCAGATAAAGAAGACTAGGGAAGTGAATTTACTCGCTCGGTAGATCATTTGAGTAGGAGTAACAATACGAGGATGAGGTTCGAACTCTGCTTCCACACCCTTAGCCAAGGAGATGATGACAGGAGCTGTAACCCTCTCTTTCCAATATTTACTAATCTCATTGAACACCTGAAACGTCTCAGTTGATGGTAAGCCATTGATGACAATATCAGCGTCCCAAACAGCCTCCTGCAGATTAGTCACAACTTTCAAAGGACACAAAGGAGTCTCAATCATGTTCAGACAAAACCCATCTTTCAATATCTCGTCTGCGTACAAAACCCTATCCCCTAATCTAGCTTCTACATACTTGAGATACGCGCATCGTCTAATCAACCTTCTAAGCAATTCCTCTCTCGAATTGATCACTTCGAACAAATGTTCAGCTGTGCTTTTATCGATCGCTCTCCCTTCTCTTCTCCAGATTCTCACACTAGCTTTTCCCCTAAATCTGCCGTAGTTTTCTTGCAACATTGCGACGAAGACGCTTCCCCAAGCACCAGCTCCTACACCAACGATCCTCAACGGATCTTCATCGGCTTTGCCCATTACTCTACGAATCTCATCAAGCCTTTCTTCAACTAATCTGCTCGGAGCTGAGTTTTTATCGTTCATCGATTCCACTAAATGATCCATCATCAACAAATGAAATCTCTTTCGATTTCTCTTGAATCTCTTCAGTGGTTCGCCCACTGACACAACACAGCAATCTGTGGAACAAAAGTCGTTGTCTTTATCGGATTTAACGATGCTTAAACTTGAACGACGACGATATGACTTTTTCAGGAAAGTTTGTGTTTTTTTCTTTTTCAGGTAACTTGTAAAGACAAGACACATAACGTCAGCTTCTCTCTTTGCTTTGCTGGCTTTTATCTACCCTGGGCCCACTTATAATTCACCATTTACTGTAGCTTTGTAATTATTTTTTCTCATCGTTTACTTTAGTGGCCATTTTTATAACCTTCTCCATATGAGTTCGAACCTTCTCAACTAAAATCATTGATTCATTCCTAACATCATCTCCCATGTATGACTCCATATTTTTCTCTAAAATGAAGTTGTATTTTACTTCAATGTAAGCTTCATTTTTACTCTAAAATGAAGTTACGATATTTTTTGCTCTATATATAGAGTAACTCCATTTTTAACTCCATTTTGGAGTGAGATTTGAAGTAGGATTGGAGATAATCTTGCTCCAAACTCTATTTTACAGTGAAATTTGCAGTAAGATTGGAAATGGTCTAAGTCATAAAAAAACAACATTTTTTATTTCTCCATTCAAAATTTCAAATGAAATCCCTAGCTTGTCTTAAAGCTTTATGCTAATAAAGAAAACAAAAACTGATTAATGCAAATCTTTCGATGAACTACGATTGTGTCTGTAAAAAAGAGTTAAAGTAAAGATTCTCTGATACATTTTTTAACTTAAGAGGCAAAATAAGTTCTTAGGGGCTAAAAATAAAAGCCTCCAAAATCATAATAAACTCGTACATACTTTTAGACACGAGACATGCCGAGTTTGCGTTCAAACAAGCGACGCAGAAGATAAATTTGGAGGACACTTGCCCCGATCAGTGCAAACGACTCGAACAAAGCTTTGTGTACTGCTCTTTTACTCATGCTCTCGTTCACTGCAACAAAAGAAAAACCATCTCCTCAATTTTACTTGCAGGCGCGAAAAAGAAAAACAAACAAATGGGAGTTTTAGAAAAAAATGTTACCGATAGCTTGACGATCGGTCTGAGCCTCTAACCAATGTTGTTCAAATTGGATGTTGTAAAGAGCCTCCTCTAACTTTGATATTTGCTCCATCAAGGGAGTGAAATGCTCTGCACAAAGGAAAGGAACCATCTTTCAGCTAAATGAACTCAATACCAAACCAAACCGATACAAAACCAATCAGATAATTCCTCACCGTCTTTTGCGTGCTGATCGTAGTATGCAAAGTGACCAAGCTGTACATCGAAGTCAATGGTTTCGTGATAAGGAGACTTGTTTGTGAAACAAAAACGGTAAACCCCTTTCTTTTGGACAACAAAGTCGTGCTTGGCACTTATCTGCTCCCTGAAGTCATGAATTTGCTCGCCTGTTGGGCCGTGTATCTGTTCACAAATCCAAGATATATCATCTCCCATGGTTATCTCACTCAACACAACACAAGAGACTTGAAGGATATGTCATATTAGCCTAAATATGAGGCTCGATACATTGTGTAATTCCATGCCCAACGATTACATAATCACCATTGGTTACTCAAAAGTACAAAAGAGACTTGTAACTATAACAACAACCAAATTAACCCGAGAACACAAGTTATAATTTTTAGGAGAAATGAAGCTATTTTATCTTACCGACAGAGAGAGCTATTTCTAACTCAACAATGGAAATCCTAAGCATTGTCTACGAATAACCAAGTCTATTAATTTTCGACGGTTTTTGTAGATACAATGGAGTAAAGGATTCAATCAGAAAAAAAATAGATTTTAAATCAAATAAAAAAACGAAAACAGAAAACTTACCACAAGATCTACACCATCCTCGTTGAAATGCCATTGAGAGTCAGACTTGATGACGACGAAAGAGACATGAAGCGTATCGCCTTCATATTCAGCCTTGTGGGAGAAACATTCTTCTCTGTCTATCACGAATCTAATCCCTAACGTTGCCTGGAAGCTCCATACGAGCCCTAATATTAAGATCGTCGCCTTCAAGCTCATCTGCCACAAATCAATTTCGATTCATTTCGAAGAAAAAAAACGCATTTCAATCGTTCAGAAGAACCCTCAATCATAGATTTTCCAAATCCAGTTGAATTCTTTCAATTTCGATTCCTACGAGGTGATAGATTTCAGATAGAGAGACAAAGAGAGATTTACCTTCCAAATCAGAGAATTGAGGTGATAAAATCAGGCGAGTGATAGATAGATCGATCGAAATTCGATCTGGTCGATGAGAGTTAAGAAGAACCGGAAAATTGATCGGAGAAGAAGACGGAGGGAGAGAAATGGGCGAGAAAGACCGAGTTCGTTCAGAATCGGACACGATGGAAGTCTGTTTTGACTGAGGGGTAGTTTCGTGCCCCGACAAGATCATGAACTTCAAACGACGTCGCTTGGTTCTTCATTTAGCCATTTGGTCAGCGGGCTTACGTGGCGTAATATTATTCGTCCTTAGGTACCTTTACACCATTGAGTTACTGCCACATCACTACCTACCGTATTAACTCCATGATGGTAATATCCTTACGTTTCTTTGTGGGATGATTCAATACGTTTCATTATTCGCTGAAAATGTTAACTCCATAAAAGCTTTTTTCTTACATCAAAGAGAAATTGGTAAGTCTCTACTATTTCGAGATCTTAGAAAATAAAAAAGAAAAAAAGAGAAAATAAGCATCAAACGCATTCGAACTAGAGTTTTCATAATTGAGCATCTATGTTATGAACACCTTTTGAAATTGTGGCCTCTTTTTTCATATAATGTGGCCTAAAAGCAATGCTTTACATGCTTTAAAGGAGGGATGGGCCTCACTTTTTTGTACTGAAAAATTACATTCCGGGTTGAAGCACAATGAAGCCTATCTGAAAGCTGTTGACGTTTCCTCATTTAACACTCAGTTCTTGAAGAAGTTCCTAATTCCACTGAAGAGCCGTAGAGCTTTCAGCTCACCGCTTCTTATATCTCGTAGTCTCCTCCTCAGGATCTGAACCCAAACAAAAAAAAAAAAGGAAAAAGCAGGAGATTCCGCAATATTATGGATGGATCCACATAATTTTATCTATCGTACTGGCTAGAGAGTGGTTCCTTACGTATTGAGCACGGTACAGTATCCTACGCTCACTGGTGGACAAGTCTACAGCCAGCTGTTTCAGAAACGCTTTACGATTCAATTGTTTTGGAGACGTTATGTCCAAATCCATTGATCCACTTTCCTACAATTAGATAATGAACAAAACAAACCATAAGCAGATGCAGTGTAATTTCTCCCACACAGAGAGAGATGTTTCGGTTATATTTATACCTTTAAGAATCGGCTGTACTTTGAGATGCTTGTTTCGCATGAGTCCAGTATGAACTGTAGTGCTTCTTCCTCGATCTCGGGATATTTTAGAACCTTAGTTGTTGATGACTTATTTGAAGCAGCTTTCGCCATCTGAAAAATGGATATATATATATATGTATTCAGAAATTAAGGATGTTTTATGAATTTGGGAAGAATTGGATGGAGTCAACTAAAACGGGTCATGGTTTTGTTGCCAAACCTCTTCAAAGCTGTTTCTCATATCTGGAGGGCTCACCACTAGGTAAGCATAGGCCATTAGCTCCAATGGCCAACCCGTTATCCTTACGGGGAAGCATTGAGGCCTGCCAGTGAATAATTATCAGATACAATAAAAACAAAAATCCAGTTGATCAAGAGGAATCTACAAAACTTGTGAGGGAAACATGGATGGCGAGGGATTTGATTACGTGGATAATCCGTGTTTCTTTAATGCATCCAGCTTTTCCTTGTAACACTTGTCGTTTTTCCTGAGTGACATTGCTAGCTCTACTGAATCACTAGGATTGGTTCCTTCTCTGGGAACAAACCCATAAGACAGCAATAGCTCTCCGTTGGATTTATTCCCATACGATATGAAAACCTGTACAAAGTCATGTATTATAACATATCAGAGACTTACAACAGCTCTGGTTCCACTTAATTTGGATGGGGACTAGTTTTTCTTGTACCCCGACTTATATTTAACTTAAATGCTCAGGTTATCTGAATTAGACCAGACCGACCAGTTGAAGTGATACACAATTCATATTTTTCTCTGGAGAATGTAAGTATGAAACTTTAGGTCTTATTTACCTGCTCACCTGGTTGATATGGTCGATCTGCTGTAAAGACAACTCCTTTTGAAGACGTATCATAATCCAAGTACGTCTCAACCTGTCCAAGCAGAATTTGGAATACTTACTACCATACCTAACCATGATTTCTGTAGGTGAATATAGGACCTAACTGGTTATAATTTATAAAAATAAGCAGATTATGTACCTCACAATTATGATTAAGCATATCTGCCCATGGAACTAAGGCAAATCTTCCATCCATAGACGGCAACCGTACCTGTGTTAGAGAAGCTTAAGTCTGAGTTGACAGAGACAAGCATGCAGCACATTGGACACCGGAAAGGAAAGATAAATGAAATAAAGCAATATATTGGGCTGTGAGTGGTCATTGTTCACACTTTAAAAGTGTTGAAGACGGCCATATTGTGCAGAAAGTTATGCAAGAAGTTAAAGAACAAGTCTGCTGTTTCACTTGTTCAAGACATCTTGCTCAGGTACATTGATTATCAAGATGAGAAAACGATTGCTTCTGATAAAGTAGTTCTTACCAACCGTGAGAAAAGGATTCCGAAAGACCACTTAAATGTCTCATCATTGAAAACCTGCAATCAATGAATATCAAGCTCATTATACAAGCTGGCAACAAATTTCAAGATGTGGATTCACGCTATCTCAGATGATAGAATAGAAACCAACACTAGTTGCAAGTGACATAATAAAACCTCCACGAAACAAAACAAAATAGTCTTCACCATTATATGAAGATTTACTTAGATTTTGCAAATGTTTCATCTTTCATTATATGAAGAAGAAAGCAGGCGTTTGAGCAGAAAAAAGCAAGCTGTATATTTACCTCTTTTGGGAAAAGATTAGGGTGTTTGGAAAATATCCTGCTTCTTAAATCTTCATAACTAGGGAAAAGAAAAGGAAAAAAAAAAAGGAACATTGAGCAGTGGCTAATGCAGGACATAATCATCATCCCCCTAGCCCCACACACACAATAAGTGCCATAGATTGCATCAAGTAAAGCAGAGATTGGAGCTAAACAAAGATTTCAAGAATCGCGAAGGCAAAGTTCTACGCATGTCCAGCAGTTGAGAGAAAGAAAGAAAATACAATATCTCACGTTCCAACAACATTGGTGATCCTTTCAATGGCCCGTTCTCGAATCTGCGAAGCTTCCAAGTACATATCAAGTTCTGTCCGAGTCCTACAAAATAGCACAAAAGGCTGTAAAGAGTAAGAGAAACAGAGACAAATGGCCATCTTCTGGAAAGAGATGACAATACGAGCTACAGGAAGAAATGGAAGGTTACCAGTATAAAAGTGAGTAAGGTTGTCGCGGAAGAGCAGAGATATAGTTAAACCATCTCGAACTTTTCTGAAGACTTGCTTCACTTATAAGATAAGTGGCGAGCAAAGGCCAATCTGGGACATCATAACGTTTCATCACTTCACCAGCCTCTGGATTGGTCCACTCCTAAAACGCCAATTTCCAATAGATCAATAGATAATCAAATTCATGAAAGAGCCAGATGATCTTTAACTTTAGAAGAAAATAAACGTACGGAGTCAGCACTGATGACGAGAGAAGGAGGAACGAAGAGAAGTTTCTCTCCTTTCCTGAGGTTCTGAGAGGCGACGAGGCCTCGCTCGCCGATGTCGACTCTGTCGATTGCCATCTTCTGCGGCGGGAGGCCTGAATCGGAGAGCCATTTCTGAAGAGAAGTTGCGTTCTCAACTGAATCTATCTCGCAGCCCCATGATATATCGGGAGCTTCCTCCACGGATCGCCTCGTGGTCTCACCGGCCGAGACTGAGCAGTAGATTCCCGGCCGGCATCGGGACACCGGAAGCGGTGGGAGAGAGAGGGTGAAATTTTGGTTACGGAGCTTGTGGAGTGGAGAGAAAGCTGGGAGGAGAGTTGACTGAAGAACGCTAGAAGATTTCGCCATTGGAGGGAGGGAGAAAGCGAAGAAGTGAGAACTGAGAAGAGAGAAGACGAGTGGCTGTGGATGAGGCTATGCACGTTGCTTGGCGGTTAGTAACTTTGCAGACAGTAAATACTAAATACGATTGTGGAGTTCGGTCTGGTTCGAGAAATGTTCGGTTTCAGTTGATTTAGTTTTGGTTTAAGTTTGATTGGTCTTGACAGTTGACTCTTGACTTGAGGACAAGATTTTTGTTTGCAGAAAAAGTTTTTATAGGAAAACCCAACTTCCAAATTTGCTTATACTTTTAAATAATTTGTGCCAGGTAGATTTATCATCTATCAAATATGTAAGCATTAAAAATTTAAAATACAATCTTTACAGCTATAAAACAAACAATTGTTTTATTAACTTTTTCATAAGTGGAATGAATTTACTGGGAAAACAGTAGTATTGGAGGGAACTTCTCATTTTCTTTTCCAGCTTAGTGATATAGATTATCAAACTGTAAATGGGATATACAAATAGTTAATTAACAATACAAGTGGTTCTTCGCACCAAGAAAAAAAACAATGCAAATAGTTAATCTCATCATCTTCAACAGTTCTCTATTAGTTTATTCTTTTCTATTCTTATGTTAAAAACATCACTAGTCGAAATTATTGCTAAATAAGTCGAAATTATTGCTAAATAATTACGGCTTCTAGCCTTCTCCTATATATTTTTAACCGCTTAACTAGAAAAATTAAAGCCATAATTAAAATGAACGATTTTAGATTCATAAATTTCAAAATAATTAATATTTAAAAGGAAAAAAAAAGAGAGAGCCCTACGCTTCCAAAATCACACTCCGTATTTTTGCTCATTCTCCCTTTCTCGCCCCCTCTGCTTTTTCTCTTTTTTTTTTCTTTTTTTTTTTAATTTTCTTCTTCTTCTTCTTCTTCTTCTTCTTCTTCTTCCTCTTCCTCGACACAAACTAGTTTCAAATCCCATCCTCTCGTACTTATCACTCGCGTGTTCGTATTACATACACATACAGGTACTCAGACCTTTTTGGTCTGGTCCCAGATTCGGTTCGGGTTATAACAGAAGCGAAGAGCGACATACAATTGAAAGAGGATGGTCGGCAGTGGTGCTAGGGTTTCGATTCCGGCGAGTACTCGGAAGACGATTCAGGACATCAAGGAGATCACTGCTGGGAACTACAGCGAGGATGAGATTCACGCAATGCTCCATGAATGTAACATGGATCCCGACGAGACCGCCCAACGCCTACTTCTTCAGGGTATGATTTTATTCCTCTCTTCACTTATTTGATTCCTGATTTCGGTTCTTTGACTGGATCCACGATTGTTTCGATTTGGGGTTTTTTATTTGTTTCTTAACTTAGGTTTTAGCATCTGATTTATCTTCTCTTCTTTTCTCCTTTGATTTATTCAGCTAATTTTCTGGGTTTTGATGTCATCGTTCTCGTCGCCTGTTCATATGTACGGAATCTCTAGTTGCTTATGTGATATTGTGTTATAACCTTTTTTCCACCAAAAAGTTCAGGATTTGATTTAGAATATTCGCGAATCAACTTCGGCCACTAGTGATGTGTGAATCGAAGGGTATTAGCTTGTAAGTAAAAGTTTTCTTAGTGGTTTCTCTAGTTCGAAACAAAGATTGCTGCGTTGTAGACGCATTTATTGCTTAGAAATTCACATTACCTGGGCATTCATCATCTCACCAGAACAAATTGTTATGAAATTGGTTTCTTCTTTTTTTATGATACTTGCGGTAAGAGTTCTAAACCCATGTGCTTGATCTATCAGTGGAACTTTGGTTATGTTTATCCTGTTTAGGCCTGGTTGATAAGGCTTTTCGAATGCTTCATATAACTTGCTTGTGCATCATCTCATTTGGAGACGGTTTGTAGGATGGGGTTTTAAGTTTTGTTTGTTGAACAATTTGTCTTATTCTATACTACGCACTGAACTAAATTCAAAATCTCTTCATGACTCTGCAGATCCATTCCATGAGGTTAAAAAAAAGCGTGATAAGAGAAAAGAGGTATGGGTTGCTTGCAGTTCTTTTGGTCTATTTCATGGGTTTCTGCGTAAAGTGTGTCGAAACAGCCTAAATTGTGACATGGTCATTAACAATGTTATTATATGCAACAGAACTCTAGCAACAAGGATTCTGTTGAATCACAATGGAGATCTGGTGGCCCAGGCCGTGGTAGCAGAGGTGGTCGGATGAACTCCTCTTCTCGTCATTCATCACATGGTAAACAACAATCACATGAACTCAATTGTCACGGTGTTGCGTCTCTTAATACACAGTATTAGACTATTAGTTATCCCTGGAAGGTAGTAACTTGCGCTCACAATCCTGTTTGTTATGCTTACTCAAAATTAATTCTTACCTGCTTTTCCTCCGAGTACATACTAAATGTGTTTATGAGTGGTTTTAGTGTGTCTATTGAAAGTATGTGATATAGAAGGTTCCGTAGTGGAGATCCATAACTCGTAGCTTTTTGAATTTTTCAGTAGTTGATGAAGTGTTTATTGTGAATGTTTACTTCTAATCAGATGGTGCTGGTGCAAAGAATTCTTTCAGAAAAGAAAATGGTCCAAAGCAGGTCACTGATCCATCAACGTCAACCTCTCAAGAGACAAAAACTAAAGACATTGCTTTGGTGTCTAGGTGATTGTTATCCTACAAATCTATGTATCATTTTCCTTGATTCTATATGGCATATTTGTAGATGTATGACACCCTTAGTGAAAGAAGGGATGCACTTTTTTTCTTTCAGCATGGATATACCGTATAAATGAACTTTCTCGTGATCTTTGTTACATTTTTTGTATTGTTGACAGCCTTCCCCCTGTGATGGATGAAAGTTCTGTTGGTTTGACATCAGGAAGCTCTGATGTTCATCATCCTTCCAACCTACCAGCTAGGTCAGGACTACTTCAAGCTACTGGATCTTCAGTACCCTCAAACAACATTGATGGTGCACCATCTTCTGCTAAATTAGGCAAAAATCGTGTAGCATTGGGCTCTAAGGATGTGCAGACTGAGCAGAAGTCAGCTGATTCTCTGCCACTCCCTCGTCCATCCTCTTCAGAAGTTCGATTCACATCGTCAAATCCCAAATCATTGAGCGAGCAAACAGCACATGAACAACACATTGGAGAAAGCAAGTCCTATAGCAGAGCCCGTGGAGCTGGGAAGACTGCCACGAATGATGCTTATGTTCCCAGACCTGCTTCATCTCATAGCAACAGCACGGGTAGTCGACCTTCTTCTAACTACAGTAATCGGTCACATCAGACTGTTGGTCCTCAAAAAGGTAACAGTAATACATTTACTTTTGCAGTATTAGATTTCTACTATATGTGAATATGAAACACTAGAGTATATTCTAGGTGATAAAGTGTGCATGTTAATAAGAAACGTTGGTCGTTACTTAAAAAAAAAAACACTTTTTTGTCCGCTGTAGTTCTTCAGAATTGTATTACTGTTTTTTTGATTTCCATTTGTAATCTTCTGACATCTTCATGGATGCTTTTTTCTAGGTAGTGGTTCCACTAAGGAATGGAAACCAAAGCCAGTGAACCATAACACCAACCAGGGTCCTGGGGCATCATCTACAACTGAATCTCTTGCAGTTCCTACTGAAGCCAGTGACAAATCTGTTGAAGGTCTTATCCCTTCTTCTGAGGGCACATCTAGATTGCAGAGGCAGCTTGAAGACTTACAGATTCAACGCCAGCATGTTATCATTCCCAACCACATCCTTGTTCCAGAGGCTGAACGAACCAAGTTAAGCTTTGGAAGCTTTGATGCTGGCTTTTCTATATCATCAAACTCAGTAGCTTTTCCTGAGAATGAAAAGAGATCTGCACCTCTCTCTAAGAATTCGCAGGAAGTTGAAGAAAGTTGTGAAGAGGAGGAATTTAGGTATCTACCTGTCTCTGTTCTATCAGTTATTGTTGATGTTGTTGTCTTTTGAGCGACTAAATACTCTCAGTTTAGAGTTATATGAGTTGGAAAGAAGTTATAATAGATTACTAAGTGAAACAGGTAAAAGAAATCTCCTAGTGTAGCTCGCTGGTTTTGCTTAGTACCAGTCGAAACTTCCAAAGCATTAAGGTGAACTTTAGATTCGAGGTGTAACGGAGCATATATACATTCTTTGACATGGTATAGGCTGCCAGTTGATCTAGTGTCAATGGTTAGTGGGTTTGTTTCTAGAAACAACTCTTAGTCCTGCTTGGCTCTTAAGTTTTAATTTCTAGGTATTTGAACTTTCTCTTCTAGTTCTTTTTTTTGTCTTGCCTTGTCCTTACTCAGAACTTTTATCTTTTGAGCTATGACTCTGTTCAAATTACCAGTGCCTAAAGTGATTTTTTTCCCCTTATAATTTCAGTCACCCAACTGTCCATTCGACTGAAAAGGAAGAGAGCAATAATGTGTACTCCGAGTTGCCTTCACAAGTTCCAGTTGATATGTCTGGTGAAGGTGCTACTGCAACAAATGCAGCTCCAGAGTATGATGTCTCGAAGCAAGAGAATATGTTGGAGTCCGAAAGCAATCAAAACTCTTTTGACCACGTTCCAAATAATATCATCGGGCTTGTCCCTCCAGCGCCTGGGATCCAGCTTCCACAATTTGAGAATGCTGACCCTCAAGCACGTGATGCCCTTCGTTTTCCCAATTTTGTGGTATGCCTTCAAAATCATTTTAATCAAATTGTTATGCTGCCCCATGCTTGATCGATCGTATTCAACCATTAATTATGCCCAGCTTTTTCTCTTCATTGAGCGGCAACATTTTGCTCATTACATAGTTTATGCGTTCTCTTCTCTAATTTTTCTACTAAATGACCTATACTTTTGTTGTTTGAAGGTCCAACAACCATTTGATACAGCGAGTTACTATGCTCAATTCTACCGCCCAGGCCCTGACAGTGATGGCCGTGTTTCTCCCTTTGTTTCCGGAGTGGTTTCGTCCAAATTTAATGGGAATGTTACAGTATTGCCTCCGCATTCATCTCAAACCATGCAAGAGGTTAGTGCGGTTTTTTTTCATGGTTAACCCTTTGCGATTTTGATCTAATGAAAGATGGTTCTAAGATTCTTTCGTTTATCATGACATCCAATCTTCCAACAGTAGTCTAATACGTCATGCCAGCCACTTCGGTTTTATACTATATAAAAACTGAAGTGAATCTATAGTTTTTTATTGGTCTGTATATTTTCATGTGTAGGTGCATTATAACACGTTAAAAAGATCAAAGATATAGGTGTTACAAACATTATATTAGCACTTTTTGTGTCTGAAATGCTTGTTGGTTTGCAGGGTGGAAACAACTTAGTTATGTCGACAGCTAGTCCAACTCCACTGGTAACTCAGGCTGCTGGGCTGATGCAGAGCTCTATACCTGTCACGCAGCAGCCTGTTCCTGTTTTCCGCCCCCCGGGATTACATATGTCGCATTATCCACCAAACTACATGCCATATGGACACTACTTCTCCCCATTCTATCTACCTCCCCCGACAATGCACCAGTTCTTAAGCAATGGTGCATTTGCTCAGCAACCTCAGGCAAGCGGTGTATATCCTGCTCCTCCACTCCCTGGAGCTGCAACAGGAGGCAAATACGCACTGCCCCATTACAAGCCCGGGACTAATACAGGAAACTTGACTCATGTTGGTATGCCTGGTGGTTATGGACCATCATATGGTTCCTTCCCAGCAGGATATAATCCAACCTCTGCTGCTTCAGATGGGAATTCAACTTCTAATGAGGATCTCAACACATTGCAGTTGAAGGAAAACAACGGATACAGCACAACGGGGCAACAGGTATATATCCCCCTTCCCTCTGTAATCTAACTTGAAAGATTAGGTAAAGTTTTCTTTTTGGTAATGAGTTTGGGGTCTCTGCAGAGTGAAGCATTGCCTGTATGGATTGCTGGACCAGGACGAGATGTGTCAAACTCTTTCTACGGTTTACAGCACCATGGGCAACACGTGACTTACGCTCCAACACAAGCGGGTCACGTCACGTTCCCAGGGATGTATCATCCGGGACAAGCAGTGACAGCAGCAGGAGTTCATCATCCACTCTTACAACAGTCTCAAGGAGTTGCTGGGGCTGAAATGGTTGCACCGGCGCCTAACGTTTTCCAACAGGCTCAGCAAACACAGATGAACTGGCCAAGTAATTACTGAAACAAGAAGTAGAAAGGAAAAAGAAGATTTTGGAGGATTCAACAAGTTTCAATTTCCAGAGAAATCAGGAAGATATGGGCTTTGATTGGTGACATGAGTTACGCTTGCATTAGTTTGAGTTATAGGCATACCTCAAAAATGTTACCAATCATGCATTAGTTTTAATTTTTTGAGTTTGAGTTATAATGTGGTATGATTGAATTACAATTTTGAGTTGCCTTTGTAAAATTCATAATTCAAAAATAACTCAACATCAAGGAAAAGCTCATGTATGAAGAGATGTATTAGAGATTGAATTAAAAACCAACATGTTTCCTTTATTTTTTCTTTCTTTTTGTTTATTTTTAACCAATTTTAATTTCCAGCAATTCTTTAATTAGTGAAAAATCATATTTGTCAAAAATAACTGTTATTTTTTTATTTTTGTATGAATGATTCAACCAAAGTTGTTCCTATAGTATTTTACTGTTGAATTTGTTTGATACTTTAAAATAAGTACTTACATAGAATTATACATATATATGTGGGTGTATTTGGTTGAATATTTATGAGTTAAGTTTTTGTTAGTATGTTTCGAAATTAAAAAAAAAAGAAGTATATGTTAATTCAATCACGAAACCAGTGAGTCAGTTATTAGTTAGTTACAGGAGAGGAGAATTTGTTGTGGTACCACATAACTTTGTCTGATAAAATCTGGATACTGTCTTTAATTTCCATGAACGCCGAGTGCAAAATAGAGAAACATTTATGGAGCATACATACAAATGGAAAGGCATATACAATCATATTGTTTAATTTTAACCCTAAATCTCCCTGCTTTTTTAACTACCAAGAGAAGAACAAAATCCATGGAACCCTGATCCGTGTAACGCCCTGAAGCAGCAGAGACCCAAGTTTGATAATATCTTCTTCTTCTTTTTTATGTCAGAGTACGATCCCTCTGAACAAGAATGAATGATTGCTTACAATAATCAGTTTAGGTTCTTTTCAAACCAGACTACTCTTGTTTTGTTGCTAACCCACAATTTCCAAGTTTCTGACTTGAGAACTCTCTCCATGAGTCAAAAAACCTTTCTTGTTTCGATTTTCCTCCATGTGTATCTACTTTGTTCACCTTCAATAGCTTCTGGTTGGGGTGAGTGGGTCGTAGTCATAAGCTTCACCAGCTTTGACAAATCTCCCCTTTACACGCCGTCTCACATCAGCTCTTGCTTTGCGAGAAGCATACCTCACTCTCTTATCAAACCTGTAGCAAGCAAGTGTCTCATTAGAAAACCATGCGCTTACTTCAATGATGAATTGTAATGGATTTGCAAGGGGGTTACTTACTTGCGAGCCTTCTTCTTTTCCTTGTAACGCATAACCGCGTTATTACGGGTTACTGAATGTGAACAAGCATTATTATCCTGTGATGTTTGAGGATACCATGGTGGCTCGCCAGAGAGCTGCATCGAAGATGACGCACCACATTCTTGGAAATCTCCAGCACTGCTTTCTCCGGTGACTCCAGAGAAAGATATGTTTGAGTGTGCTGGCTTCGATGTGAAGCAAATTATTGGCTCGGTTTTCGAACTCATGAACGAGTCATTGCTCCCAGCAGGCTGCACCGAATTCCCTCCCTTGATTAACAGAAGAAAGACATAATCATTATTAGTATGGTGCATCCAATTTTTTAAACTGTTGCTTGTGAATCTCATTAAAGGAAAATGGAAAAATACATCAGGAGGAGCTGCTTGATGCTTCTGGAAAAGACTATCGATTCCACTTTGTCCAAAGAGCTCTCCCGAGGGATTAAAGGCTGTCCCAAAGAGCTCTTCATAGTTCTCAAGTGCCAAGTCAACTTCATCCATACCAAGGTTCCCATAAAAGTCATCTTCACACACTCCAACATCCTTCAAAACAGAAACAAAGAAATGGAATTTTAGTAAAACATTTTTTCATGGATGCCACAAAGTAAGGGTAATAACATATTGATAAAAACAATACCTTAGTAAATGATGAATTTCCTTGTGCAGCAGAACTGGTTTCAGGCTTTGAAGAGGAGCCAACGACGACATCTTTCTTATCCTCATTACAGTTTTGATTGGTCTGACCATCGTCGTCTATATTCATCATACCCATTTCTTGTTCACAAACGGATTGTCCGGCTAAGTCCAAACAAAAAGACCAGATAGAGGCGAGCTCCGAGCTTGAAGGACAACCAGAATAGCAACTTATGGTTTGCTTCTTATGATTTTGAGACGGAGAAGAAGAAGAAGAAGAAGAATTGTTGTTGTTGTTGTGGCCAGACCAATCACAGTTTTGACAAAGTGAAACCCTTTCTTCAACACACCTCACTGTTGCAGGCTGAGCATTACATCTCTCGCAGACAAGTGTCCTAGAATGTCGTTTGGACAATGCATTAGCGGAATGAACACTCCGGTCACAGGAGAGGCAGAGACACGCTGCATCGGATCGACAATACACCATTGATCTTTGTTCCCCACAGAAGTCGCACATGTAACCCATCTTTCTTCACTCTCACCAGCTCAAATTTCTGCTGTCTAAAAAGTCAGAAAAATCTCCAATTAGATATTACAAGAAGGAAAAAAAAAAAGACAGAGGCTTGGTTCGTTTTCGAAAAAGCAAGCCTTGAAGAAGAAACAGAGCGAATCTTTTGAAAATTCCTCGATTTGGGTTGTGATTTCTATAAACAGGTGGAGAAGTTAATAACCAAAGAAGAAGGATAAAAAAGGAAACGAAACCTATCTAGTGAGATTTACTATAACAAAATAATACAGCAGCTTTCATATGAACAGTCAAGAGACCAAACCCACAAAAGGAAATTAATCAAAATCAGAAATTAAAAAGAAAAAACAAAAACTCAAGCTTCAAACTCCAGATCAGTAAATCTACAGCTTTTTGTTTGACTTATAGTTCAAAATGGAACCGAATCTAAAATTTTCAATTCCTTAAAAATATTAAGCTTTTTTTATCATCACAATTCATCGTCATCCGATCAAGTAAAAAAAAAAAAAAAAAAAAGCAGCAATCAAAAGAAAACACGAAAACCCCTTAATCGAAGATCCAAATTCAACATAACACATATAAACAGGAGAAGGAAAATCGAATCGACCCTTCATCGATAGACAGTGAATAACACTAATAACTACAGATAGAAAAAACGAAAAAGCAAGAAAATAAGACACTAAAAAAAAGGTTTTTGAATCACCAAAAAAAAAAGGTTTTTGAATCACCAAAAAAAAAGGCAGAGCGAAGAGGACAACAACTCACGGTATGAAAGATCTTCTGAAGTTGAATCAAGAAAACCTTGAGACAAACAGAGCCGATTATTCCAGAGAACTTCTTCTGCTTCTCTCTTTCTCTCTCTCTCTCTCTGAAGAAAACTAAAAAAAAAAAAAAATTGAGATGAATGGATAGACAATGGGTGGGTGTGTCCGCAAAGGGACATGTAGGCTTGTGACATAATCTGATTATCAAAAGTGCCTAATTTTTTATTCATTAATTTCTTTTTTTTTCCTTCTTGAAATGCCTAAAAAGTGCAAAAAAGTTTCTGTAGGGCATAGTGGGTCCCTGTCGTATTTATAGTGAAAGCAAGAAATTTTCATGGACCCCACAGATATTTATTAAAAAGAAAAGTAGAAACAGATGTAATGAAAAAGGTTTACGGCTTCTCACGCGCGTACGAGTAATGAAACCAACGTACTCGCGATGTGGAAGATACCAAGTGGCTGTTTTGAGCCATAATGGATTCTCAAGCGTTCGCTTTTTCGATGCTTTTGGACGAATCAGAGAGACTCTCTGAGATATATAAGTTGCCTTTTGCGCTCGCAATAATAATAAATCTCTCATCTTTGCTTTGACCTTACAAAACCAAAATATCTTTACATATTTTATTTTTTTTCGGTGGGCGTATACACAAAATATCTTTTGGGTAGAAGGAAGAAAGATATTTTTGAGGGGAAAGAAAGGTAAACCAAAAAATATCTGCCAAGTTAGATACGTCTGTGACGACGAGACCAGAAATATAAGTATTATTGTATGTAACAGTCCCCAATATATTTTAAAATAAAACAATTTCGCCTCTGGACAATAAATCAATCAATGATAGAGAGATCTTTCTCTTTTTTTTCCCTTTCTTCCGTATTTTATTGTTCACCGGTTTACTAAACCCATTTCTTTTTGAATTGATGCGCTCTCTGTACATAGTTACATACACAACAATGATTTAATTTTAGTTTAAAAATATACAAGTCTTTCTTTTTAGATTTGTTGGAATGTAACTTTTGCTTGAACTTGATAATTTAAGATAGAGTTTTAACTAGAGCCGAGATTAATCCATGGTTGATGGTCCTATTATACTTACACACACACAAACAAAAAAAATGGTGAACTGACAAAAAATGATTGTATGTTTTTTTTTGTAATTTCATCTCTACACCTTTTAAACCCTAATTAGAAGACAAATGCTTTGGTTTTGAAAATTATCATCACCTTAAAACTAGTATTTTCTATGTACCATCGGCACTTACGTAAATTTATATTTTAAGTACTCATATATCTTCAAGAATGGTTCGTTCTGTTTCACTTTTGCTTGGTTATCAGTTTAGAAAAACGTCAAAAGAATTGAACCAGATGAAGATTTGGTTAAGCTTCAATTTTTTAGTAGTATAATCAAAACGAATTATGAAATTGAAACTCATTAACAAAACTGCTTTAAAACAAGTGAAAATACTAATCAACGATAGTGAAAGCAAAAAGGAGAACAAACCAAAAAACAAAAAAAAAGAGGAAGATAAGGCGCACTGAGGGATTGAGGAAAAAAACAAAAGTATGGAAAAAAAAGAAGCAAAAAATGAAAAAATAACAAATGATGCTGAAATGTGAGTTGGATAAGATTCTAGGACGATCCGAACTATCGTACAAACATCGTATTCTTCTCGAATAGAAAACCACCGGCCTTAGAGCTGACGACACTCACTTATTTTTTCCTTAAGATAACATTAATTATCTCTTATTACTTCATGAGTGCCTTTTATGCACTTCACACCCATTTTCTTCCTCAATTTTTATTTCTCTATTAGTCTATGCCTCTCCCACCAATCATAACTCTAATCATTGATAATATTTTAAATAACCCACTCCTAGGACGTCATTAGCTGTATATAAGAAGATCTTCCCATGAGTTGACCCAATCTAACCTTTAAATCAGAATCCCAAAATTGCTTTTCAATTTTTGCGGGTTTAAGATTAGGTGTAACCAGAACTTGCAAAAATTAAAACCGCCCGTTTCTCATAAAAATCCTAAAAGGAAAGCAGCTTAGTGACATACGTTCTGCTTCAGCTGAGCATAATAGTCTTAACAAAAGCTACGATAAGTAAACTTAAAGAGCAGGTCCAAGACAAGACCGTAGCCCTCTTGGGACATGAAAAGACCTCACCCGAGAAGATCAACCGTAAAGAGCTCGCCAAGGACTTTCTTCTTCTTTTGATGTCTTTGATGCGTTCCACTTGATTTTGTCTCTAGAGAAAGACAGCCCGGTCCAACTAGCCACAAGCTCCCCTGTTTCATGGATCACCTGTGATGACAATCACGCAAACTTGTGAATTTCCACCTGTATTATGATTAGATTTACAAAAAAAAAATGAGCAGAAACTGAGACAATCTTTAAAAAAAAAACAATTACCTGAAGCTCTTCATCTAGAGCTTTATGAGATATGCTACTACTTCTTTGCCCTATGAGAATAGAGGTAGACAAGCGTTTGACACGAGCTAGATGAAGCAAGCATGACAAAGGTTCATGAAGGATCTGCATCAACGGTGGGGGTTTCTCGATGCGAGAAGCAAATAGCCTAGCAGTCTCTGTTTCTGGACCAACTTGAACGTAATGAAGACTAGCTTTTCTGCTGCTTGCCTCAAGGGATCTGTTATTGAACTTAAGCTTAGATGCTGCCACAAGAAAAGGAGCCACAATTGTGGGCGGAGTCGGCGCTTCCCTTGTAATTAGGTCCAGCAGCTCATTCATGGCACACACTAGTACGGGAGGCTCATAGTTTCGAAGCAGAAAAATCGAGACCTTCAAAAAAAATGTAAGAAATAATGAGAAGATTAAGGATTTTAACCAGGTTATTTCACAAAGGCGCATTCAACATGGAAGCGAGAATACATGAATCAAGTCTTTCAACAAATGATGCAAATGGTCTAAATCATTATAGACGCTAGTTCCATTATATAACGTAGGTACCATTTCAGAAGACAAACTGAAAAAAAAAGGTATGATGAAAGCTTCCACTCGCCAATATCAACACCTTCTATAACCTCCTCTAAACTTTTTTTATCGAAGCAGAAGAAACCTGAGTCTCTTTCTCATAAAGCTTAAGTTTAGGGTAATACAATCGAAGAAGCCATCAACTAGTGAAGCGAGATAGGAACACAAATCACAATAACAGTTGCATATGCTTAAGAATCAACCATCATATTCACATTTTGCAAGTAAACATAGTCGACTAATTTATTAAAGTAACTATCTTTCAGAAGATATGACACACATAGATTCTTCAGCTTAACAATAGCACTAGATAAATTTCAGTTCTTTTAGATCGAACAAGAGCGGACAGAATGTTGAAGAGAAGGCAGCGACGATAAGACAAACAAACTCCAATTAAACTAAGAAAATCGATTAGTTGCCAGAATAAAAACGCGATTGAAAACCCAGAAAAGGGAACGAGGAAGAACCTGATAAACCCCATTTCCATCGACGAAGTGAACGATACTCCCGCCGGTTCCGCCTTCGACGCCATACTTATCCAATGGAAGCTCGATCTGCTCTTCTCTGCAGAGAGAAAAAATCCACAATGTTAGGCATAGCGGGAGCCAGAAAAGCCAGTGCGAAATCGAGAAAGGAAGAATCAATTACAGTTTACGAAGAGGGGAAGCAGGGTTAGGGTTTAGAGCATCGGCAACGGTGGCCGCAAATCCATCGGGATCATTCCAGAGGAGAACAATCTTCTCCGCTAGTTTCATTGCGGAAGTTGAAAGAGTTATTTAGCTTGAGGATTGAACAAGCTGTTGTTTCAGCTTATAGCGCAAGACGCAACTAATTCTTTCTTCGATTAATCTTTTCACTTTTTGTCAATGTTTACAAACAAATTTTGATCTGCAGCTTAAACAAATTTTGATCTGCAGCTTAAACAAAATTTTCATCTACTTAAGATGTTTCAAACTGTGTAATCCAGAACAATTTTCTTACAACAACAATCATTGTTTGTTTGCTATAAAAACAAACAAATCTTTCAAATATGATTGATAGAAATTTATAGTTGCACTGTAAAATAAGTTTATGGATGAAAACACCACAAACGTACATATAATTTTTTGTTCTTGTTTTTGATATCTGTGACTTTTTTTTTTTTTTTTTTAATCCTGTTTTTTTATGTCGGGCTATTCTTACCTCTACTAAAAACTAAGCTTATCTTTTAAGGAAGAGACCATACAAAATTAAAAATCAGAAGGCAAAACAAAGACAACTGGAGACAAGAGAGGAATGTCTTGTAAGGAGCACGGGTGATCATCTGACCACACCACCTTATGGCTAGGCTCATACACCAGAATAACGATATCTTCAGAGCCGTTCTGCGTTACAAAAATTTTCAAAGATTTCAGAACTCTATTGATTTCAATAAACTAATCCTTATACAACCCTCCTTACAAAAAAATATGCTCAGCGAGACAGTTTTGGGTAACATTATCGTACAACAATCAATTCAGGTCCTGGAACTTGAAAATGAATTAGATGAATTTGAGTGTGTCAGAGATTGATGTGTTTTTTGCACTTTGCAACGAACTACGTACCAAGACCATGTTCGACATGTTTAGAGCATTGTTGTGTCCACTGGGTAGCTTCCCAGTACCCGCAAAAAGGTAGCAAACTCCTGCAACAAACAACAACAAAAAAATAAAAAAGAAAGACAACAAGAGCCTTAGTCACATTCTACTTCACCTTGCAATCCAGGTTACGTGTTTTCAGACAAAGTAATACCAAAGGCTTTACCTCGAGATGCCTAAGTGCGTTCTGAGCAACTTCATCTGCCATAGATGCTTCAAAGTCCACATAGAAAAGATAATCAAAGTATCTGTCAAGCAAAAGAGGGAGACACCTTCATCATTGCTCATTAAATGTGGGTACACTATATATTCAAGGAGTGGTTTGTGAAATAAATTACTTTAGCCCTCCAGATGCTCGCAGAGGGTGTTTCCTCAAAGGGCGGCTTTCGATCTGATCAAACCCGCAAGGAACTGATTGTTAGCTATGAGAGAACCAGACTGCTTATAAACAAGGCTGCACATATTAAAAGGAAGAATTGAGTACACTAACTAACCTTTGTGAGGTTGATTTGCCTAAGGGCAAACACAGCAAGTGCTTTAAAAAGTACTCCAGGCCCTTCCTCTAATGAGAAAACGATACTTGTCTATAAGAAGATCAAAGCAACTTATCCATCAGAGAAAAATACAATCAGACCCGCGTTTGCATTTCAGAAGATACATTGGGATCTCTCACCTTAAAAAGTCTGTTAGTTCCAGGGATAATGGGTTCCCTTGCGAGCATTAGAAACCTTGTAACATTATCAGAGTCATCCTAAATTGATTGAACTTCACAATCAAATAATCCAGAAGTAAAATATTGTGGGCGAAAAAATGTTAAAGGCAATCGAAAACTCTATAAACCTGGATATCTTCAGCAACTATGTTCAAGCCATATATCTTTGCAGCTTCGGCGCTGGCAACTGCTGCTGCATCACTTAACTTTTCGAATGCAATTTGCTGCGTATTAAATCCATAAATTTAGTAAGCTCCTATTGTAAGCTATGAATATACAATAATACTTGAAGCATAAATTTACCTTTGCAGCACCAGCGGTGTCATCTACTGCTTCTCTGACCAATCCCATTCTAGTTAACGTGTTTTCACATTGAGCGAGAGCCTGATCCAAAGCAATAACTAAGGCTTTACTTAATCTTAAAAGACAAAGAACTGGAAAATGTACAAAGGCATGTGTGGTGAACCTGTGGATGGCTAAGCACCCTTTTCAAATCTTCAATATTTACACCGTGGTTAGCCAACAAACAATGGCGAACAGCTAGCTTGACTTCCCCAACAATATGCAAATTGTGTCGCAGCAAAAGATCGTAGTTTCTATGGATGCTTCCACCCAAAGAGTTCTCAATTGGCAAAACTGCTCGGTCAACAAGCCACCGCTCAACAGCCTTAAACAAGAAAAAAAGTTGGAAAATGCTTAAGACTAATGGCATAAAAACCAAGCTCTAAGTTAGTTTTTGATGTAATATGATCGTTCAGACGAATCTCTATAATCTAAGTTCCAAATATTGGCTATCTACTTATTTCAGTGTCGATGAGGGTAAAACAAACAACAAACGAAAATGCAGAGACTAGAATCTCACCTCAAATGCGGTGTCAAACTCTTCGCAGGGAACAGCTTCACAATTTGGATATGCCTTGTCAGCTGCTGATTCACTGTAAGCACCTCGTACTCCCTATGTCAAAATTTTTCATCACTCAATTTTATCACAATACGCTCTTCTCCAATAAAATATTCTCAGATATAATTCAACTAGACACGTTTCTGCATATATCACCTGATAGGCTACACGAACTCGGGAGCCGTTGGAGACAGTTTCCGCGAGCTGGTTTGATGATAACGGCTCTAATATTTAAAAACAGATTGAACCAAAATAAAAGACATCTCAATAGTCACTAAATCGAGGCAAATTCAAGCAAAAGTCTAGCTGATAAGATACATATTCGCAATTTCTACTACAAGAGAAGATGGTTGTCACAGAGACTTCATTGATTGTACCCAAACGCGTAAGTTTCGACGCAGTGTTAATAAGGCAATACTAGAAATGTAGAAGGTAGCAATCTTTGAGAGCTATACTAGAGACAAAATCGCACTTAAGAAACTAGCTCACTGGAAATGAAAGGAGTTGAAAATCGAATTCGTACTAGGAAGCAGTGGTGAGTCTTCCAGAATCTTCTTCACTTCCATAGCTCTCACAGAGCTCTCTTTACCATGTTCATCGCCATCCCGAAGTGACGAGGAAATGAAACGGCAGCGTTTCGAAGATCCGCAAACGAATCGGATTGCGGCGTTTGGATTGCGATTCGCTTGAGACAGATTCCCAGAGATTCCACCGTGAAGCTGAGTTGCCGGCAATCGAACAGCGTGCACCGCCATTGATGTGAAACGAAAACACAGAGGAAGAGAAAGAAACGGAGAAAAATTGACGACTAATCAGAATGCAACATTCATGACGGCGTTTTGGATTAGAGAGAGACTATATGGAGAATTGGAGGTGACAAGCATGGGCCACGTTGGATCATAAGGTTTCTGTAATTACGCTCACGGATCACACTTATTTTAATTTTACGGCCCACGACAACATTTGTGGATGTTTTACATTTCTTCATTTTTGTGAAGAAAGTACCGAGAGAGTTTTTCAACATAGGCAAACAGATTGTAAGAATTCCAAAAACAAAAAAAACAAAAAATTCGGTTGACTTAGAAAAACAAATACAACAAGTACTACAGAACCCCGAAAACCTAGAATCAAAAATCTATTCAAAAACAGATTTGAAGCACTTTCATCGGAAGAAAATGATAATAATAATATTAAAAGAGAGAAAAAAAATGAGAAAGAATTTATATGGTAGACCAAAAAGCTAGGAGAATAAATTTGACATGTTAGTAAATATTTGTAAATCGATAATGTGAAGTAACTATATGTCGTGTGGTGTAGAACAACTCTCTTTATTTAGCTCACTCGAAATCTCCTTAATTTCAGCATCATCTTTATCTTTCACTCACAAAACACAATACCAACACAGAATAATATTGGAATAGGAAAATAGGTATGAGAGATTACATTCCAAAATACTTGAACGCCTTTCTCTTGGCATTTGCCACTTCCGCAGTAGTCTTTGCCATTTTCATAGCAAAAGGTTCGAAAACATCTTCTCATCTTTACTTCACAACGTCATCTTCACTATGGACCTCTTCCTTCTCCTCCTCCTTCATTACGGTATACCCATCTTTTTCTTTTTTTCTTTTTTTTTTTTGGTACACCCATCTTCCTTCCCTTTCATCGACTTAATTATTAGATTGTAGTCAATTTTAATTTGTGTTGGGGCCGAGTAATGTTTTTATGTATTTTGAAGATCAAGAATTATCTTAATTTTACTTATGTATTTTTGAAGGAAAAAAGGAAGAGAAACGGATCAAATCCAGGTTCTGTGTCTTGGAAAAGAGACGGGAAAGTAGAAGCAGAATTAGCAACCGCGAGGGCATTGATCAGAGAAGCCCAACTAAACCCTAACTCTACAACATCATCCCCACTAAGAGACGAAGATTATGTTCCTCATGGCGACATTTACCGGAACCCGTATGCCTTTCACCGGTAAAAAAAAACAGACTTATGCATATACTTGTCACAAAACTTGCCCTATATATAACTGATATGTTTACTTGTGGCAGAAGCTATCTACTTATGGAGAAGATGTTCAAGATATACGTATATGAAGAAGGAGATCCACCAATCTTTCATTATGGTCTATGTAAAGACATATACTCCATGGAAGGATTGTTCCTAAACTTTATGGAAAACGATATCCTTAATTACCGAACTCGAGATCCCGACAGGGCTCATGTCTACTTCTTACCTTTTAGTGTTGTCATGATCCTTCACCATCTCTTCGACCCAGTTGTTCGAGACAAGGCTGTCTTGGAACGTGTCATCGTCGACTATGTCCGAATTATTTCCAATAAGTATCCCTATTGGAACACTAGCGATGGTTTTGATCACTTCATGCTGTCTTGCCATGACTGGGTAAGTTGTTCTTATTTGATTTATCAGTGTTTGGTTCTCTTTCGGTTAACTAAAAACCGATATTTGTCTAGTTTTATCTGGTTAATATTGTTTTGGTCACAATTCAAAGTCTTCCCTGAGTATAGTAAGCAACCATGTCAATTGCGTGTGACCTATGCAATATTTACGATAATGTCAGGCCAAAACTGTATAAATAAATAGTAAAGAATCACTTTAGTCAAAGAGTTTTTACTCTAGAATTTGATTTGTTTTCCAAGTTTTAGTAACAAATTAACAACTGTGAAGGTACTTAAGGATCCCATTAGAGTTCACGGCTTTCAAATTACAAATTAGAAACCCTGTAAAAAGCTCAAAATATGGTTTTTTACTCTCAAGATTTATCTTGGTTAGAGACATATTTGATATCTTAGATGACATTTTCTAGTGCTCTTTTATTCAATCAAAGTTACATTTTTGTTACAGGGACACAGGGCAACATGGTACGTAAAGAAGCTATTTTTCAATTCCATAAGAGTACTATGCAACGCCAATATTTCAGAATATTTCAATCCGGAGAAAGACGCTCCCTTTCCTGAAATCAATTTACCGACCGGAGAGATCAACAACTTAACCGGCGGTTTAGATCCAATCTCTCGTACAACCCTCGCATTCTTCGCTGGAAAATCACATGGAAAAATCCGTCCGGTTCTTCTAAACCACTGGAAAGAAAAGGACAAAGACATTCTGGTTTACGAGAATTTACCGGACGGATTAGATTACAAAGATTTGATGAGGAGAAGCAGGTTCTGTATTTGCCCGAGCGGTCACGAGGTGGCTAGCCCGAGAATACCGGAAGCGATATACAGCGAATGTGTACCGGTTCTTATCTCGGAGAACTATGTTTTACCGTTTAGTGATGTTCTGAATTGGGAGAAGTTTTCGGTTTCGGTATCGGTTAAGGAAATACCGGAGCTGAAAAGGATATTGATGGATATACCGGAGGACCGGTACATAAGACTGCACGAAGGAGTGAAGAAAGTGAAGAGGCATATACTGGTTAATGATCCTCCAAAGAGATATGATGTGTTTAATATGATTATACATTCTATTTGGTTAAGAAGATTAAATGTTAAACTGTTATGACCCATGACTGTTGATGCCTGAGTTAACCAATCTTTCTTCTGCACTTAGATTAGACAAATAGAACCACTTTTTGAAATGGAAATAATACCAACCGGTTTAATTCAGTTTTTATTTCTTTAATTCCACCAAGTATCACGAATCACGAGGAATTAGTAAGCTGCTGGCATTTCATAAACTTCAATAAATTTATTTAAGTTGAGATTACTAATGGCCTACACTTCCTCTCATTAACTCCTTGTGTGCTTTCATCAACGTTAGTGATTCCGTCAGGAAAATTAGTCAAATATTGCTAAAACTACAACAAAAATTTTGCTGTACATCTTGTCCATTAGTAATCTCAATCAGTCAATTTTTACGCTTCCGATTCGTCACCTTTCCTGTTTTTTCTTTCACTTTGTTGGATTCCGGAGGAGACCTGTGCCAACAAAAAAAAAAAAAAATACACATCTTACACCCAAAAAAAAACTGGATTTACTGATGTTTACTGAAGGTAGTGAGAAGAAGTACAAACTCACCTCTTTTCACTGCGATTTAAGTCTTTGAGAGCTTTATCAACTGCATAGATTACCATCTTCTTTATCTATTAAAACAAACACACAGGGAATACAACCATTTTATACACGAGTTAGTTAAAATTGCTAAAAGCAGCCAGAAATCTAAACCAAACAAGACATACCTGTAACTTGTCCTCTTTGGAATGATGGTTGGGAGGAAGAAGACGGTACTCTTTTGTCAAGCGGAAACACTCACCGACATTCTCAGGTGATACAAAGTCAAGAGCCACCTTTGTGCAGGACTGCAAGAAACAAAATGGATCATTTTAAATGATCTATTGATAAACCTTTTAATACCAGTGGTATCCTAAGCAAAATGTATATAAATTATACCTTCAGATTCCTGACTTGATGAGGACAACCTACAGGTATTAAAACAGCATCTCCAAGCTTCTGAACAAAAGTCCATGGTTCAATGCCTAAACAACATAGCACATTAATAATATGACTCGCAAAACTGCCAAAGATAGATAATGTGGTTGGCTATTGATAGAATCCAGCATATACCATATTCTTCTTTCAGCTTCATTTTATGATATCGCGTCAGATAGAAACACTGGTCATGTATTGGATGGACCACCTAAAAAAGAAGAAGATGGATGAACATGTAAACACCCGCTAATGTCTGAACTACATATCTTCAATGCAACCACTGAAACTTTTGGGCAGGGGAATGAAAGTATGAGATTATGCAAAGATAGTGTACCTGAGACACGGGGCAACAGTAGATATGTCTGAACTCTTTGTGATGACTCTGAAGGTATTCTTCTAATTTTGAAACATCTTCTCGACGGAAAATGTCCCAAAGAGCTCCCCCATCAGCTTCAAGATTTTCGTCTTCTTCTTCACTAGTGTTTTCAAGCGTCTCCATCTTTTCCTCGTAGTTAGCTACTGAGCAAAACAGCTCTTTGAGATCTTGTTTAGCATGCATCTTTTTCAGTTTTTTTATTTCGGGTTTTTTTTCATTTTCATCTTTCATGGGCACTTCACATATGTGCGTGAGCACATTAACCTGCAATAACCAATACAGCAGCAATTAACTTCCAACTGGTTATGATGACCTCAGAATCCTCCAGAAAAGAAGATTGTGGAGATTCACTTTGATTCTAAGCCTTTGAAGAGGAGATAATGATGCAACAACTCAAAGCCAAAAAAAAAAAGAAGAGGATTTTCGGAACAAGAAAAATAAAAGTTCAGAGAACAAAAAAAAACCGAAAGACCAAATTTACTGATCCAGAAATGAATATGTATGAATTGATGATAATTATGATATAGGTTTTGAGATCATTAAGGTATGAATTTACTATGAAATGGTATCTGATTTCGTAATTATGATAGGGTTTGAGATCATTATGGGTATACCAAGGAAAACCATCAGATGAGCACGAGAAAAGATAAATCAAATGAGCACTAACCGCATCTGACATGTCGCAATGGAGCTTGGTGACAGAATCTCCACGGCCAAGTTCTTGCGCAAATCCATAAGCAACGTAAGTCTTTGGCCCCATGTCTGGCTTCAAGCAATTTTCAGGCAATTTGACAGCAAGATTCAAAGGCCCACTAAGCGGGTGAGTGTACTGCTTCAAAGGCAAACTGCATAAGAACTCCTCACAGTGGCGTGGCAAGTTTTCTTTGAAGCTCTTCGATGGAGGCCAATCTTTCAGTTTCAGAATTTGTGGCCAACCCATTTTATCGTAACGGCCCTCTGTATAACCAGCAAAGAATTCATGAAGATTAACCGTTCCCTGCATTCCATAACACTTCATTAGATAACTTAGAGCATGCTAAGAAATTAATAAATTGAAGAGCAACAGATGAGCCATTATGTTGCCTTGAGAGCTTTTCAGCAGTTTCTTTCTTTCCTACCGTGTGAGTCTAAAATAAATTTGACTTCCAACTACTTTTTCACTTTTAGCAAGAGTGTCGGTAAAAAACTGAAACATCATCCTAGAAAGGGGAATAACAATTTACTGTGTTGAATCGTCAAAACATTTTAGACTAACTAGACCACAAATTATTGCTATGCAAATACCAGAACCTTTAAAGCAACAAGGGATTAGGGCATCTAAGGACTCGTACTATTATTTAAGGAAAAACTATGGGCCATAGCATGCCATACAATTTATGGAGGAGAAAACTGACCTCACAGAAGTCCAGACAATCAATCGCATTAACTTCTAGAAGTGTTTCATGCTTGGTGCTTCTTTTTTGACGGCAGGCACGATACATTACCATTGGCTCCCAGCTTAAACCAGCTGTTGCCTCAAGCACATTCCTCACAACCACAGGCTCACCTTTTACCCAATGATGCTGAAAATGCTTCAGATCATCTTCTTGAACATCTGTTACACTTGGAAAATATAGATAATTGTCATCTGAACCTTCTCGACATGCAGCCTGTAATGATTTATTCTTATCCATGTCAATATGACTTTCAGAGTTAAAACAAGGGCATTGCCCCGTAACCATTTCACGTGTATCCAAAAGCTTGCTGGCTTCAGCAGTTTCTTCTACCTTTTTGACCAAATCAGATACCCAACCATCAGGAAGTATGCGTTTCAACTCTAAATCCCCAGCACCACAATAACAAGTTATGATTCCAGCTTCATTTGCTTTCCACATAGATGGGTGCTTCACGCAGTCTTCGCTATTCAGCTTATCATCAGTCGTTTCAATCCCTTCCCAGGCTGGAAGCGGCCGTTCGTCAAATTTGACATCTCCATGTAGATAATCTAAACCTCGGTTAGTATAATTCCATGACATCTCCTCCTGACATGTCAGATGCTTTCCTTTGCGGATCTCGAGGCAACATGTAAGGCAGATATCAGAAGTACAGCTCGAGCAATTTCTATGAAGATCAAAGATCGCAGTCTTGCAATTATCGCTGAAAGCCCATAAAGACAAGAATTATTATTAACAACATAAGAACATAAGAACTTGTCATATTCATTGAAAGAAAAGTGTCAGGGTGATATACCAGTATAGTCTTTCATCAGCATGACAATTAGCGTCTTGGGGCTTAACCTCTTCAAGCTCCAGTCCTGTGAAATTAAGCAACTCTAAGACATCCTCTTATTCTCTGAGCTAATCAGCTTCCTACTTCACAGTTAAGAACATTAGCCCACTCGCTCTGAGATTTTGTTTGGAATAAATACAGGTATATTCATCAATAAATGCATATACATACTCGAATGCCAAATATGTGATAATACTACAAAAACTATCATTACTTCCAGCATAATTAAAAGCATGGAAAGTACCTGATATCTTTGCCTCAACTTCCTTCTCATAAATTTGTTCGTCATTTATTTCCTTCAGATGCGGAAGAAGCCTTCGCACAATATATTTAGAGTATCGAATTTGTTCATCCTTGCTAACCTTGAGGTCAGAACCCAACCCCTACATAGTATTGGAGACATCATTCTGTAAGCATGCTCTCCCAAGTATGATATGGTAGATACGAGATAACTTACTTCCATCTTAGTATCAAGACGCAAGCATGCTCTGCAATTGCAATTATTCCAGCAGAATGGGCATTTCTTGACAATTTCTTCTTCTGCTATGCGAGGGTACCTGTAAATCGTAATTAAACAAGTTCTTTCAGGCTTCTGGAAGAAGGGGAAAAAAAAAAACCCGCACAAAACTACAATAAAGGAATTGGATCACTAGCTCACCAAACCCCGATTAATATATACTAGAAAATTATTGTTTTGTTCATAAACAGATGAAAGCATACATGCATCAACAGGAATTGATGCTCGGAAACTTTAATTCTGTCTTGATTCTGTCCAAAACAATACAACGTTTTGCAGAACTAAACCATCCAGGAGGAGCTCTAAAGTTTCAACTGGTAACACCCATAAAAGGAGGTGAGTAGCAAGAAACCAAAAGAATCGGTAGATTTGTGGTAAGAAGAGCATACCATGCTGTTAAGCATTGGGTGCAATAACGCTTTTTGCACTTTAGACACCGCACAACACGCTCCTTATCATTTCGTTTACACTGATGACACGTATTGGTATCGGAATTCTCAGCATTATCCTTAATATACCCAACATATAGAAGAAATTAGTATGTAGACTAGGATTGATGAGCAAAGGAGAGATTTTTCCGAGAAATCGCTGACCTCGGGGTGTTCGTCGTCTTTCTTGTTGTTATCTATTGCTATTTTCCTCGGCCTATTACACAACTTCACTGGAATTTGAGAAACCATTTCATCTATCTTCTTCTTCATGTTCTTCTTCTCTTCTTCTTCTTCTTCTTCTTTTCGTACCCTTTTCCGAGACACATATACCTTATCAAACCTGGGCATTCTGTCAGAAGCCTTGACTTGGCCAGCTCCCTTCTCCTTGTCTAAACAAGCGCCTCCGTCGACCCTAACCGCAGCTTCGTTGATTTTATCATTATTCTTCTTCTTTTTGTCTTCCTTGGCAGAATTTTTCCGAAGCCTTGTCTTTTTCCCCTTTGTATAGTCATCTTCGTCAGTCTCATAATCTGTGTAATTCGCCAGCTTCGCACAAGGTCTCCGATTCCTACGGAAACCAGGTCGTCCATTCCCTTCTTCTTCAACCCTAACAACAGCTTCTTCTGTAGAACTCATGTCGAGAGCATCAAAAGTCCTCACACCTCACCCAACTTTTTGAGCCCCCAAATCAGTTAATTAAAGCGGTAAAAAGGCCAAATTAATCACGCAAAACCCTAGACACTGTATTTATTGAGAAACTTAATCGTTTCAGAAAAGGAAAAAAAAAAACATAAAGTTTGGGTTTAATGCCTGATTTCGCGAATTTCTGTGGGGGTTTTATTTCCCGCTCTTTCTTGCATCGAAATCTATTTTCGAAAATCAAAACGAATGAAAAAAAAAAAAGAATATATGTTTTTCGGTTCTGGCAAGACTAACTTCTTCTCTATAATTTATTGGTCTTTTTTTCCCCCGACGAAAGACAAATCCTTATTAAGTTGAATGTGAATTTACATGCAAATGAGGAGTTAACCATTAAACGTTGTTGGGAGGACTAACCTTTGCCAGCCAATGAGCTAATCACTCACAATGAGATTAATAACTTAAGTTAATACAGCTTATAGCTTCATATTAGACCATCCGGATCCGTTATAAGTACATACGTTTCCTTAAACTTTCTTCCTCGAAATCTTTTGGGGGTGTGCGAAAAGATTCAAAACTTCGGTCTTTGTAGATTTCCTCATAAACAACTTCTTCTTCCTTTTATTTATACTTCTTAATGCTTACCAGATTAACCAACAAAAAAAAATGCTTAGCAAAATACCATTTATAATTTATCTAAATCTTTCAAATTAAAATCCGATACACAGAATAGAATTTGATCGATTATTGATATGTCATAGTTACGCAATCTGTGACAATACCCAATCCCATCGATTGTAATGCATAGGCCAACCTCTCAAACTTTAAAAACGCTAATAATTCAAATAAAAAGCTAATTGTTTCATAAGACTATAAAATCGAATATGACTACGAGCATACATATTGCAAGTCAAGCATATAGTATTTGATTATTACAAATGGATGACAGATTAGCAGTCAAAACAATCTTATTTTTGATTAAGTAGGAAGATAGAGGGAAACATGTACTCGGGAGGAGACCAAGACTTGGGCACAATTGTTCGATTAATTGTTACGTATGCACAACTGGATGTTCATTAAAATATACATATCAATCATCATATTGACTAACAATATAATTTTTGAGCCAAACCAAACTATCAGACAACGGATTTTTTTACTTAAAAACTACTATTACTTATCTATCATTAATTAATCTAATTTGCTTGACCCAATCAAATAAAGATTTTTTAGTATTTTTTTTTTATTTAAAGAATTGACAATAAGCTTGTACGAATCAGCAACTATAAACAATTTTAAAACACGTAAGGAACGAAATGAAAGTGAAATTCAAACTATCCGATATCGTTGGTGCATGACAATGAGTCTGGGTAAAAAAAAAAATCAAGCCCTTATTTATATTTCCTCAAATTTTTGATATAGAATAGACCCTGAAATTTGCCCCCAAACAAAAAAAAAAAAAGGAAGAAGACCCAGAAATTTCGGAGCAAAATTCCCATAAAACATTCAAAGAAAAATTTCAAGAAGACCATCTATAATCATCAACAAATCCGGTTGTGAAGAAGAAGACATTAACATGAAGGTATGTATATGTAAAATGTTTACCGAACAACATGTAACTTTGATGTTATTGTGTTTTCACTTGTGATGTTAAGAGGTTATCTTATTGTATGCAGCAAAAGATCCTGATAAGAGTTTCCATGACTGATGATAGCACCCGAGCAAAAGTAATGAAAACGGCGGTTCAATTTAAAGGTAACAACAATACAAACCCTTGAGAAGCCGATTATTGTAGTTCTTGTTGAATCTAAAAGAGTGAATGCAATGGTTAACAGGCGTGTCCGCTGTGGAAATAAAGGGAGATCACAGGAATCAGATTGAGGTAACCGGTGTCGAAGTTGATATGATCGCACTGACCAACACACTGAGGAAAAAGATAGCCCCTGCAGAGCTTGTAAGCGTAAACAAAGTTGAACCACCCAAGAAACCGGATGAAGACAAAAAACAGGATGACAAGAAACCAGATGAGAAGAAACCTGATGAGAAGAAACCCGAAGAGAAGAAACCAGAGCCATGTTATCCACCATGGCCCTATGGATATGGTGTGCCATCTTCCTATCCCCACCCGTGTGATCCCTACGGATACAATGGTAGGGATTATACCGGAGAACCCGTCTACAATCAAGAACCTAATTGCAGGATCCTGTGACAAGACCAACGGAAGAGATAATAGTTTTCCAATACTTAGTGGGTCAACATGTTAATGCATTGTGATAGTCAAAATTTGTAACTTGAGAATAAAAAGCCTTGAGCTCCAAAAAACCACGCAAATTCTATACTTGTACATGCTCTTATAACTTGAAAAATCTAAAGCTTCTTATCCATGGAGTCAGCATTACATAGTAACTTCCTTACGAGAGCATCAATCATACCATTTTTCTTAATCAGATGTTTCCTTTGCAAAGAGTAGCTAGATACACAATTCCGTACATTCTCCTACAAACTAAGACAACAAGAGTTCCTCTTCCCTTAAACCTTTTTCCAATGCATCTAACGACCTCTGCCACGACCACGCCCACGGCCACGACCCCGGCCGCGTCCAACAGGTTTCCCTAAGGACAAAAGAGAGAAAGAAAGAAAGAGAGAATAAACTGATTGATAAAGCAGTCTCATGGCTATATAACATCTGAATGTAGGGAGCATTAATACCAGCAACAGGCTTCTTAGGTTTAACCCGAGGAGTGTCTTCCACAAGTAAAGTCTCCAGGTTCAAGCTATCAGGAAGAATGTAGTAGCGGATGTTGTTACCCCTCAAGCTTAGATGATCGAGTGTTACTGGGTTTTTCCCTTTCAGGCTCATTTTTTAACTGTCTTCAAGTGCGTGTTCATGCTCACATCAACACCTGCACCAAAATCATCGAGCTTAATTTCAATGAATAAACTTGTGGCGAGTGAATCTAATTTAATTGTGTGTTTTCTCAACCTAGTATGATGATCATTCACACGGATGCGATTAGGCCAGTGGATCAGATAGCGACTATATACCACTAACAAGCGAACAACATTTAGAAACGGAGTAATCGATAGAAGAAAAGTGAGAACTAGAAAGAAACAAGCAAGGCTAAAGAGGACCTACCAGTGATGGTTCCGTGGACCACAGTCCCGTTCTTCAGCTCGATCGACACAGTTTCATTGTTCAACTTCATCAAAAACCTACTCGATCCAGTAAAACCAAATCGAAACAATAATTAAAAATATAAATATTTAACGCGCAACGCTCAAGAATGGGAATAGAATCCAAACGCTGAGCTAACTAAACTATATCAATAGCATGAAAAATTTAAAATAGAAGAATACAAATTGAAACAGTACCTGACGAGCTTCATCTTTGGGTGTGAAGAAGAACAAAAACGAAGAGGAAAGTGCAAAAGCTGTGAAACCCTCAAAACCCTTCCTTTGGCACTGAGACTTGGAAATGGATACGACTTAGCAGATGCCACGGATCCGACTCCGATTTTGGATCCGAATCCGATTTTGGATCCGACTCCGATTTTTGGATCCAACATCTAAATCACGGTATAATAACACAACGCAGAATTTGGGCCGAGAACAAATGTAAAAGGGTCCATCATTCCCTGGTTCCAATCGGATATTTCAAGACTTGACGCTGGGTAAATTATATTCCGGGTCCAACCGGAAGGCTAAACAGCGACCGCAGATTTACCAATCTCTCATTTATATTTACACTTGGTTTAGCTAACCGGAAAATTGATCGAAGAGGACCAAATTTCAATTCCACGAGAAAAACAGAAGACGCGAACCGTAAATTCCGGAAAAGACGTACAATAAAAGCGCGCGATCGCTTTAATAAACACGCGCCAAAGGGTCCGCGCGTGAAGATTGAAAAATACTTAAAAATTAAAATCGAGACGACGCTTTTCTACGTTCTATGCGTTAAGAGAGTTGACAGATCTCCACGGACAGTAGAAATCGTTCTCTGGCGAAGCTGCGTAAACCCTAAACTCGTCAATGGCAGATCCGAGCTCCGACCCCAAAAAGTACGCTCCCCCTTTTCAAAGGTAAGTCATCTTCTTCTTCTTATCCTCTCCGACGACCTTCCTCTCATGTTTGCTATTTTCGAGTGATCTTGTCTCTGCTGATTTCGCTACTTCGTCTCCGATCTTTCGATTTGATGTTTCTTCATCGCCTCGCAGGAAATCGTCTGGGAATCGCAAGAAGTCAGGAGGTATGTTGGCTCTCTCTCTCCTTCTCTTTCTCAATCTTCTTTGCTTGGGTCGTTCTTGCTCGAGAAACGAATCAAATGGGTTCTTAATTCCTAGAGTATCTAGTTCTGTGGGGTTATAGCGTAGATCAGAGAGGATGGAGGAAGCGAAGTAATTTGATTGTGTAGATTCACTAGTCGACTGCATGCGAATCTGTAAGCATGTGATTATGGATAGTTGTTAACCTTGAGAATCGTTATACGGAAGTGAAACATAGGATTCAGCCTGAATTTCAGATCAGCGAATCCGCTGATTGATTCATTTTTCCATGTGCGTACTTTGGTCAATTTTTTGCCTGTTTTCTTGAGAAAAAAACATCGGTCAAGCTTTAGCAGTACAAGAAGCTATACGAGATATTCGCTTTTTTTGTTCCTGTTCTTGGCTAAAGTTAAGAGAATAAAATGCAGATCGGACAAGTAACCAGCAGAACAAGGATCATGAGAAAAGTCACCCTCTGGCTACTGGTTTTCAGATGGAGAAAACTCCTCCAAGGATAATAACTCTCAAGGACTGCTCCAGGAGTGAAGCTTTTCAGCTTTTAAGCGAACGTATGTATCTGAATTAACTATTTAAACATTGATTTGGTATCATCTTTGTTCCGTGTCAGTGTCTGATCGTTCTTCTGTCAGCTGTTGCTATGCTAAACATATGATGAGTGAGTTCTAGTTTATTAGTCATGCTCCTCCTTGTAGAAATCTTTGAGCTTTTATGAGATGAAGTGTTTCTTATTTATGTATTTGTCAAATGAACAGGCTGGGCAGCTGCAATGCATCAATACAACGACCCAACGGTGGATTTATCTGGTGAGATTAAGGGCATTCAAGTTTTTTTCTAATTTCCTTTGCGTTAAACCCTCTCGGTCTTTTATACTTCTCCTGCTTGAGTTTCCCGGAATATATTACTTATGTTCCCACCGTGATCTCTGCATTCAAGATTTACGTGCTTTTTTTTCTTTCTATTTTCACAGAACGACCAATCATGTACTATGGAGGGAGTGTTTGGGGTAAACTACCTCACCAGGTGGAACCATCTCTAATCTCTTTTATAAGCGTTTAGCTCACTTAAGATGGATGAGACCATTGTCTCATAATTTGTGGGACGAAACAATTACAGATTCTGGGTTCAGCAAACAAGACCTTGCCTCCACCGAGATTGCCAACGGATTACAGAAGTGAAGCGCGCCGAGGATTACTGACTCCAAGATCATCTTCAATCTCTAACAAATGAATTGTCCTCGTTCTGCTGATGGAGCTCATTTAGACTAGTGAAATGGTGTGTGTTGAGATGGCACAAGCGATCATGTGTCAATATGACTATTGTTTTGTCTAGGATAAAGAAGATTACTTTTGTCTCGAACTGTCGTTTTCTCTGGTCCCTGAAAGTGTAAAATCCCAAACCAGAGATTTGACTAACCATGACGTTACCATCTCATTTTGCTTTAAATACATGTATCGTAAATTTTACGAAGTTAGTGAAAGATGCATAACGTCCTTTTACTTTGATGGATTTACTAAAACGAGCGATAATAGAACGTGGACGTTAAATTTCAATATTTAGTGTACTTGGACCAAAAATAAGTAAATGTGTTTATATTTGTGTGTTGTTAGTCTGCAATGGATCAAGATTAGAGAGTACTTAAAATGTTAGACCGAGATCGGGAGTGAAAAAGTTAGGATTCTTAGCAAATAACAGAGCTTTGAAAGATTGCTGAAACTTCTTCTTTTTTTGGTCAAAAGTTACTATTATTTTGTCTTGAAATGATCAAAACTTGTTAAGGTAAAGGGTAAATTTCAATCATATTCCACATCTTAAGCAACGAGAGAGAGAAGAGAGAACAAAGCAAAGCATTGCACGATAGTTACTCTGTTGTTAATGAAACAGACTTCTTTATTCTACCAAAAAAGAAAAAAAAAACGATTTCTAACGACACAATTATTTATAATTTGTTGAATTCTCAAACTGCTTCTGCACACACTATCTGATATAAAATTCATATTCGTCGTCATCACCATCATGATCCTCCATTACTTTCCTCTCTCTTTCGTCTTTCAGATCCAAAGACAGAGAAAGAAGGAAGATGAAGCTAAGTCCCGTCTCCTTTGTCTTCGGCTTAATCGCTCTCCAGTTTCTTCTACCTCTCCCCACCATAGTCAATGCTCAGCAAGCTACGGAATCCTGCAATTCAACTCTACCCCTCAACGATCTCACCTTCAACTCCAGCCTCCTTCAATGCGTCGACGCTTGGAGTGCCCAGAATTATATCCTCCGAGTAAGTCCAATTCTCCATTTCCCAATTTCGAGACTTGTGAAATATTTAAATCAGAGAATTTTTGAAATCTCTCGCACAGTATGCTAGAACGGTGGAGAACACATGGAGCTTCATCTTATCTGCGCCGGATTCGAGCGCCTACATCGGGATCGGATTCTCAACCAACAATCAGATGATCGGAGCCAGCGCGGTCGTCGGGTGGATACCTTCCGACGGCGGAAATGGACAGGCGAAACCCTACTTTCTCGGAGGGCAATCGCCCGGTGAGGTAATACCTGACCAAGGAGATCTGAAAATCGTCAACGGCTCGTTGAAGATCGAGTCAGTGTCGTCGCGTCTTTACCTGAGTTTCCAATTGACGGCGGAGCTGCCTCGGCAGAGCATTCTTTACGCATTGGGACCTGCCGGATTCTTTCCATCTTCGCCGGATTTTAGGTTGAGAGAGCATCGCTTCATGACCACCACGACCGTCGATTATGTTACAGGTAAGCAAGAGCCATCATCATCTTTCCCTTATTTTTTAAATTCAGCTTCTTAAAAGTCAATATTTGAATTAATCCAATTATTTGAGTGACTAATTATACCTCCATGACCTGACCTGACCTGGCTGGTAAAAGTATAAACAGATACTACAAGTGGCTTTTGTATCACAACGTCATGTTTTATTCCTATTTTAATTCATTCAAATTTTTATACCTATACACATGTCTGACGTCAGAGAAGACCATAAACAAAAAGGAAACACATTTGTGATGATCGGATATTAGGAACTGGTACAAGATTGTAGCATCCTTCTAAATCCAGTCTTTTTATACCCGACGTTCGCGTCATTTCCACATCATACCCACCCTGTATTATTATTATTATTATACCCGATTTTGCCCACCTACTACTATATACTACTTTTCCACAATATTTATTGCTAATTACCAAAACAATACTTCCTCTGTTCAGAATTATTTGATGTTTAAGGTTTTTGCACACAGTTTCAGAATTCATTTAATTTTTATTTTTCCTATACTAAAAATATTATTTATAATTCATTTAAATATCATTCAACCAATAAGAAGACTATCTGCAGAATATAAAAAGTCAAAAACTATAAAAATTCATTAAATTTTGCATTGAAAAGTGAGAATATCAAATAATTCTGAACAAAAAAAATATTCTAAAACATCAAATAATTCTGAACAGAGGGAGTAGTATTGAGTAATTTGCGAAACACACCAAGTACTAACTTTCCGAATTATTATTTTATTCTTTCGGCCAGCAAATAAGTGTTTGCTACTATGATTATATGCTCCCATTTTGAAAAAGAAAGGTTTACCCATATTTATTAATATTATAGGACTCTCTAGCTATATAGGTGTTGTAGCTTGGAGACTTGGAGTAGTAATTAAGTTTAGTTGATTTTGTACCTAACTGCAAGTCAACAATAATATGTCGGGTAACGATGATAGTGAATGCAGTGAAAATCACACTAACATTTTCAAGAGTTAACTTAAACCGTAATAAGTTACACTTATGTAATTACATTAAAACTCGAGGGTTTTAAAACTAGGAGATGTGAAAAATAATGATTGTACTTTACTAAATTCCGAAATAATTCTTATCTATTTATATTGTCTGATTTCAAAATCCAAACAAAAAATGCGTTTATTCAATCGTTTGTTCTTCTGGTTTCAAAGATTGATGTAGGATTTTTTTTTTTTTTCTAATGGTGAATTGAAAGGTTCGCAAAGTGTGGTTAAGGGTTCACCACACTCTAAGCTAAGGAAGACACATGGGCTAATGAACATGTTCGGCTGGGGAATACTAATCATCATCGGCGCCATAGTGGCTCGACACATGAAGCAATGGGACCCCACTTGGTTCTATGCCCATATTGCTCTCCAAACCACTGGTTTTCTCATCGGTTTAACTGGTATCATTTGCGGTTTGGTTCTTGAAAATCGGACCAAAGCTAATAATGTTTCCACGCACAAAGGCCTTGGGATAACAATACTCGTCATGGGCATCCTCCAGGTTTATCTTCTTTCACACGCATATATACTATACCAAAAACAATACGGTCAAATGAATATTGGTTTATTGGTTATGTTTATCGGTGTTACAGGTCCTAGCGCTGCTGGCTCGACCGGACAAACAATCGAAATACAGAAAATATTGGAATTGGTATCATCAAAACATAGGAAGAGTTATGATAATACTCGCTATTTCTAACATCTTCTATGGTATTCATTTGGCTAAAGCTGGCTCTTCCTGGAACGGCGGTTACGGTTTTGCGGTTGCTGTCTTCGCTTTGGCTGCTATTGCCTTAGAAGTTAGAAAGTTCTTGAAGAAGTAAATTGTATCTCTTTTTTTATGTTCTTGCTACGAGATTCTTCTTGGATAGGACTGTGTGATGTATTGAACATTTCGTTGACTGATCTGTTTTTCTTCTTGTCATTTTTTAAATTATATTTGCTATTTCAAGAATTAATCTGTGGTATCTTATTTCTCATTATTAAAACATTATTTTTCACGATCCAACCAATCATGAATTGTCATTGTTGACTTTTTTTTGTCAACGTAGATGTTTTTCAGTAGTAAAAAACCCGATTTCTTAAAGATTAGTCTTGTTTTAATCTGGGATCATCATCCCACACAAAAAAAAAAGAAGAAGATATTAGTAATCAAAAAAAGAAGAAGAAGATAATAGTGATCGAATTAATTCCAAGATGATACAACATGATAAACATTTAGTACTAGGATTCAGTTGGGTCTCACCAAACACACAGTTTGATCTATCCATTTACATTTACGACCAAAAAAAAAAGGGAAAAGATCTATCCATTTACATTTACCCACATTATTTCAATCTCCAAATGGTTACAGAGCTTAAATTTGTTTTAATGGGCTTCAATAACGGGCCATTTGAATAGGAAAGAAAAGCCGAAATAATTGACGAATCGGTATCGGTCGCCGGTTTATGCAGCCGGGGTCGGAGAAATACGAAGACATTGCAGAAATTTGGAAGAGGAAGACGAAGATGTTGAGAACTCGCCTTCTCTGGTTTACGCTTGGGTTTTCCGTCACCGGAGCTTCGGTAGCTCATCTCGTGTGGCGGGATCTCTATGCCGAACGTTTCGCTATTTCTTCTGATGTAATTTTCTCTGTACATTTGAATATCATCCTTGGGAAAATTCCCCAAGCTCGATTTCTTACAGCTAATGTTCCAATACTGCAGATGAAAGAGAAATTCAGTGCTCTGGAAGGTAGGGTTTCAGGTCTGGAGTCTTCTGGTATTGAGAAACCGAGTCCAGCTCAGGTCATCTCTCTCTCTCTATCTCTCTGCCTCTCTCCATTCGTAATTATGATTGATCGTTAGTGACGATATATAATAATCTGGTGGATCAATCATGCTATTCTTGTATAGTTGTATTTGAAATTCGTAGAAAGATTGGTTAGATGGGTGACTTCCATTGTTCATTTTATTTCTTCATTGCTTAAATCGTTGAGAATTCAAGGCTTTCCCGAGGTCAAACAAGAGTTGAGATTTTCAGCTGCTTCCTTTGATGTTAGAAAGAATAGTTTCAGACATTGAGATTGCACCACTGCCTCAAAGCCACATTGAGTTTTCTAGTTTTTGCAAACAAAATCTCTTCTTGTATACGGCATGAGGCTCTAGTCTCATCTATAGAGAAACCTCTTGTCCATCTGCTTGCAAGTCTCATGCTGACAAATAACCAGAATCATTGAGTGTTTGATAAGCCAAGACACTGTTTTAAGTTTGGTTAGCGAGTAGTTTAGTGAGCGATCATTTTTATAAGGGGTGTATCAAATTGTTTAGATTGTGGAATCTCTAGCGTTTGGTTGGACAATTGGTTGTAAGCTGAGAGCTCTCAAAAGCAGTTTCACGGTTTCTATTTTCATTCAGGGAATACATGTAGTTTACATTAGTTGTAGCTAATAGTGTAATGCTGCGCACCTTGAAATGACTCATTCGCGCTTTCTTCAGCTTATTCAGTCATGTATCATTCCATTCTATTCACACGTGTTTGCGCTGCTTGTAGGTTGAGAGTTAGAGACTCTTGGAAGCTTCCAAGACAGATCAGTTGAAGACTTGGCTTGGTATATCAGAGAGTTGCGATCTTATTTTGGAACTTCAAGACTTGCATTTGTGGTTCAAAAACATTCGGCTTTATTATTACAAGAAATAAGGAGTACATTCGTTTCATTTCTAAATAAAGGGGTTGTATGACAAATTGCACCATGTGGACCTTATTCTAAGAAAATAATATGATACTAACAACTCAGCATCACTTGTAGGGTAGCTCTTGTAATCGACTCAAAAAACCTTTCAGCTTGAAACCAATTTTATACAGACTTTTACCATAAACCAATTGAAATCTATTCACATCCTAAACGACAATACAACCCTACTCATGTATCAATTAACCATTTGCTAAAGGCGACTGAAATTGCATAAAGAGACTAGTAAACTCTATGAGTCAGGAGAAAACCCGCATTCTATCATCAATTACGAGTGGAAACTCTCTACACCCAGCGATTTATTAATTTCTTCATTGATCCCGGATTAGAGAGAGTTTTTTTTGGTCAGAACTCAGAACCAACCATCGATCAGCTCTATAAGATCCATCCATCACGACTTCATTTGATGGGGAGGGCGAGGGAGGATCGAATTTGCCAGCTCCTCGTTCACCTTCACCGGAAGAGGTGGCATCTGCTTCATAACCTCTGGCATGTCATTCAAGCTGCAACACAATTGTTCAATCAACATAGCAAGCAGATTTTTGAGTATTAACACCAAAACTTTTTAAAAACAACATATTTGTTGGAAGAGAGTGACATATCCTAAAAAGAGCTAATGACAGAGATATGATCTATAGATATCTGGGCAAAAATGTATTACTCGTTCAAGATTGCGAGGATATTGTCCCGAGCTTTGCACAAGATATTGACGTTCTCATGTATCTGCAACGGGAAGATAGAATCTCTTAAGCGGATATAGTTCAAATATATATATATATATAGATCGATCATAGGATTACTCAAAAGCCAATAATACAAGGTAAAGAAACAAATCCAGTCCCAGGGAAGTATACAAAACTCTACAAGCTGAAGGATGGAAGTTGCATTCACCTGGAAAGCTGAGAAATTTGATGAAACTTGATTAAACATCTGAGCATTTTGTTCGAGAAGATCTCCACTCACACCACCAATAGCTGCAAAGAAGCAAAGACACGTATGCCTCTTTTAGCCCAATCTGGAAGATTTTGCCTCAAAAGAAAAGAAAAACAAAACCAGATTCTTCGACAAACCTTTATATGAAATGCCATCATCAGTATCTATAGGCATCATAGGAGGAGCATATGAAGGACCATTCGGATGCACATTCAAATGAGATGAAGACTTGGCTGAAGAATCCGTAGTTTTTTCCTGCCAAACAGAATGTGAAAGAGATTAATTTGCTGATGTAGACGTTTAAATGCATCATAAGACGACCCAATAACCTTTACCCGTCCAAAATCACAAGTAAATGACTAAACGTTCAAGCTAGTTAGAACCCAATCAAAATGCTTCAACTATCTTTCTTTTGTTTGTTGCTTTACTAGTATCAAAATTGCATATTGGAATTGAATTTTCCACGTACTTTCTTATCTTTACTTTTCCTTGACGAATGGTCTTCTTTCCTACGCTTTCCGTTTTCCTTTTTCTGTAATCCATCAGCAATCACATGAGGTTAAGCCAATGGAGAAGAAGACAAATCAAGAACAAAGAAAAATCTCGCAGATTAGCAAATTGAGAAACTTACAGTCATCCATCTACAACGCAGTGCAACATCTCTTACAGTTTTATCCTTCATTTTCATCGCAATTTTGGCATAACGAACAATCGTGGGTTCTGACGCGTACCTGTATAAGACATCAATAGTTAAAGGAGTAACTGAGATATGATAAGGCTCATACAAAACTTGCAACCATTCATAACCGATAATTAGACCACTCATCTTCCAGTCAAATCCTAATTAAATATCTCATTACTCTAAACACTATTGTGCCACACATACAACAACAAAAAAAACATATTACACAACACGAGCTACTCATTTTCTTCATTTGTATAGCTTATAAATTTCGCCACATACAAAAACTCAAGACAACTGGATTCGAGAAACCATGTTCAGAGAACCAGACAGAGGATGCTTAAAGAACCCAAGAAAGAAGATAATTTCGAAAGAAAAAAAAGTTACTGAATCGTGTCAGAATAGCAAAAAAAAAAAAAAAAAATCCAATTGATAGAGAGAACATTGGATAAAACAGGAAATTTCAAATCTAAATCGAAGAGATAAGAGAAAGTGAGAGCAAGAAGATACTTTGCGAGCAAATCTTCCAATAACGATTGCTCCTCATGAGTCCAATCGACAGAGATCCCTGGATTATGCCTCAACGCGCTAATCGTCTGAGAATTATCAGCCGCGGCTGTACTACCACCATTATCGACCGAATTTACAGCAGCACCATTCGTCGTCGCCGCCGCCGATGAAGACGAAACCTTCTGCGCCGCCGACGAACCTTCCTGGTTGTTCCCCGACGGATTCGCGCTCGCCGCCATCAATACGAAACCTCTAGATATAAAATTCGCTTCCTTTCCTCAAAGATTTACAGAGATTTTCACCGGTAAGTGTCGATTTCGGACAATTCCGGGATTCGGAAAATGACTTCGCCGGGATAGGAACAGAGAGAGAGAGAGATGGAGAGAAATCCGGCCGCCGACTGAGCTTCCCTCGAAATATGGAATCTTGTTTATAAAAAATCATTGTTTTCTCTTTTCATCTTTATCCTTTTTCGGCTTTTCTTTTCTATTTTGAGATGACGATTACGGTATTTTGAGTTATTACGAGGCATTTTGGGCAAAGATTGTAACTATAGGGGCCGAAATATAATAACCCAAAAGAAGAAAGTAATCCGTTTTGTTTTTTCCTCTCTTTTCGAGGTCCCTCCTCCTTTGTCCTCTTTCTCTGTCATTCTCTCTCTCTCCGCGCTTGAGGTAGGCGTCGGAGATTACCAAGAGCTCTCGAATCCTTCTCGCTTATGGCGACGTCTCAGCCATCAGGTTAGTCAATCGCAAGTACTCTGTGTTTTTATTGTAATTCCTGGGTCCCGATTATTGATTGATTGTTCTGCAATTCTGGTCGGTTCGATGAGAAGCCTCTCAATTCCCCGCTTTAAGATTGTGAAATTGATTAACTACGTCGTATGCTTGAATTAATTAGGGTTGTAATCAATCGATGAGGATTAGTTTGATCTCTATTACTTGGTGGATTTCGTCAATCTAAATCGCAAGGATTTCCCTGCTTCGCTGAGCAACTTCAATTCGATTTGTTTACCTGTACCTTAATTCATTATTCGATTGCTGTAGCTATTAAGTATTGAGCTCAAATTATGATAGCTCTCTGGATTGTGATCTTTGCAAACTTATTGATGATGGATGCTAAGTTTGTCTCTGAGCACTTGGCTGTTTTGGATTTAATTGGATGCTTTAATTTTTCGGATTGCAACTTGATGCCTTTTCTTATCCAGCATCGTATCTTTTATGTAGTTTTAGAATTGATTTTTCCCTGCTTTCTCTAGCCTCTTTAATGGTTTTGTTTTCCTGAGTTAAGTTTTTCTTTTGAGAATATTATCTATCATGTTATTCATGTAATATCTTCAATTTTCTGCTGATGTTAGGTGGCAGTCCTCCTAAACCTTGGGAACAAGAAGGAAATACATCTGGTCCTAAGCCTTTCAGGCCTCCTTCAAATACGAGCACGGCTGATTCAGTTGAGGCTTCTGGCACAGCTAATCCTGGAGAACTAGTTCCGAGCGTGAACAGGACTAATACAGCTGCGAATATGAACGCACTGAGTAGGCCTGTACCAACTAGGCCTTGGGAGCAACAGAACTATGGAAGCACTTATGGAGGTATGTTTAGATGTTATTTTATTTGGACTTTTTTTTAGGGGACGGAGAGCTTACTTGTTTTTATTGTATATATTTCAGGTTATGGCTCAAATCTAGGTGTAAACTCTGGGTATGGATCGGGTACATATGGTTCAGCATTAGGTGGGTATGGTTCATCATATGGGGGTGGAATGTATGGTGGTAGTAGCATGTATAATAGAGGGGGTTATGGTGGTGGTGGTCTCTATGGAAGTTCAGGAATGTATGGTGGTGGTGGGATGTACAACAGCAGTTTTGGTGGCACGATGGGTGGTTATGGTATGGGTATGGGAACTGGAATGGGGATGGGAATGGGAATGGGTCCTTATGGTGGTCAAGATCCAAACGACCCTTTTAATGAACCTCCATCTCCACCAGGCTTCTGGATATCATTTCTCCGCGTGGTATTGCTCTTCCCTTCATGCTTATTTTGTTTATGAAATCAAACAAGTTGATAGGTTTAAAGAGCTCTGTATAACATAAAGTGTTCATCTTTTGCATGATGACAGATGCAAGGTGCTGTGAATTTTTTTGGCCGTGTAGCGATGCTGATAGACCAAAACACACAGGCCTTTCATATGTTCATGTCTGCCCTTCTTCAGGTACCTTACTTTCTTTAGTTTTTCTTTCGACCAACTTGTTCCTTGTATGGTTTCATTGATCTCGTGGTAACCATTCAAACCATTTGTCCTCAGCTATTTGATCGTGGTGGTATGTTATATGGAGAATTAGCAAGATTTGTACTGCGGATGCTTGGGATCAGAACAAAGCCTAGAAAGATGCAGCAGCCGCCACAAGGGCCTAATGGACTCCCTTTACCCCACCAGCCACATGGAAACCAAAACTACATTGAGGGGCCTAAAGCCGCTGCACCAGGTGGTGGCGGTGGTTGGGACAATGTATGGGGTAACTAAGTCGCTTCTTTCGATACCCTAAATCCTTCAACATTGCTCTAAATACACCGTGAGAATCAGTTGGTTACGAATAGAAGACAAGTCGTGCAGCGCCCCCTCCAATGCAGATTGGGATGTGTGAAAGCCAATGTTTGTTTACAAATCGAGTCTCTTCTTCTCTTTTCTCTATCTCTTCTCAGCTTTCTGGTTTTGTGATAAACAAGTTGCAGATATATAGATGTCGAACTCAATAAAATGGAAAGTGAAGGTTTAAAGTGTTTAAATACATTTCTGTTGATATTCATATTATATTCGATTCTATTCTTCTTTTATTGGATCCGAAGCATCACTGTTGAACGATGAAAGATTTTATATACTTTATTACATTATAGAAGACTGCTTTAGAATACATTTTTTCTTGCAGTTTGCCTTTGGATAGACCAACACATTGGTCTAAACTTGACAGACCAACACATTGGTCTAAACTTGACAGACCATCACAGTGGTACAAATTAATGCTTCATCCTCGAGCATACAGTCTCCAATCTGGTCCTATAACCATTATTTCTTCTGCCTTGAGTGTGATATCGGCTCTGTGTAATTTGAACATCTCAATTGCTGTTGGGGTCAGCCTGGCATTCCCGTTCATGTAGATAATCTGGAGGTTTTTGCAACCGCATCGCAGAGCAAGCAACCCTTGGTCACAGAGGTTCCTACAACGGTTCACATGGAGTTTCTGCAAGTTTCGGCACCACTTTCCCACGGCTTCCCATCCAGAGACCCTGACTTCATGACACAAAGCCAAGTTCCACTCTTGGAGCAACGGGCAGCCTTGTGCTATAGCTTTGATGGATTCATCGCCAACAGTTCTGCACATCCTCAGGTTCAAGATTCTAAGTTTTGATGCAATCCCTGATCCCATAGGTACCAACCCATCTTTGGGGATGTAGCAGCTTGCACCTGAAATGTTTAGAAATTCAATGCCGCCTCCGCTAATGATCCCCGCTATACCCTCCGGCTCAAGCTGACAAGACTCAGCATCCACATAGCCTAGAGTTGGGGAGCAGCCATTGAAGCCAACTCCGGTTATGCTCTTGCAGTTTGAGATCTTCACTGACTCAAGCTGCAAGCATGCTTTTGACAATGCTTTTACTCCAAAATCGGTCACCAGATGGCAATACGAGAGATTCACGCATTTTAAAGGCAAAGAAGATCTGGCCAATGTTGCTAACCCAATGTCACTGATATTGCATCGGTAGAGACTAACGACTCTTAGATTAGGACAGAAGCTAACAATTGTGAAGATCCCATTATCAGAAACCCCATAGCAACAATCTAAGTAGAGACTATGGAGTCTTGCACCTGGATACCTGAGAGAGGCCAGACTCTGATCATTCAGGACCGTGCAGCCAGAAAGGGAAAGATGCTCCAACCACTGAAACCGAGTGAGAAGCGTATGGAGATGATGTGAATTTACATCAGGGTTTGTCTGAGACAGACTTGAAGGGTTCAGGACAGTAAGTGAACACTGGAACTGTAGAGATCGACGGCTTATGTCCTGGATGTTGAGCCAGCGATGACAAGTCAAACCGAACGATTCACGGTCAGCAACATTATCAAGTCGTTGGAAGATAAAGGAAAGGCAATCGTCTGGAAGGTGGATAATGGAGGTCTCAATATCATAAGACTCGGACACATCCTCCATCTCTCACCTCAATTCCTGTATAAATGGACAACAAACTCTTATCTTTAAGGCAGAACAGAAACCTCAAATCTGTTTGTAAAGCATCCTAAACTAAGATTGGCGGACTCAACTGATGATACGGCATCACCAAACAAGATCAGAGAAAACAACACATTTGAAATCTTAGATTCCAACCAGTCTCCATGAGAAACCCATAAAACCCTCTGGAGAACAGACTCGAAAAAAAGCGAAACTTTTGAGACTCAAAAATTCTGGATTGAATTGGATTGAGCAGAAACAGAGACGTCACAAAAAAAGATTATGCAAACCAAGGACAAACCCACACAAAACTCCAAAGTAAATCACCGAGATCGATTATCAAGTAAACGAGAATCGATCATATGTGATCCAAATGCCAAACAGAGAGAGCTGAAGCAGGACTTTTTTGCCATTTTTTTAAATTTCCTTTTACATCCCTCTATTATTTTTATTTTATCATCAAATTTGAGATTATGTGAACTTGAGTCACCGTAGCGTAACTTTTTTGCAAGCCGAAGCATCATACCCTAAAACATATCGTGGCCGTTGATTTTACTCGTATCGTGGCTTTTGTCCATTTTATACTGTATAAAACCAAGTTTTGTCCCTTCTTTTTTTTTTTTGTGCGGATGATTATGTAGACAGAAGTTTTTGCATAATTTTTTAATCAGAAAAACATTTTATACATTAGCAAGTTTAGCACCACGCAATATTTTCTTGACGGTTTTAGAAATCTGTATGTGAAAATGCATTAGTTCGCTGCACTAAAACGCAGTGAACTCTCAATAAAGAGTGAAATTTGTGTCAGAGCCAAGGCAGTGAAGAGTTTTAGGACATTTACCAAATAATTTTGCTCCTTGAGACTTTTGAAACCACGCAGACAGACACTTGGAAAATAAAAGGAAAAATAAAAACAATTGTTTAATGAATTAATGAGTGTCTCCTTGAATGTTGTGAACTAGTTGGACTTTTGCATATTAATTCCATCACTAGTGTATCGCAAGTCTTCAGCTACGAGTTTGTGTTCACATATCATTCATGATGATACAGTCTTACTACTCACCCTGGGCATAAGAACCGAAACCGGAACCGACCCGAAATTTTCGGTTCAGTTCGGTTTCAGTTATTGCCTAAATACCCATTGGATCTCATATTTAAGATCCATGGATATCGGTTCGGATCCAGTTATTACCTGGAACCGAAAATACCGAACCGAATACCCAAAAATTATGTATAAATTTGAGCTATTATTCATTAATATAAAACAATTAGTTTGCTACAAATCTAATATTGGCCCATTAGTAATTCAAAGTCATTTTTACAAAATTGATCTAGCCCATTATCCACAATTCAACACATATTCAAAAAGGGAAAAAAAAAGACATACACAAAACTATACACCTACACATGCAACTTATCGTTGTAAAAAAAAAAACAGTTTCTCTTTTTTCTCTCGTTAATACTTAAAAAATTAACTATAAATCATTCAGAAAAACTGAAATCCCTAATTTTCAGTCGCTGTAGCATTTCTTCACCGACACAGCCATCTGCTACGTTAAAAAATCAGTCGGGGTATGCTTCTTTTCCATCTCCTTCTCATCTTTGAATTTATTTGGGTTTGGGGTTTACTGTTTATAGCTAAAATCGATTTTGGGGCTAACTGTTTCTGTTTGTTTAAATTTTAAATTGATCTCATTTCCTCTTTGTTTTTTCGTTTTTACAACGAATTACTCTTGAATAATCGAGTCTCTAGAGTCTCTTCACTTAGAAATAGATTTAGGGTTTACTATTTATATATGAAATCCATATGATGTTAACTGTGAGTCTAATATCTGAGATTATAAGTGCTAACTTCTTCTTTGTTAATGATTCTAATAATTTTTTTAAGTCTTTTTGTTTTCTTTTTGCAGTTTCAGGTCACAAGAGTCGCAAGTCATGCTTCTTCTTTGTTATTTGGTTATTTTTGTTAACAAAATTTTTTCGGGTATTTAAGAACCGAAATCTTTTGGGTATTTTACGGTTCTCATCCTTCATATCCGGACCGATCCGAAACCGAGAGGTACCGAACCGGAACCGAACCGAAAACAATTCGGTACCTATATGGATCTAAAACTTGAGAACCGAAATATCCGGAACCGTTCGGTTCTTACCTGGAACCGAACTGAATATCCGAAAGCCCAGAGCTACTTACTACTACTATTCTTAAGTGGGTTTATATGTTTACCTCTTTTTTTGGGTTTATATAACTACGTGAAAATGGGATTCCTGCAAAGTCTCAACCTCTCTATTTTTCTTAACCCAGTTAGTATTAAAACCTTTACATTTTCCCACGTATAATACTTTTAGTTGAACCCCCATTTCAAAAGAAAAGAGCTATCATTATGAGTTATGACTAAAAATCACATTGGAAATAAGAGAATGTCAAATTAAATTTTGCAAGATTTGGGATGACCTACGTCAGTTGTTGTAATATTCGGTCTGTTGGATATACAGTCGTGGTAATATTTACACAAATTTATCTAAAACTTCCAAAAATCGAGGAACGTACCTATATAAGTGACCACATGGTGTGTTGTAACAAATATAATATGGCCAGCCAAAGTCTTTTTCTCTGCAATCAAAGCTGTTGCATTATGACCTCACTCTTCTCATTAACATTCGACATAGCCTCCCTTTGATGCTCTTGCATCCACCAAAACTTTGATGCTAGATCGAATTCTAAATAAAGCCCAAAAAATGCAAAAACTTGAGTGAAAAAATATCTAGAAAGCGTTTGAAAACAATAAATTACGTAATGTCCATGATTGTTATGTGAAAAAAAAAGATAGATAAGACAAAGCATGCTGCATTTCTTGTTCTACTTTGATTTACTTTTTCTTTTTCCGAACTTAATAGTCCTGCTCTATACTACTATTCATTAATATCTGTTTTGAATTCGATCGCATTCGCATAGTATTTTCATAACACGGATAAAGATAACAATGTTTAGCGAAAATAAAATAAAATAGAAATGTTATCTAGTTGTTTTCCTCGTAGATAAAGGCGATAACACCTTTAATAATTTACTTGCATAGAAAGAGAAGATAGTGTTGTTTTTCTTTTGTATGGCAGTAATAGTAAAGAGGCCATTAAAAGTCAAAAAGATTCTTTCTGAAAGAGAGGACCCAGAATTGCTTCACGTAATTATTGCATTTCATATACGTTCTTCTCTCCCTATAATTTTCTCGTTTTACATAGAGATTTTATTTTTATATTCTATATTCATTATTTTAAAATTTGGATACTGTAGTAGAAGAAGAAAGAGTTCACTTCACTAGATAGACTACACTACACTACACTAGTAGCATTGTACCATTTAACCCCATCATCAGATAGTGCGCATATCACAGAACTCTCCAAGAAAACCCCACAAAAATGGACGGATTACACTACGTCATCATCTTCTCCCTGCTATCATGCGCTTCACCGGCCAGTTTCACTCGCCGTCACCTCTCTCAAGCTCCTGTTACCGATCCTTCCACATTCACTCCCGGTGGCTCTCCGTTCTTCCCAGCTTACGGCTCCTCCTCTCCTCCTCCTCCTCCCCCTCCGGCGCCTCTTCCGCCTCCCGCACCCACATATGCCACTTTTCCGGCGAACATCTCCGCCCTCGTCCTCCCTCGCTCTCCTAAACCTCATACTACTACCCGTACACTCCTTATCCCGGCTATCTCCGCCGTGCTCGCCGTAGCAACATCAATCGGCCTGGCATTATTTCTCTACGGACGCTGGCGAGGGCAAAACCGTAATCTCAAAGACTTCGAATCCAAGAGCGTAGCTTCATCCGAACAAGCTCCACGTCCCTTTCCAAGAAACACCACTGGAAACAAACTCTCTGTTGCTGCTTCTACCTCCGATGTTCTCTACCTCGGTAACGTCGTCACTTCCGAGTCCGGTTTCGTCAAACCGGAGTCACCGGAGATCTGTCCTCTCCCGCCATTGCCGGCTCGTAGCTTCCTCCAACATAACCCTGAATCTAATCCTCTCACTGATGAAGAAGAAGAAGAAGAAGAAAACGACGACTTCTACTCGCCTCTCGCCTCTCTAGCTGGTCAAGAAACCGGAAGACAGAGAAACAATCCGTACAGTAATTGCTCTCCCTCCTCAGCCTCGGATTCTCCGGCAATGTCACCGTCCGTTACGATTTCTCCGCCGATGAGCTCGACGGCACCGCATTGGTCAACTCAGAATCCTCAGTCTCCGTCGCCGGAGAGACGAGTTAGGAACAATAAGAGATATGGATCTTCCCTGAGAATGTTTAGCCTCTGGAATCAGAACCTAGGATTCCCACGAATCTCTTCTGCTTCTACTTCGCCGGAGAGAGGTATGATTAGGACCCCCGACGCATACGCTCGTTCTTCTATGTACTCATCGGTTTCCACAACGCCGGATCGGTTTTTCCGGAAGGTTCTGGAAAGTTCGCCGCCGAGGTGGAATGATTTCAGTCGAAATGTCAAGTCTTTGTTCCTTTCTTCCACTTCTGCGTCACCAGCTAGAGATTTTTGTATCAACATCTCTGAATCTTCTAGAAATCTGAAATCTTCTTGGGAAATTCCGGAGCTTGATTCAAGTGAACAAGGCGAATCGGCTGGTGTTGCTCCTCCTCCACAACGGCCACCGCCGGCAATGCCGGAGCCGCCTCCTCTTGTGCCACCGTCACAGTCTTTTATGGTTCAGAAATCTGGGAAGAAGCTATCTTTCTCGGAGTTACCACAGAGTTGTTGGGAAGCAACGACAGAGCGACCAAAGCCAAAGCTGAAACCTTTGCCTTGGGACAAAGTCCGACCAAGGTCTTGCCGGAAAAATACCTGGGACAGTCTTAAATTCAGCTCTTCAAATTCTAGCTCAAAACAGAGAAGTCTTAGCTGTGATCTTCCGATGCTAAATCAAGAAGACAGAGTTTTAGACCCAAGGAAGTGTCAGAATATTGCTTTTCTGCTTACCACACTTAAGCTCACCACAGATGATATTCGTCAGGCCCTTCGAGATGGTAAATCATCAGTCACAAAGCTTATTTCTTCTCATTTTCTGACTGTATTGAGTTGAATCTGAGTTGGTGTTTCTTCGAGTATCTGAATCAGGTCAATATGAAGTACTCGGTGTTGAACTTCTCGAGAACTTATCAAGAATGGCGCCGAGCGAAGAAGAAGAGAAGAAGTTGAAGACCTATAGCGATGACTCAGTGAACAAGCTTGCCCCATCAGAGAGGTTTCTCAAGGAATTGCTTAATGTGCCTTTCGTGTTCAAACGGGTTGATGCATTGCTCTCTGTTGCTAATTTTAATTCCAAAGTTTCGCACTTGAAAAGCTCGTTCGGTGTTATACAGGTATGAAACTAAGCTAAAGATAAAGAGAGACGAATATGTGAATGTTGTTGATAATTCACAAAGCTTTCTGATTCTTTTGCAGGCTGCTTGTGTGGAACTACGGAATAGCAGAATCTTGTTGAAGCTTATTGAAGTTGTCTTAGAGACAGGAATGAAGAGCGGGAATGCTCATGACTTCAAACTTGAGGCGCTCCTGGAGCTTATCGATATCAAATTGTTAGATGGAAGAACCACTCTCTTGCAGTCTGTTGTACAGAAAATCATAGAATCAGAAGGTATCAAAGTGCTACAAGTTGTCAGAGAACTCAGTTCAGTACTTGTAGATGTCAAGAAATCTGCAGAAATGGACTATGGTGTTCTAAGAAGCGACATGGCAAAGCTTTATCAAGGAGTCCAGAAAGTTAGTGAAGTTCTGCTGCTGAGTGAGAAGAATGGACCTAATGAAGAACAACAATGGTGGAAATTCAGGGAATCGATGACCCGATTCTTGGAAACCGCTGTAGAGGAGATTAAAAAGATTGAAACAGAAGATGGTTCCACGCTCTTTGGAGTGAAAGAGATGACAAATTATTTCCATGGAGATTCAGCAAAGGAAGAAGCTCAGCTGCTGAGTGTGTTCGTGATCGTGAGAGACTTTCTGTCCATTCTAGATGGAGTATGCAAGGATATGGAGGTGACTCGAGAGTAGATTACTCTGGCATAGATTTCAAGTGGAATGAAGAACTTAGAATCTGTCCAAGACTAATGCATCGTGTTGCCTCTTAGTTATGTACTACTTATGTTTGTCTGAAACGTTGGGAGATATTTAGAGGGATGCAACTTTTACAAACATAAGTGCTGGCTTGAAGACCATATGAATATCCATAAACTCAAACATAATTAGAAGATGTTTTCTATTCCATCATATCTCGTAATCCCTTGTAACTGATGAAATGAATGTAAGGGTTTCTGAAATTTGTATGAGACTAGAATCATAATGTGATTGCAGAAGTTTTTGTATGATAAGAATCGCTAATGTGATCGACGAACTGCCTAGGATTAGGTGATCGCCGATGGTTCTTCTGATCCGAAACTTATACAAACTGTAAGTACTGCTCCTCTTAACTAAGCACTCAGATTGTTATAAAACAAGATGAATCGGAGATGATGCATCAAAGAAGCGCATTTCTTCTAACTCTGTCCTTGTGTCGTGTTTTTAAGATCGTATCTTGCTCTTTAGCACCTGAAAACATGAAATGAAAATTACATGCAATCATTTTTTGTTTTTTTGGTGGATTTAGCTACAACGACCATCCAAAGAAACATTGATAAAACACGCCTTTTATTGATTGATTAGTCTCTTGGTCAATACTGTAGCTATAATGAAGAAAATATATAAGATTTTGGCGCAAAGAAGTCCATGTCAATGAGTCTTCTTCCTCCGTTAATTAATGCGTTTTCTATCTTTGACTCGTTCTTCTATTTCAGTATTTATTTCTATTTTTGTTTATGACCTTTCAGTATATATACATACTCACTTCTCCGTAAACGATACGCCAGACATGAGGATTTCTCAACAAATATAGAAACAAAAGTTCCGCCTGTTTGATTACTAGTTACTAGTTTTGCGAATCTGCGTTCGTTCGTAATATTTTCCTAAGGTGTGAGTCGAGCCTTTTTGTTACTTGTTCCGCCTGTTTGATTACTAGTTACTAGTTTTGCGAATCTGCGTTCGTTCGTAATATTTTCCTAAGGTGTGAGTCGAGCCTTTTTGTTACTTCTTCTTCTTCTTCTTCTTCTTCTTCTTCTTCTTCTTCTTTCTTCTTCTTCTTCTTCTTGTTCTTCTTCTTCCTCTTCTTCTTCTTCTTCTTCTTCTTCTTCTTCTTCTTCTTCTTCTTCTTCTTCTTCTTCTTCTTCTTCTTCTTCTTCTTCTTCTTGCTGGGATCATAACGCTAATATGGTGGTTAGCATCGATCTTGGTGGTTTTGGTCTCGAGGGAGAGTTCCCCAGTGGTGTTAAGGAATGCTTGTCCCTGCAGGCTCTAAATCTTTCTATTGCAGCTATCGCAGCCGCCAGTGCGGCGGCTGTCTGTTTTCCTGTTGGTGCAGCCATCGGCTGGTTCTGCGTTGGCATTGGCCAGAAACGAAAACCAAGAAGACGTTGAAGGCAACAGCCTGAACCGATGAAGCCTAGTCTTGTTTCAGTGAGTTGTGTTGTATCGTTATGTTTATGTAACAGCCCAAAATATGTTTGTATCTGAGATGGATGAATAACATTTGCAGTCAGTCTTTGAACAGTCAATAAGTCAACCCTTCGACGGTGTTGACCTTGAACCCTCATTTACGTCTATAATAATTTTCTAATATTACAGATACACAGGTGAAGAGGAAAAGAAGAAAAATCAATACTTGCATAATATTCTCCCTTCTTTCTTTCTGCTATGACTAAAGATTCCTTATTTCACTAGTCTTTATGTTCTTCCTCGTGATCAGCGAGCAACTTTGGTGAAATTATGCTTGATTTAGTAATATAAGACCAAAACCGTGCAAAATTGCCACTCAAAGTGTATAATCTCAAATGAATATACTTCAAATATATAAAAAAGATAAACATATTTATAGAGCTGTATAGTTTTCAGACCACACCAAATCCACCATCAATCGGTTTGAACATAGTTTAACAAACATGGGAAAAAGATGTGTGGACGGAGCTTAACTTGTGCATTAAGCTATCTTTGATTCCGGGATCGTTCCAAATCCATAAACTGATGATCCATTATGTTCTTCAATCATAAAACGCTTCAACTGTTGAGGAGAAGAGCTTCAGGTTCCAGATAATGGAAGTCACCTACTAATTTGAGAAGCTTTGTAAATCAGACCGACACTTCCCCTAAATTCCGTCAAGAATTCCATCAATCGCCTGGAAGATCTGAGAGGCTACATTCTTATCGTCTGTTATTATAGCAGTACCAATATCTGAGGTCTCTATAAAGCCACTGCTAGGATTGGTTATATGGATTACACACTTGTCTTCTGAACCATTCCCACCTGTGCTGTGTTCTATGGATCCGGTTATACCCATCTTCACTAACGAGTCTAAAAGTGTTTCCGGAGCCACTGAGCCCCAATGTCTCAATCCCGTAGCCTTCCCTGAACTTGCTTCCTGCTCCAACCCGGAAACTAGTCTATGCTTTCCACCTTCCATCAGAAGTTCACCTTTCAGTCTTGCAAGACCAAAGTTTTCACCTTGTCTCAGTATTCTCCAGCTCAATTTGGAGGCCAACTCTGCCATTATCTCTACGTCTGGATTGTCTGCAGTTCTTGGCACACGTAGCGTCTTGTTCTCAGAGTATGTCAGCATTGGGATTGGCTTCATCTCAGTATGATTTATCCTCCCATTGAAAGCATCAGGGACCTATCATAAAAATGCTATCAAGGTTGATGAATACAGAAAGAACCAAGTTGGAGAGATTTCTTCAACAAAAGAAGAGGAAGACAACCGTTACCAAAACAATCTTCGGCTGCAAAACGGAAAGAAGTGTTGGCAGCTTCTGCAACCTGCAAAAAGAAACCATACTACTGAGCAATGGTTGACAAGCAAATTTCAGATCAAACATTTGGCATGTGGACAACATGATAACAAGCTCAACGTGTGAACATATTAAAACACACACACAATTAGTTAATCATACCGGCCAGGAAAACCTTACCTTATTCCAGAAAGAAATGAACATTGGAGAATTCTCATCGCGATCGGTCTAAAGGGGAGAAGTCCTAAACCTGAACTTATCCCGGCCTGCAACACATGTTTCTCATCAGATATGTTGACCAGAGATTCACACTGGATCATCTAATGGAGCTGGGAAGAGAGAAAGAGAATAAAAAAACCTCAAGAACAAGCAACGATTTTGGATCTCCACGCCAACGCTGAAGAAGTTGGACAGACGGACCAAGTCGCAAACTCCAGTGAGGAGCAAACACGATACATGGTTCCTGCCAACTGGTTCTGTTCACATAACATAAAAAAAAAAAAAACTCATCGAATGTGGTAACATACTCTTTGAAATAGAATCACTCAATCCCCACATTTAGGTTTCAGATTAGGTGTAGCTATTTTACTGATATTTCTGAAAAATGACTAAAGGTGAACCGTGATGATATTTTCAATAATAGGTTAGCATGACAAGTGTTTACAAACTACACATTTACGCCAAAAAAATACCCATCAGATATTGATTGTAGAGATAATATTATAATATGAATCGCGATATAAGGAAATTAAATGGAATTCTTACATTAAGTTGGGTGAGTGAATGGCCGGAAACAAATGGATCTTCTTGTCTTTAATGAATTTAAAATGGCCAAATGATGGTTCTCCTGAAATCAACTGCGAAATCAATCAATTCATAACAGAACATACACTCTTTGAACCATCTTTTAAATAAATTTTTAACAGTGTTTAACCAAGCAATAAGGAATTCGCAGAATAATACCTTCTCTTGTCGTTGCTCGCACAGCCACTCTGGTATGGTGTTTGTGTATCCTAATAGCTCTTCTGCCACAGAAGATATTACAAAGATTGGAACCTAAGCAAAAGTGATTTAGTGTTACAGAGCTAAGAATAATGGCAAATAAGAACCACCTTTTTAAATGTGATTCACATCCTCAAGAAAGTAAAAACAATAGAATAATGAGAGAGAGAGAGAAATCTAACCTTTAGAGACGAGGATTCAAGAGAATTTGACATAAGCTCTAGGAGCTGCAGAACTATCCCAATTCGAGTAATCGTTATCAAAGTTGAGCCACCAGCATCCGCAGATTCTGCAGCACATGAGCAAACAAAAGCTAATTTCTCCAGCTCTTCTAAGCTTTCTTCAGTGTCTAGTAACGAAGCTGCCAAGTTCTCATCATTCTTGTCACTGCTAAAATCCCTGACGTTACTACCCAAGGAAACAACACCCTCTCATAAATGTAAGAAAAAATAGGTCTTATAAGAAAGAACCTGATTGTTGAATTATTATCCTGGTCAGGAGAATTACAACCATTCTCAGTCACTTCTGCGGTTTGCAGGCATGAGAAATCTGAGTAAATCATTACATCGGTTCCTTTGAGACGATGGAAATCGAAATTTTTCGCATGAGGTGAAACGAAGATGGAGTCTGACACATAACTTAGGCTTCCATTAGGTCCGTTGATCAACCAGTTGCAAGCCCCAATCTCTAGACCTGAACTTAGGGCATTAATGATCAAGGTCCCATTATAACAAACTTCTTCTGCAAACTTTACAGCTTGAACCTTCTTCATGCAACTCTTTATGTCATCTAAACTGAAGAAAAAAATGAATTAACGAAGCAATCAACACTCTATCAACTTGAAAAGGCGGGAACTTGGTTATGGGGCTACATAGAGTTTGAAAAGCCAATAACAGTTACCTATACAGACGTATCCAACTGCCCAGATCATCACCACTCTCGCCAAAGACAACTTTCTTAAGCAAGGCTGGTACTTCTTCACCATCCAAATTCTTTGTCCACCACGGAAAACTGGAGTCATCAGGTCCATAGAAGCGTCTGAATTCCATGTGCATCGAGACAAGATCTTCCATCATGAGCTGGCCAATCTTTGCTGTTGCTTCAGTCATGTATATCTACATCTTAGAAGTAAGAACTCAGCACACCGCACATCCCAAGCAAACAAGTTCATCCAGGAAACGCAAAACTACAGGTCCTGAAAAACGTTACCTTGGCACAAAATCTCGGGTTTTGGGTAAGGAGTGGCAATCCGAGCAATCCCATAGGGTTGGAGATGAGAACAATATCAATTAAAGAAGCCTCCCACAAATGCAAGGCCTTGACAGTTTTGTACCATGGTTCTGCGCACACCAAATCATCAGGAGTCATCTGTCTTTCCAGTTTTTGCTTCTTTTGAGTTGGACTCTGAGCATCCAGAGGCACATCTGATGGATATTCAGAAGCTTCAAAACGCACATCATATGGAAAAGGAGAGAAAATTGTGATTGCCAAAAGGTCCAAAGGACAGTCAATCAAAATCCTGAAACCGCATAGATTCAGCATGTGACAAGGCGGATAATGAAAGCCATCTCCTTTGCTCAAACATGTCTGCAAGAAACACAGAACTTTCATATTTTTTTCAACACCTCACAGGAATAATATAAGACTTACAGTAACTATACAAAGCAAGAGAGACTCACCAATTTCATGAAGAGAAGCGACGGAAGAATCTGTCAAAATCGAATATCTCGAGTACGTTGTATACGAATTGCCTCTAAGAAATTCAATAAGGTTCAAATTCACAGCTTTTCTAAACAAAAGCAACCTTTAAAAAAGGAAAAGCCAGAACCACGCGTAGCATAAAAGATTCTCAGTTAAATTCAGAAACTTTCGACTATCGGACTATGAGATGTTTAGGTGAATGTGTTGATCGAGAGAGAGAGAGAGAGAGAGAGAAAGAGAGAGAGGATACGGTGGTTGCGATGGAGGACGAAGCGGCGATTTTATTTCGAAAAGGTTCGATTCGGTTCGGTTTGATTAACTCAGTTTTATAAAAACCAAATTTCAGTTTAGGTTCCCTGGTTCGGTTCGGTTTGGTTGCTCTGGTTCGAAGCGGCGACGATGTTGCTCCTGAAATGGACATGAGAAAGACGGCCGATTTATTTGCTCCTCCGATGGATCCGATCAGCGATGGTAGACTCACCCTCGAGGGTTTCTCTGTAGCTGCTCGTGCTTTTGCCGATAAATGGAAGAGACATAACCAATCGTTCCCTCCCTGGTCATGGGTTCCTCTGATCAATCGAACTCTACTTGTTTCGAATAAGGTTAACGTCGATCAACACTAATATTCTCCGTAATTTTTAGATTCCTTCGTATTATTGTGTGTGTTGTTAGCAGGAGGAAGGTTACTTGTCGCTCGAGAAGATCTTCATTCTCAGTTCACTTGAGGTAAATTCACAACTTTTAACAGTGCTTTGTATCATCTTCTTCTTCTTTTTGTGTTTCTCAACATTATATATGTGTGTAGGAAAGTCCAGAGGAGGAATCTCTAGATGTAACACCTGATTTCTTGGATAAAGAAGAGTCAATTGATCACACCATCTTGGTACATAACCTTTAATCAAATGTCTCTTCGTAAACATCTATGAAGCACAATTCTGGAATCTCTGAGCTTGTCTTTTCAATCCGCTAGGTCCAAAACGTAGAAAATGAAGCACACTACTATGATTTCCATATTGTTTACAGTGCATCATATGGGGTTCCTGTGCTATACTTTCGTGGATACTGCAGTGGTATGTCACAAATCGACCTGGAAAATTTGTGGATTGTTCTTCTTCTTCTTTTTTTTTTTGGTTTTTAAGATAATCATACTTGTTTTCATTTAGATGGAAAACCACTTTCTTTGGATGTCATAAAAAAAGATCTGCCCTCAAGCTCTGTTAGTCTTTTGCTGGAATCTAAGTGGACGTTTATAACACAGGAGGTATCCTCTCAAAAACAATACCGCAATGCCCGTTTAATGATATAATTTGTGGTATTCAATGTAACAATCAAATTGCAGGAGCATCCGTATCTGAACAGGCCATGGTTCAAGCTACATCCCTGTGGGACTGAGGAATGGATCAAGCTGCTTTCTCAAAGAAGCAGCTCTGGTGGTTGTCAGATGCCAGTTGAGTTGTACTTGGTTTCATGGTTCTCTGTTGTCGGGCAGGTGGTTGGTCTTAGGATCACTCTTGAGATGCTGAATTAAAGATACTTCTTGGCCACTGGTTGGATATCATTGGTAGCTCTAGTCAGAGGACTGATCATTTGTAAAGAAACAATTGTTGCATTCACTCCCAGAATATCAGTGGAATTTAGCTATTGAAAGGGAACCAAGTGAGCAAAGAGTTTGACTGAGGCTTCATGTTTTTGTGTTCAACTTATCAACTCTTCTCGTTCGTATATCCCACTAGGTACTAAGAGCAGCTTATTGACGTATACAAAGTTATTTAATCATTCTCTCTATCTACCATGATTCTTCATACAAGTAGAAACCCCAAGTCTTTTTTCATCATGATGATAAAAATCCCCAATGTTGGAATAATCCAAAAGACTGAATTCGTTCATGCTTTTCACGAATGTAAAAGAACAAAAAACACAAACGTGTGCTTCAAACACATTTATGTATATTTTAAGTCACAAAATAAGCTTAATAATGTATTCAACAAGTGATTATTAAAAAAAGACAAAAACAAGAGACATCACAACAAAGAAGTAGCGCATTTATTCATCAGACAGTAGCAGCAATAGCCTTGACGAGATCACATGATCCACAGACTGAAAGCACATGATCGAACCACTCAACTTTCCCCCAAATTTCACGACAGTCGCGCCTTTCAAGCACAATCTCCGCACACCAAATCATCTTCTTTTCGCCTTGCCACACAAGTGCCATCTTTCCACCATAATCAGCCAATTTAGCAATGAGATTTAGGTAATCCAACTAAACCCTTTACAGGTTCCCACCTTCTTACCTCAGAGTCAAACCATACGAACTCTCCCTCCACAACAGAGTACAAAACGTTGTCTATCTCGCAATGACTCTCTCTACGCACCCAACAACCCATCCATCGTCGTGCAACCTTATCGTCGTCCCACCTACCTTCCTTGGGATCGTAAGCAATATCCCCTCTGATAGTCACCACGTGGAACTTTCCGTCCATAGTTGCGGTGTAGGCGTAAACTCCACGTTCTGTCGCGCCGGGCAGATCCCAAGTTTGGGACTCTGTGTCAAACACCTGGAACGAATTCTCCGATTCGGAAACACCAGTTGCGTGTCGACCTGCTACATATATCTTTCCATCAATTACGCCTGCCGAAAGTAAACACATGTCTTCCCTCAGGCTTGGAGCCTCGCTCCACGTGTGAGATCGACAATCCAGTCTCGAGACCCTATGGTAGTTTTTCTTGGCCATGGCAAAAAAATCGGATCCGCCAATGTTGTAGATATTAGAGCCAACCGCCACAATGGTCTCCGGCAGAGGGTGTACCAGGTTGGACCTTGAGAGCCACAGGGTTGTGTGCACACATAGAGACAACTCTCGGTTCGGCCCAGGAGTGATCGGGCCTTGTATAGCTCCGGTGTAGCAATCAGAGATCGAAAGCTCTTGGAGACGAGGGAAAGAGTCGGATAGTACAGCCTCGGGACGCGTGCGACGCAGATCAACAGCAAATCATTTGGAAGCGACGGAATCGGGGTCGATTGCGGCGTCGGCGACGGCGACGGCGAATTCTTCTTCCTCTTTTCTCTCTCCGGGGACGACATTGACGGAATTGACGAGACGAAATCGCCGCCTTAGGTTAAGACAGACCGGCGAAAATTGGACGACAAGTACTGTCCGGCGGCATAATTGTGCTTAATAGTAATAGGAACTAGGAAGAAGATGATTTACAAAACTGTTGGGCTTTATGGGCCCTTTACAATATTGCAAGATTTTACTCAATTATTCTTTTGGGTTCACATTCATTGGTCTCCCGAAAAGAAAAGAAAAACCCCAATTCACACTGTCAAGTTGGTCGTTTTCAACAAAATTGGAAATGATTTTAAACATTTAAACTAATATACTTACTGTCATGAGAAACATTATTTTTTATTAGTCGTCTTAAGTAATACTAATGAGGATTGTAATAATAAATCATAGTAACAACTTTTCTAAATTCACCAAAAACCATTAAAATCATTTTTAAACTTATCAAATCTTAAATCAATCAAGAAATTTTATTGAATAACACATAACTTCAAACAAACAAACAAACAAAAACTATATTGGTAAATTTTGTTCCTAACAAAAAAAAAAAAACTATCTTTTTCACATATATCTGTTTCTGTGATATTTTTTTTTTTAAGTTCATGTATAACTTTATAATTCTAATTTGAAATTGAAATTGTTTGTTGTGAAAAAAAATAATAATTCAGTTGACTCTGATGTGGACAAAAAAACGCCTAAGCGCAGCTGGTATGTAAAAAAAAAATACAAAAATAGAGAGAGAGTGTGTATTTCGACCAAAAAAAAAAAACAAAAAAACTCTCTTTCAAGACAATCCATCTCTCTCTTTCCTTCAATTCCAACTAATCTCCCGACCAAAAGCAAAAGCATCGCAGAAACTAGATTCCTCCATGGAAGAGTAACCTAAATCTCTCTCTCCCTCCATCTCTCTCCATACTCAATCTGCCTTTTTTCTGGTATTCGCTCATTTTTTTCCATTTTTTTGTTTCCGAGCAGATCTGAGCCGAAAATCGAGTACACGACCGGCGTCGAGACCGCCGTGAGAATGACGTCACCGACGTCCTCCGTCGCCACCACAAGTGTCCACGTAAGCGCCCTCGACGGACTCGTGAACGTGAACTCTCTCTTCACCATCGCCGTCTTCGTAGGTCTCTCCTTAGCGACGCCAGGACAGCATAGCCTCGAGCAGCGATCCAGCTGCGACGCAAGTGCTGACGTGGCCAAGAAGCTACTGGTCTTCGAAGTCGTCTCCTTCAGCTTCTTCCTCTTCTCCTCTCTTGTAGCTCAGGGTCTCAAGCTTGCCCTGAACCTTCTCAACAGCAAAGACGTCGACGAGATTTTCAGGGCCCACATCAACATCAAGGTCTTGAGATGGGGAATGATGGCATCTGCTGTCGGATCCGTCATGGGTTGTCTGTTCTTGATGCTTTCTATGGTCAATGTGATTCAGATCCGTCTCGGTTTGCTCTCTTGCGGCAGCAAATCGGCGGCTCAAGCGGTTGCAACGCTCGTGACGCTGGTTTCCTCTGCTCTGTTGGTTTACATCTCTACTGCCGTTTACGCTTTCTGGCATTGAAACTGATTTGAATTTAGTTCCTCAAAGAATCGTCAAAATTGGATTATACAGAGGAAATTGATTTGGAATGATGAGGGAGACTCTCATGTTCCTAAAGTCCCTGGCTTTATTCCTAAAGTCCTTGGCTTTATTTTGATTGGCCGATGTAATTTATCAGTGTCTTTATAAGTTTTTTGTCCACTGGTTCAAACAATTTCTCTATATTTTTCTGTGTTTCTTTCGGAGAAAGATGTAAAGATGACAAGATAAGAGAATATTGATGATAAGCTTTTTATAAGCACAAACGAAGGTGTGTTCCTTATTTAATCAGCTTGAGGGGTTTGGTGAAAGTATTGGACTCTATTTCTCTAACACTTTGGATGACATTATTTGATGTTAATGGAGAGATGATTGGAATGTTCTTCCATCTCCTTTAAGGCCATATCAAGCTGCTGTTGCAAGGCAGCACAACGCCTTCTCTATCGGCTTAGCTTGGCGCTCAGCTCTCGAATCTTTTTATCTTTCTGTCGTCCTAAAAAGCTTGTTTGTACAAAGACTATTAAAGCTCAGTTCATGAGTTCGGAGAAGAACAGACCAAGCTTTTTGTTCTTTACTAGTCATAGATCAATGTCAAGCGCATTCTAAAGTTAAGATCCTCTAAAGATCATTCACAAACGCATTGCCTAAAATACAAAAGCTCCAAACCTCCGCATTTTGCAATCTAACCAAATAGAATACCGTATTGACCAAAAAATAAGGTTCAAATCTGTAGTAAAATATGATCTTAAAAGCTTAAAGGTATTAATTAATAAGTGAAGTGCATCACACCTGAATGTTACAAAAACAATAAAAGAATCCTTAACAATTTTGAAATCCTCAGAATCAAAAACAATAGCGGATTGTAAGATCCGTGGATTCACATGGTTATGTTTCAAAATCCCACAAAGCAAATTCATCAACAATATTTGTGGAGGGGCGTTCAGAACAAAGCTCACAAATTTTTGTTGAGCTTTTTCTTTGCAAATCCATTTGTTAATTCTCTTTTTCGAGTTTTTACCCTAATCATTCCCAAGAAAAAAAAACAATGATTTTGGGTCTCAAACCCTAAACCAAAAAATGGGGGTTTTGTTTTTGTTTACAAGTTTGATCCTAAGGCAGCAAATCCACCACCTTTCATCATTTGTTTAAACTCTTTGAAATTCACCATCCCATCTCCATCAACGTCCACTTTGCTTATCATCCTCTTGCAATCCTCTAGAGTCCTTCCTTGCTTGAGCCCCAAGGAAGCTAACACCGATCTCAGCTCTTCCACCGTGATGAACCCGTCTCGGTTCTGATCAAACACGTTGAAAGCCTCTCTCATGTCTTCCTCCTCGTCTCTCTCCTCCATGATTGTCTGGTACAACCCTCCAAACTCTTCGATGTCTACGTACCCATCACCGTTGAGATCAATCTTCTCAATCATCTGCACCAAGTCTTTGTCTGGGATGTAGATTCCAAGATTTTCCAGTGAATCATTCAGCTCTTGCTTCGTGATTTTTCCGTCTCCGTTCCTGTCGAACATTTGGAATATCCGGCAAAGCTCTGCTTGATCCATCTTAGTTTGGTTTATTATTTAGAAGCTTTTTGTACAGAGACTGAATGAGAACAAACGTAAAAGATGGGTTTATAGAGAAGAAGAAGAAGAAAAGATTAAGGCCAGAGAAGGGAAGATGGACTGGTTCTTAAAGAAAAGGAGTGGTTGCCATTTTAGAAAATTCATTACAACTGTGATCGTGGTCTGCACCAGTTTTCTGTTGAACTAGTCTTAAAATAGGTTGATGATGTCCTTCAAGAATACATCAAAACGAAAGTCTATCTATAGATACAAGACACGGAATGTACACATTTTATCTCATAAAATTCTATCATCAAACAGTTTTCCGTTAGGATAGTTATTTCAGGTTAATCCTTAAAGCTCACAGTGTATGGTTAGGATAGTTATAGAAACAGAATTTCATTCAAATGCTTATCAGTTTGAACATGCTTATTGGATCTTTTTAAACCTCTATATTAACTATTTAAGATGTGATTTATTCTAAGCGAGTTTTTTTCCTTTATATATATTCTTCGTCAACTTGATACACCACGCTGTTTCAAATATAGATCGAAGAGACAACTTCAGAAATTAAAAAAAAAAAGAGAGAGAGAGAGAGAGAGAGAGAGAGAGAGAGAGAGAGAGAGAGAGAGAGAGAGAGACCGTAGCTAACAATATTGAGGTTTAGATTATGTTGTAAGCCAGAAAGTTAGAATTATTATAGTTCACAAATAATAAAGAATTCTCAACAATTTGAAATCCTTGTATGATAGTACGTGGATTGACATGGTTAAGATTCCAAAATTGATTTAATTTTTATTTCATTGTTTGGAGTATATGTAAGCATTCTGCTTATCAGTTCAGTTCGGTTTCAAGTTCGAACATCGATTTAAGGTTTAATATTGGTTTAATTTTAGCTACATATTTTTTTCATAAAACTAGTAAAATACAAACAAATCGATAAAGTTAACTCAAGTAGATTCGAGTTGGGTTTGATTTGTATGCCACCCCAAGCTATCCATATATGTGAGCCAGCCGAGAACCCATATTAGAAGTCCACTATGAAGATCAAATCCGTACTCAACGTTGAATGATCAATTTTCCTTAATTAGTTTTAGTTTTCTAAACAAGTGTGTAAGATTCTAATGGAGGTCATCAGATTTGAGATCCTCGAGTTTCATTGAAAAATTATCCACAGTCACTAGTGACACAAATTGCAGGCCAGAAATATAGACTTGATGAAATCACTCACAACAACATGTGAATAATCAAAGAGATAATTTATCAACTTTATTGATCATATCAGACTATGATATAAAACTGTCAAAACAGACTCAATGACTCAATCTAATAAGTCAAACAACAGATGATGGCTTTGATAATCATGATCTTGTGAACTTAATGAAATTTATAAAAATTGTCAATTGACGGTAATCTTCTAAAAATTGTCAATTTGCGGTAATCTTCAAAAAATCATCTAACTACTCTTAACTCCACTTAACAACAAAACCGCATAATTCCAACGTTCAGAAAACGAAACCGCTCTTAAGAACACCAGTACTAAAACATAATAGCTAACCTCACTCTTATCCTCAACGTTACTATTGAATCACTCTTCCATACAAGCCACTACAATATTAGATCCTACAAACAGAGTTTGCAAGGCTCGAATCAAATCTACCAAACCATCGGTTAAAGATGCCATGTTCTTTCTACCTTATTCCCTTCCCTAAAGCAAATGCAAAATCTGCGATTCCAAAGCTCAGAGTCCATATAATGTTATCTTAGACTCACCATATATAAACAAGTAGTTAAGAGAATGAGAGAAAAAGATGGCCGTTAAAACCCTAAGCATAGTGAATGATAAGAGTAATTAGAAGGTCGGTAAAAGAAGAATCTCCTTCCTGTTCTGCGAAAGCACAGAATTCTAAATGCTCTCTTATCTTTTCACTATGCTCTCTTCTCTCTATGCCTAAATTTCTTGACGAAATGAGCTTGAGAGACCAAAAGATATCAACAGACATAATCTATTCCTTGAACTCTCCAAATTGCTTTTTTTATAAACCTTTACATACAACACCATAATTTCTAAGCCTTCATGAGTGTTTTTGCTAAAATCTAAAACGGAGAAGAAGCAAAAGGCAAGAACACCTTAGAGGGCAACAATCTAACTGGGAGAAGAAGCAACGACAACAAAATCAATAAAGCAACATTCAATTGCAGCAAGGCAACCCATTTTTGAAGCAGGGAATAGTTTAAACAAGCAAGTTCTTTACCACATTACAAAAATTTTAAAGTAAGGAAGTTGTAAAGGAAGATTACAGATTCAAATCCATTATCTGCAAAGTATCGAATTTTCCAAATCGAATTATTGCCCAAATTGAGAACGAAAACAACATCAGAGAGGCCTTTGTAAACAACTTACGGGATATCCCAAGGCTTCGCTTCAGGGACGGCGACGACCATACCTTGGAGCTCCTGCGTTAACACAACTTGGCAGCCAAGGCGTGAGTGCTTGTTCAGGACACGGGACCTAGAGTTACGCTTCAGCACATACTCCTCGTCGTACGTACGCGCCGGGAGCTTCTCGAGCCATTCCTCTGCGATCTGGACCTCGCACTCCGCCGAGCAAGCATCGATATCCTCCAACCGATGCGACGCCGGATCGATCAGACCAGTGTGAGTGAGCGCGCGAAGGAGAGTCTGGCCAGAGAGCCCAATGATTTCCTTCTTGAATCCATCCGCATCGATCGCTGATAGCTTGACGATTCGGTCGGCGACTTTTCTCGATCCTAATGACGGAGAGACAGGGGCAGATGTTGCGGAGGTGCGGAAGATTAGGGATCTGGCAAATGGAGATACGCGGTGGATTTGAGGGGAGAGTTTGTGGAGATTCGTCGCCATCGTCGTTCCTCAATTTGGTCGTTGCAGAGCTTTTTTTTCTTTTAATGGGTCTAGTAGTGAGCTTCCGATTACGATACAGAAACTCGGGAAAAAAAATGCAGTGAGGGTGAAACGCTTATTTGAGCTGGGCTTCTTTACAAGCCCAATCTTAATTCCAGGTCCAACATCACGAGAAAAATAACAACTCAATTTGACGGTCTAGTCGAACCGGTTCTACGGTAATCGGCAAATTCGTATGGTCTAGTTCTGTTTAACAGTGTATTATGTTCTTTTTTTTAGGTGGAGTTAATTTTGACTTTTTGACTATACCACATTGATTTCCATTTATCCCATGTTGCATTCCCCAAATGTGAGGTTTCTTGGAAGTGCAATACTCTGATCCATAAATAGTCTCTGGTCGTGATGTATCTTTCGACATTTTTACAAAAGATCATTTGGTATATCTTTGCATAACACCTAGCCCAGATTCAAAAAAAGACTTATATATGGACTAAAAAAATAAAAAAAGAAAATGAATTTCAATATGTTTTGAGGCTTCAAATACATAAAGAATCTCATTACGGCATGTGTTGTGTTGTTAAGAGGCTTTAAAGACAGAAAACCTAGACTACATTCGAATTGCCGCATCTCTCGATCCCATGCCTCTTTGTTCCCATGTGATACGGTCCACCTACTTTTTTCCGATGACGCGTTTTAGAAGTTAGAACAAAAGGCTTAACGAAACTAACCCAAATTTAACTAAAAAAATTGCATTGCTAGGTACTAGCCGACGTGGCTCCCATTCATTGGTTGACCTTCTATGGTTTGAGAAGCAGAAGATCACTGCTCCATCAGAATTCCGCCATCAATAATTTGACAAAAATATTTTTGATCCACTCTGTTTCAAGCTGTCACCAAAAAATGTCTTCTTCTTCCTCTTCTTCTTCTTCTTCGTCGCTTAAACCCATTACATTAATATAGTTTCCTGATAACGATCAAACAGATCGGCAAAAACAAAACACACAAAAAAAATCCAATCGTGAATTCAGGAGTGATGCTTCGTATCGCGATTCTCTGTGTCGTGATCGCCGCCGGGATCTCGATCTCGACGGCTACCACCGAGAACGAGTCAATATACGAGATCCTCAAGGAGAACGGATTGCCGTTGGGGATATTCCCGAAAGGCGTGAAAGAGTTCAACTTCGACGGCGAAACGGGACGATTCTCGGTTTATCTGAACCACTCGTGCGACGCCAAATACGAGACAGAGCTGCATTACGACGCCAATATTACCGGAACGATAGGTTTTGCTCAAATCGGGGATTTGTCGGGGATCTCGGCGCAAGAGCTATTCTTGTGGTTTCCGGTCAAAGGAATCCGAGTCGACGTGCCCAGCTCTGGACTTATATACTTCGACGTTGGTGTTGTTCGCAAGCAATATTCCCTGTCTTTGTTCGAGACTCCCAGAGATTGCGTTGCGGTTCGTCGTGAAAACGAGGTATGAATCATCAGAATCTCTCATTGCCAATCTGAGTCTGAGTCATTTTTGGATTTGCTTGTATTTGGATTCATTCAAGGCTATACTCATGTGCTGCTATAGCTTGAACGCAGAAAAATTTGGAAGACTAGTGTTAAAAAATTTCAAAATTAATCTTATATAAAAAAAGTGGAGTGTGTGCACATGAAAATGTGCTTTATAGTCGCAAGATTTTGAGGGTTTTTAACGTCGAGCTCTTGTTGTATATTCACAAGTTGTAGACTTGTCAGTAAGAAATTAGTTTTATAGTGAAAAAGACTCTTTTTTTCAAAACATGGAGATAACCCACAGAGGTAATTATTCAAATGTGCTTTAGTTGAGATTCCCTTCCAGGGTCATTGGTTGAGAGTTTTTTATCAGTGAGCGAGGAACAGTTAGAAACATGACATCAGAAAATCGTTGGAACTAGGAAAGATGAGTTTTCAAAGTTTTTGGATAGATCAGATGTATTGAGAATGGAAAATGAACTAATGTGTACACAATGGTATTTTGCAGGTTCAGTCTTCTATGTTGGCATTGTATCAAGTAGATCAAACTCTTGGGAGAAACATTATTTAGCCGGAGTTTAAAGAAATGTTGTTATACTATACCAGAAAGATAGACAGATGTTCTCATCAATTCTTGAAGATACTTGTACTGTTTTGGTCTCAAAATCTTAGGCATGATGAGTCAAGGTCAAATGCTTCATTCTTTCCCTTCCCCATTTCTAGTTTTGTTTCTGTATTGCGCGGGGACTGAGAACTGAGAGAATCTGTGAGCGGAAGTTACATGGAGAGACAAAAATATCTCTGGTTTATTCGGAAAAGATGTTGAAGGAATGGTCCATATTTGGTTGAAGTGATTGATGGTAACTGTGAGTTGATAAATGTTTTTTTTTTTTAAATTGTATTTTGGTGTCATGTCTAAACAGCTATTATATCCTATATATAGCCAAATAATTGTTATATAAAACTGACAATCATTTCCCATTCACAGAATATCTGGTTGCTTTATTTCTGGTAAATTGAACCTAGAGTTTTACAGTCCAATCAATTGTGACATTATTAGACTTTTGTCATTCTAAGTACCTGACCCTGACCCTTACCCTGAAATCGAAGTCTGTCTCCAGCTGGCTTCGGAAGTCACTGTTGGAATTTATTAGATGGATCTACGAACAGTAATGCAAAATTAGTCTAGTTATTACGAGAGGTTTTAAAACTTGTCAAGCGCTTTTGTTGTACTAAAAAAGCAAATTTATGGAGCAACCAAGCTTCTTAGCTAATGCTGAGGACGTAGGTGATTAAGAGGAATTTAGTATGTTGATTAAAAGAGAGATAATTAGTTTAAGAGGCATGCACTGAGATGTATACAGCTTTTTGTCTTCTAGTCAAAGTGATAACAAGGATAACAAGACCACTTTTAAACCCCCATTACATAGTTAGGGGACACAGTCACACAGCTGAGAATGCCACCAGACCATCAACTTCTGGATTGTGAGATATTTAGTTTAAGATGGTGATTAAGACCCATAACTTAGATGAACACTGGTTAAAATTATTAACGAAACTAGAGTATATAATATATATTATGAAAGCTTGAGAATATTGTAGTGATGTATATATATTTGCCCCCCCCCCCTAATTTAAAAAAACTAGTGATAATATTTTTTTTTTCCGACTAAAAAGTAGTGATGCATGTGTGACCCTACAGACAAAGCCAAAGTTTGAATGGAAAATGTGTGACCCTACAAAGGTACAAACGATAAGCCTAAGTTTAATGATCCATCTAAATATCTAATCAAAGTCATCCAATCATACTATGATATGTGCAAGTTATATGACTTAGGAGCCTCGCCCTTCAAAGACAGACATTTTCAAAACTTAGATCAATGAGATGATTGTAAGTTGGAAAGAATCTCAGGATCGTACAAAGATATTAGTTATGGTTTTTCGGTGGCCAGTCAGGCCTGGTCAATGTGGGGCAAGACCGGATCTTAAAATTTAAGGATTAGAAACAATTTAAAAATAAATATTTTCTTTTGTGATTTGGAGGTTGAAAAATTCGCAAATAACCAAAGAAAAGTTTTGGGAGCTATAAGCGGATGTTTCATCAGCCTGTCCCCAAATCCGGCCCAGATGTGGGGACACCCATGTGTGTGGTCGTACAATTTTGTCGGCTATGGTTCAAACTTGTTGCCGTCTAAGCTCTCACACCTTATACAATACTTTGCGCATCTACCGATTCACTCTCTAAAGTCTATGATCCCATGTGGTACGGTCCACCTATTTCTTTCCAGTTAGAAGTTAGAAACATTCGATTGACGAAATTGCATTCCATAACGACGTGGCTCTCATTCATTCTCAGATTGTGTGTGAGCGGAACTTAGACGAAAATCTGGTTAGTGAAAAATATATATATTAACGGAATGGTCTAGATTTGGTTCAGGTGATGAATGTTTTTTTTTTATTGTGCTTGTCATTTGCTCTGTTTTGTACCTTGGCAGTAACAGATAATAATATATTCATGTATTTAGCAGAATAAATGTCATGTGAAATCTGTAATCCTTTCTTCTTCACCAAATATTTAATTAATGGTGACATTGAGTATGTATTGACAATTCTTTATGCATGTAAATCAATTGGTTGTACGTTACACTTTTAATGCCGTATCTTTTTTATCCAAAACCATCATCTCTATGACTCTTTGTATAAGTGACAGTATGACTCAATTTCCCTAAAAATTGGAGATTAAAATAAGCATTTAGAACAGTTAAACTAATTAGAGATGTTTGAGGACTGATGAGTGAGATAAAACGTAATTTTTTTTTGTTATGAATCTACAGACAATAAATCCCAAGTTTCATGATCCATCTAATCCAACTCCATTAGGTTACTCATGCGATCATTCTCCTTACACTACCCTACTATTAATAATTAATTTATATATATATATATGTACAAGTTATACATGAGTCTCACCTTTTAAAACATTTCACAACTAGAAAAAAAAAAACAATTTCTTATGATGAACAAATCACAGGCTCTTACAGTAATAGTGCTTTTGGTTTTGGTCGAGTCAGGCCTGGTCAAATAGGCTACGGCACACCCATGTGGTAGAACATTTTTGTCAGCTTTGATTCAACTCGTGCCGTGTAGACCATCGGTGGCGCCATTTAGCACATTGTCTCCGAACGAACTATGTTGCGCTGCCATCAAGACACTTGGTCAACCTTGTCTATGCGTTCTTGCCAAGGGACCACCCATCTCTGGCGTTGACCGCACTCTCGCTCTCCAGTTACCTGGAAAATGTTCTGCCAATTTTCCACCGTGTTACTAGTTTTCTATCTTTTGTAATAAATTTTAATCAGACTTAAAGAGACTTTTCAGTCTTATATATCACGCAATAATGTATACCTAAGCAAAAAAAAAAAAAATGCGGGAACCAAAGAAAGAAAAAAAAGAAGTAACCAGCAGGTTAGTGGGTTTGAAATTTCGGGTTATTGATTCATATCCCATAGCGTTTGCGAATTTGAGATTTTGGGTTCAAATTTGGGCTTTCGAAATCCCTCTGCTTTCACTTCAGGTGTTGTTGTTGTTGCTACTGTTGAGATAGCAGTTCCCTTTATGATTGCATGTTACAGACTCTTCATGAATTCTACTAAATAATTTACAAAACCGAAATTAAACACCTAACATGGTTTTACTACGATTCCTCGTATTATTCTGATCCCGGTTTCTGGATTGAATTGGCAAATTGTGTGTTCCAATCTAAATTACTTGGTAAATTTACCAAAAAAACGAAACCAAAATTTATATACCTAACTCGGTTTTACTAAGCCTCGTATCATCCATGATTCTCTGATTAAAAGAGGTTTCTGGATTGAGTTGGCAAATGATGCGGTCCAATTCAAATTATAACTTTCTTTCCTTCAAAGACCTTTTGCACGCTGAAACTCCAATGGTATTTTTCTAAAAGATCCAAATAATGGTTGATAGATCTTTCACGTGTGATGATGATATATAGCACATACCCTTACACATTCGATTCTTGCCTTCTTACGTTTAGCCAAAAATCCAGTAAACGCCACTCTAATAAATATGAATTTAGATGGAACTTGCTTCTGCTTATACAACAAGACCCTAAAACTCCTAACTCTATACCATTACCACCATTGTTATCCACTCTAAACTCTAAACCGTTTTACTAACCAACGAAGGAGTAGCAAACATTAAACTCCAAACACCTTAAACCGCATGCTCTGGATCAGATACAAATGCTAACAACTATTACCAACCAGGGATTATCAATCAAAACTAACAAGTCTCTTCTTCCACAGAAGTACACTGATCAATTGAGAGGACGCAGAGAATCCATCACTAATAAGTGTAGTCTCTGGAGTATTTAAGAAGGGGATAGATAATCAACAATCCAAAATCTCTCATTTATTCAGAATCAAATTCAAAGAAACGACAAAGCTCATCAGTGTCATTTGTGTATCCAACATTAAGAAAACAACAACAAGATCAAATTCCAATTCACCTAATATTGGGAGAAACATAAAAATGCAAACTTCCCATTCAAATATTCTAAAAAACCAAAACCCATTAACCCTCGAAGAGCTCAAAGTTCTTCATCTGATGAACGATTTCGTCAATTATCTATCCGGTGCTGCCGTGGACAATGGAACCGAGAGTGCCAAGGACAGCGAAAGCAAGCAATGGACTGACATCAAGCGTGTCGAAGATCGGAGGGATGATGTTCCTGAAGAGATTCAGGTAAGGATCGCAGAGGTCTCTAATGGCGGACAAAGGCTGTCTTTCCCAAGGGATATTAGGGAACCAACTCAGCAAAACCCTAACCATCAAAACCCCACTGTATATATCTAGCCACTTCTTTATCCCCACCGCCACAACCGTAAGCGGCGTGTTCAAGTATCCCGGCGGCCGATCCCGGACCGACGCGAAGAACACCGGTCCCGCCGTACTGAGGGAGAATCGCAAAGCGTCTCCGATTCCAGGAGAGAGTTTCTGGGCTAAGGCTCTGGCTAAAGCGATTGTTAAAGCCGCGAGAGTGGCGAGAGACCGAGTCGACCCTGTGAGTGTCGATGACCGAGTAGTGGTGGATTTCGCCGCCGGATTGAGCGGAGTTATCGGGGTACAGGTAGACGATGATGCCTTGATTTGGATGGAATCGAGGTTTCGAATGGATAGAGAAGGAAAGGGTTTAGCAGGAAAGAAGAGACGAGCCGGTGGTATCCTGTTGATGCAATGAAATTTAGGGTTTATAGCAGATGGAGGAGGAAGGTACAGAGGAGAGCGAAGAGCGAGAGGTGTAAAGGCGGCCATCTCCGTTCCTCCGCCTGAAGATAATGACGATAGGTCTCTTTTTTACTTGTCTCTAGAATATATTATTTTTGGAAAAATCTCCAAGGCAGATTTGTTGATAAAATATTTTCTAACTTAAAATCTTGTATGTAGTTTATTTATTAACAAACTTATATACTCCTTACATATGCGTATTTTAACTTTCCCGGAAAAATAACATAATTGGTCAATTAGTAAACTATAGTAAAAAGAGATCTTATCATTATTTTGAAAAATAACTAAAGAAATTAATTCCAGTAAACTTCCACTCGTAGGCAACAAAACTTCATTATAAAGTCAATTATTAAGATTAACAAAAAAATAGGAGGGAAAAATATTACAGTTTTACAATTAAAATTTTGGTATAATAGATGGTCAACAATTCAACATAGTGGAAACAACTGAGGACGTAAAATCGGTAAAGACCATAGATAAGCATCTAAGACCTTGACATTTCCACCATTTGAGATAATTCCCATAATTATATTTCTCATCATCTTCATCGGCTTTCCGATGTTCATCCTCCATCTCTGCACCACCGTACGCGGTTGTCCCACCAAGAAGCCTCGTCGCCTGTTTCCTAATCGCACGACGGCCCGTTTTCCTTTCCTTCGTTGCTGCGGCCACCACAGCCTCGTCGGAAGACTTGAAATGACATGAATTCCGTTTCTTCTTACCATTTTTCCTTTCTCCTTCTTCTTCTTCTTATTATTATTTTTTTTTGTCTTTCTGGTTTTATTTAGTTATCTGTTTTGCAAGTTCTTGAACGTGAGTTTATATAAGTAGGAGAAGATAGTGAGTGATGATCGATGATGTGTAAAGCTTAGAATCAAAAGAGCTTTTAATCATTGAAGAGGCAATGATTATGAGCATCATTAAGGCCTATGGTGAGTAGGATGGAGGTAATTCTTTTAGAAAATATTCCATTTCTATCTTCTATTATTGTACTAGTTAAGTTTAAGACAGATCTAACTCAAAGTGATCAAAGAAAATGCTTAATATATATATATTATACTTTGGTGTTGCATAGATAATAAAATAACTCTTTTGTACTACTATTGAACCGCCTCAACTCAGGTCATCACACATATTCTACATAATTCTATCTATTTCATCAAATTTGGGGATTAATAAATTGATATATTTTGAAATTTCAGAGTTGGTAGATTTTCTTGGACGTTTAATGACTTAGCGATTTCTGATACACAAATTTTCCATTAGTTTAATTAGAGACGATATAGATATTGGCATTTTTTGATCATTGGCCACTCTATGAGAAACCTAGAGTATTACTATAATTTATTTATTTTCAACAGGGTATTAATTAAACATGTTGCTTTCGTTTGCAAATTCTAGACCTCAAGTCTACGTTTTAGTTGGAGGGAATACTGTTTCTTATTAAAAAGGGTTAATTATCTAATTTGTGATCTATGCAGCTAGGTTGTGTAGCCTCGTGGTAACCATCATTACAATTTACAGGTAACCCGGCCCCATTCATATGTATCTGTTTGTTCTTTCAACTGCTCACTGACAAGATCGGATTTAATTACAATCGATACTAACTTGTGTTTTGATTTCTTTTCAAAACGATTATAAGCGATATGGTCACAATCAAAAACGCATTTTTTTCTTCGTCTAAATTTTGTTTATTAAACTTTGAAAGATACACTGTAGACCGGATGAATCAATTAAGTATCCCGAAGAACTAAAATCATCTGTGAATGTATTTCTATTTTCTACTAGTGTTTACTATATTGATGATCGATCATACTAAGCGGCAGATTGCAATCTAAAATGGTACCTATTGGGCCATTTGGGCCTCAAACTTACAATGATTTGTATTTATATTTAAAATAGTCAAAACTAAATATTATATAGTCTGACTCACACAATTCCCGCGAATCTAAACAACCTTGAAGAATACCAAACCTTGTCTTCTCTTTCTTTCTCTCCGCAAGAGAAAAACAATCCTTTTCCCTCTTCCAACAGTCTAAGCTTCCTCTAATCTCTCTTCTTTCTCCTTTCAATCGGGTTTATATTCAAGTAATCATGTTTATATATAATCTCTTCTTAGCTTCTGATTTTTCCAATCCAAGTAACCTCGCTACACTCAAATCTCCCTCTCACTTTCTTCTACTCTTCTTCGTATTCCTTCCGATTTCTCGGATTCTAAATTACCCAAGATGGATTCTCACGGAAAAACCCATCAGAAAGAGCATGATGATGATGATGTCTCTCCGAATCCCGTTACATTGTCAAAGTATTCGAACAGGGTCGAGATAAAGACTCTGCTCGAACGGAGCGACCTCGGCGCAAGATTTTCCGGGAAAAGGGTTGTGATCGGTGGATGGGTTAAGTCTTCTAGAGCGGTTAAGAAAGATCTTCCTCCTCCTCCGCCGCCGCCGGTACTAGCTATACCTCCGCCGTCGAGCGGTGGGAATCAAGCTTCTACGACGGCCAACATCAGCTGCACGGAAATCATCCAATCGAAAATGAATATCTTCAGAAAACTTTTCGACGTCTTGAGCGGCGGTGGAAAGACTTACCCAATCTTCGATAAACCGGAGCTCGCCGGTCAGAAGACCGCGCCACCACCGGAGTATATTTTATACTTGTCAGTCAGTGATGGCTCCTCCGTGACCAGTATCCAGGTAACAGAAGTTTTCCGATTTCAGTATAGTTTTGGCACAGAAGTTGTTTGATGAAATGCCAATGAGAGCTAAAATTCCAAGTTTTTGTTTGTCTCAGGTTGTTGTTGATTCTGCGATGTCGACTGTTCCACCAACTCAGCTTATGGCTCTAGGGACATGTATTGTAGCAGAAGGTGTGTTAAGACAACCAATGGCTGCTTCTGCAAAACATGTAATTGAGCTTGAGGCAGAGAAGCTTCTTCATGTAGGAACAGTGGATCCAGAGAAGTATCCACTGTCGAAGAAACAGCTTCCTCTGCACTTGCTTAGAGACTTCTCTCACTTCAGGCCCCGCACAACTACCGTAAATCTATATTCCAACATTTTATCCAAGATTTGTTCACATATTATCTTAAGTCATCGACTCGTCTTTGAGAAAGCTTGTTTTTGTCTTCTTCTTTGCTCACGAAAGAGCAATTAGCTGATATAGTTTTTTTTGTTGGTGAAGGTTGGGTCGGTGACTCGAGTCCACAGTGCGCTAACCTTCGCGAGCCACACATTTCTTCAGTACAATGGGTTTCAGTATGTTCAAGTACCAGTCATCACAACCACTGGATTTGGCGAAATGTTTAGGGTCACTACTCTTTTAGGTAAAACTGATGATAAAGAGGAGAAGAAGCATGTCAAAGAAAAAGATGGATTTAGCGTTGACACAGTAAAGGCTGCGATAAAGGAAAAGACTAAGCTGATTGATCACCTTAAGAGATCTGACAGTAACCGGGAAGCTGTGGTCGCTGCCGTACATGACTTGAAGAAAACAAGCGATCTTGCATCGCAGCTTGAGATGAAACAAAAACCAAAGGCAGCAACTCTGATCAAACCTGAGAAGCTTGATTTCTCGAAAGATTTCTTTGGTTGTGACACTTACCTGACTGTTTCTGGGAGGTTTCATCTTGAGAGCTATGCTTCTGCACTTGGAAAAGTTTATACCTTTGGACCAAGATTCATAGCTGACAAAATCGACAATGCAAGGCATTTGGCGGAGATGTGGAATGTGGAAGCTGAGATGGCTTTCTCCGAATTGGATGTAAAAAAAGTTGATTTTTATTGGTAAATGCCATTCAATGATTATTGGACAAATGGTAACTTGTTTCTTTTGTATATTACAGGATGCTATGGATTGTGCTGATGAATTCTTCAAGTTCCTCTGCAAATATCTTCTGGAAAATCGTCATGAAGACATGAAATTCATATCTAAACGAGCTGACAAGACCATCATCATGCGTCTCGAAGCAACAGCTTCCAATTCTCTTCTGAGATTCTCCTATACCGAAGCGATTAGTCTTCTACAGAAGGTAAAAAAACACTTTTCAATCAAATGCTGTTCATTATCTACTGAATGTGGTGCTATATCATAATGATCTCATTCTCTACAAACAGGCAACGAGTAGAACATTCGAAACAAAGCCTGAGTGGGGCTTTGCTTTAACGGAAGAGCATCTCAGGTATACTGTTTTGCTAATGGCAAAAGCAATTGAGTCTTTGTTTGAAGATCTGATTCTGAAATTCTCTATTCACCGTTTAATGTTGCAGTTATTTAACTGATGAGATCTACAAGGGTCCTGTAATTATACATAGCCACCCGAAAGAGGTTAAACCGTTTTACATACGGTTGAATGATGACAAGAACACTGTAGCAGCATTTGATCTGGTGGTTCCAAAGGTAAATATAGAACCAAACCAAAGTTGGATCTAAAATTTGCTGAATGTTACAAAAGACTTCAACTTTGTTTGCAGGTTGGTGTTGTGATCACTGGGAGCCAAAACGAAGAACGGTTTGAGATTTTGGATGCGAGGATCGGGGAATCTGGATACACAACAAAGGAGAAGTACGAGTGGTACTTAGATTTAAGGAGGCATGGGACAGTGAAGCATTCCGGAATAAGCCTAAAGATGGAACATATGCTTCTGTTTGCGACGGGACTTCCTGATATCAAAGACGCCATTCCTTTCCCAAGAAGTTGGGGCAAAGCAAACAATTGAAGCAGCCTCAAGGTTTTATGTACAAACTCACTTTCGTCGTTATGTAATAATCTATGTAACCATACTTGGTGAAATAAATAAAAAAAGAGAGAATTGTATCCCAAAAGTGTTCATAATGATTATGGGGGTTGTATATTTTGGAGGAAATTTGTAAATAAGCAATAAGATATCAAAACCTACAAGAGTCTACAATGTATATTGTCTAAAAATTAATAACATACGGTACACCTGAATATTCCCAATGCGAATGGCTAAGTATGACCATTTGGAACCGGTGATGTGTCCTTAGAAAAAACATGGGCATTAATTAAAACATCTTAAACGTAATTAAGTTAAGAAAGAAATGTAGGGTCTATTGGAAACCCCGCCAATCACGCAGCTTGTCTGTCATTACTTTACCACTTATCAAAGCTTCACAGCTGCAAAAATTCTCCACAATCTGTTCCAAAGAAGCAGAAGAAGAAGAAGAAGAAGAAGAAGAAGAAGAAGAAGAAGAAGAAGAAGAAGAAGAAGTAGAAGAAGAAGAAGAAGAAGAAGAAGAAGAAGAAGTAGAAGTAGAAGAAGAAGAAGAAGAAGAAGAAGAAGAAGAAGAAGAAGAAGATGGGTAAGGAAAACGATCGAGGAGAAGAGTACCTGTTCAAGATTGTCCTAATCGGCGACTCGGCTGTCGGGAAATCGAACTTACTGTCTCGATTTTCTCGGGACGAGTTCGATACGAATTCGAAGGCGACAATCGGAGTGGAATTTCAGACGCAGTTGGTGGAGATCGAAGGGAAAGAAGTGAAAGCTCAGATCTGGGACACTGCTGGTCAAGAGAGGTTTAGGGCAGTCACTTCTGCTTATTACAGAGGTGCTTTTGGTGCTCTCATCGTTTACGACATCACCAGAAGCTCCACTTTCGAGAGCGTCAAGCGATGGCTTCAGGAACTCCACAGTAAGTCCCCTTCCCTTTTTTTCCTCCCTTCTTGTATTAAGAGGAAATTCATGTTTGGTTGAAATTTAAGTAAGCGAGCAGAGCACCATTGATGGATCCTGTTAAATTACAATAAGATGCTCTCTGTTTTGCTCCCTAACACTTTTGTTTTTGTTATTGTTTGTTACCGTAAAGCTCATTGTGACACGGCAGTGGCACAAATGCTAGTTGGGAACAAATGCGATTTGGAGGAAATCAGAGCTGTGAGTGTGGAAGAAGGGAAAGCTCTCGCAGAGGAAGAAGGACTCTTCTTCATGGAGACATCCGCTCTTGACTCCACGAACGTAGACAAAGCGTTTGAGGTTGTCATCAGAGAGATCTTCAGCAATGTCAGCCGCAAACTTCTCAACTCCGATGCTTACAAGGCCGAGCTATCCGTTAATCGTGTCAGCCTTGTTAACAACCAGGATGGCTCCGAGAGCTCTTGGCGGAATCCGTCTTGTTGCTCCCGGTGATTTGTATAACAAATCTTTGTTTTCATGGTCTTTGTTTTCTTCTTCTACCAGAGAAAAACATTATTACAAGGTTATATTTATCAATATTCGGACTTAGTTAAAGATACTTGCAATCTATTTTGTTTTGATATTATACCACCAATTGGGTTCTCTCGGTGTAAAGCAAATGACCTCACTGAATATCAGAGAAATTTGTGAAATCGTGAATTTTTGAAATGAACCTCTAATGGAACTATATGTACATATATAAATAGATTCAATGGTTGATTAGGTACAAATACAATCAAGGTTTTCGTAAAGCGGAACCAGCACCCATTACTACTGCTAAGACAAGGCCAAGACCGGCTCCAAGTGAAGCACCCACGGCTGCTGCTGACATCGACGATGACTTGGCCTTTGAACCATCTACGGCACGGCTTTTAGCCAGTTCCACCAACAGTCTGTCTCTAGCAAGTTCCTGAAAGTTTGATGGAGATCATATAAAACACTGAAGCGACTTGGGCATTATTTTTAGCAAATGGTTTAACCACTCCGAATCTGCGTTAATAAGAAAGCTAGGAGAGTGTTAATACCTGAAAGCAAGCTTCTTCTTGAGTTTGAAGGACGCTATGCACAAGCTGGCAAAGGGAATTCACACCGTCCACCGGAAAAACAGTGTCTTTTCTCTGAAAAGGCTTTTTGACAAGGTCGAGTGGAGCGAAGATCAGCTTCTGAGCACCTAATGATCCTTCATTACCGGCATTCACAGCTGCCCATGGCAATGAGGAACTCCCAGAGCCAGAGATAACATAAGGGATAGAGTTGACAATTCCGGTTGTGTTTGGAGACGCTTGATATGCCTGAAGAACAGCTTCTATCATAGTTTTCTGCTGATGGGCACTGACTGAGAACTTGTTTGTAATGGCGAGAACCCAAGGGATGCCGAGAGATTTGACCTCCTCCAACAGAAGAGAAAGTGCTGGTTGCTGTTGCGTTGTTGAGTTCTGGTAACGTGGTATTCTGTGAGATAGATTGTGCACAAGAATAATCAGATCTATCTTCTTACTTAGGTTACGAACTCCTTGCCATATTTCTTCTCTAAAGCGAGTAGCCTCCAAGTGCAGCTCCTGCATCAGAATTCCCACAAAACAGGATTAATAAATCGGAATAATGATGAAAGTTGTGGAACCAAAATGTGAAGAAAATGACCTGCAGGTTCACGCCTACTGTGTCGGAGTAGCAAACACCACCAACAATACATTCTTGAACATCGGACTGTATCTGCAGATTCTCCACATGGGTCATCGAACTCAGCATGCTTTGACCCAGTATTCCCCGGAACAGAGAGGTTTTACCAGCACCCTGCGTAGACAAAACGATCCAGATTTTATAATTACATGCAATGTATGTGAGCATGAAATGTTATTCCAATGAAACAAAGAAAAGGCGGTACCTCAAGCCCGAGTAATCGGACCCTCCGTGTTCTGACATCAACCTCCTTAGCTACAGTAGCGAAATCACTAGTACAGAATATATACAAGTCTTCCAAACCTTCAGGACGAACAAACTTGTCCTCTTGAAAAAATCCTAAACTGATTCCTTCCTTCAGCAAACCGGTGTTTGAATCAACAGACGAGAACATAGGAACTAAAGGATCTTCAACTATTTGATTGCTTGGAGGTCGTTTCAGAGGACTTTCAATGGTCACCCTAATTTTCTGCAGTTCTGTCTGTTCTACATTTCCTGAAGATTCCACAGTAGTTGAGTACCTAAAACAGAGTTAATCACAGATATTTAACAACTCTATCACATACATATATCTGTCATCAAATAAAAAAGAGTGAAAAAAACAGCGATAATGGATTATACCAATTGCCATTCACTTGTGCATGAACAAAAGAACACAAATGCAACCTAAATCCAGTGATATCAACTTTCAGATTCTTATCACCAGGGACACCTTTCCAGCCAAGAGGAGTGATAGAAGTGGCGGTTCTGATGACCGGTGATTCAACGATATGCCCAATTTCTACACTACTACCAACAGCAAGTCCAAGCCACTGTTGTAAATGTGGAAACTGCTTCTGCTGATCCACTCCGAAAAATTCATCAATATCCATGCAGAGGTCATGTATTCTACAGCATGAAAAAAGGCATGTCAGTGAAAAAGCAAACGAAGACTATGTCACCTGCATACGCATATGAATCAAGGAGTAACCGGCCTAGGGTAAGAGGAACTATCACCTCTGGAAGCGAGACCTATAGGATTTCATAGAATGTGACTGAAGACGTTCCCTTAGTTCGGTAATCACAGATCTGACCTGAAAATATCTTTGCCAGAAAAATGCAACCAAATAAGAGAACCTCAACCACAAACTAAATATGAAGATATGCGTATAATGACAGGACCTAAACATACTGTAAAATTGAGCTTCTAAAGTTAGTTAGAGAACCCCAAAAACAGAGCTACTTGATTCAGTATGACTTTAATTGTTTGGATACGTTTCATAATTTGAGATTAATGAACACTTATTAGCATATTTATAAGCAAAGGAAGCTCGTACCGATGTCAACTTAGAGTACTCTCCTTCTGAAAGTGGTTCCACAGATGCAGTTCCCAAGAGATATAGCTGTGATACGCATAATCAACTTATTAAATTATGTTTAAGGAACCAAAATTCTACCGAAATTAAAAGCAGCATCAGAGCTGACAATTTGTCATTGACACAGAACTAGAATTAGCATCGCCAATCTTGGCATACTGCTCAAAAATTTAGGTAGACTAAGTATTACAGTATTTCTAAAGCTTATCACATTTATGTAAGTAATAAACATCTACCTGTCCGAATGGAACGTAAGAAGGTAAAGAAGGAACCCTGCGCCAACTATTTCCAAAACCATTGGATGAATCGCTCTGTCCATCACTCCTTCCACCAACTGTTTGGGCGTTACCCGTATCTGGCAATGGCTTGAGAGATATACCATCCCTACCCTCTTCTATTTCAAGAGATTGTGGTTCAATAACCACGTCCTCAAAAGGACCTGACACTGAAGATTCAGTTGCAGTAGAACTCTCTGCAGGATCCACTTTCTTCCCTCTATACCTATCTAGTTGTTTTTTAACAGCCTCAAGGGGAACAAGTCTTGAAAGCCTCCAGAATGAGTTCTGAACAGGGCCAACACCAATGACTAACTGCTCGTGTTCTTTGCCTTTTGTCTTTCCTGCCTCTGAAGTTACACCCTGGCCATTCATTTCTGACACTGACGAATTTGTGGCATCAGCCTCTACAGCCATTGACATTCTTTGCTCATTGTAATGATGAAAATATGCAGGCGATAATATCCTGGGGACCAAATCTTCAGGTATACAGTAGCTCTTGAAATAATGATGCCACCCCTTTTCATGTACGTAACTGCAAAACGAACCAAACCAAGGGAAAAAAAAAACATGAGAATGCTCTTCCTAAGCCCAGCCGTATGTTTAACTTGTACACCAAAAACATACTCTCGCAACGCAGCATTCCCAACAGGAGGCTGGGAAAAGGTTATACATTTGACATGAATATTTTCATTTTCTTTCTTTGTAGAAGAGGAAGCAACAACCCTCAATATTGCAAGTGTGGCTAATGCAGCTACCTACGAAATTTCAGAAAATATATAAAAATCCTGGGAGCTAAAAACGAGAAGTCATTTGTAGACAACGAGATACAAAGGTAAGTAATCAGACTTACAGCTCCACCAAGTGAATGTCCACATAAGACAAGTTTTTGTTTCTTTTTCTGAGCAAGTCTATACAGTTCCAGAGCAGGTATCGCCTTAGCACGAGCCAAGAATCCCTAGTTTTTAAAATGGAAGACGATAATTAAATACTTATATAAACTTTGCATATGATAATAGTGTACTGAAGATACAGAAAAAAAAAAAAAAAAAAAAGCATACCCGATGAGCAGCAGGTTTGGGCTTCTGTCTACGTTGTATAGGTTCAGATGCTGCGGTGCATTCATCCTCAGGGACATCATCGTGAAATATGTGACCTTGAAGTATATTTGCATCAGCCATGATGTCCCTAGAACACACCCATGAATGGAAAACATATTATACATCTGACCTATTTCGTTTTCCAATGAATAAAAACTCCAAGACTTACTTATATTGCTTAGTTCCAACAAAGGATGCAAATAATGTATCACCAGCCTCAGCGAGTAGATACCTGCATTAAGATATTCCCTCGAGTTAATTTTCAGTTTGAGCATTAGGAACCACACCCATCTAGTACCAAAAATTAACAAATTAATAAAATCAGATAATTCTGTAAAGAAGAAACCGAAGATCGAAAAATACATGAAAGGAAGTTCAAAAAAATTTCCAACCGCTAAGAGATGTTAAAAAAAAACCTGTGAGGAACGTGATCTGATGAAGGTTGAACTCTCTCCAACGATATAAATTGGCCGCCAAAGTCCGCTTTAAATTTGTTTACAGCTCGAACCATCTCACTTGAAGGTCTCTATCATTCAATTAACAATGCCAATAGCGTAATCAGAAATTCTCGAAATTTTCAGATACTTCTCATTACAAAGTTACATTCAAGTAAATGGCCGTGAATTGTATGAATTTGTGTTCAATTTAAGTTCCTCTATCCACTATACACCTAAACTACCCTTTTAAGCAACTAACAAAACCACTTAGTTAATCAGCAGTTAATTTCAGCTGATGATACCAAGTGTTATAAGCCCTTTGCAGAACGCAGATGTTCCTTAGTTTGATTAAACATTATCGAAAGGGTCGATGAAAGTAAGGGTACTAAATTACCTTGTAAACACACTCGGAAAGTACCATGCAACAGAGTAAGTCCTGCAAATCTTCGACCGATTCGGATTTGAGGGCGAGACAAAGATCCTGAATTTGCTTTTTTCGCTTCTCGTACTCCCGGCGGATCTTGACCCTCTGATCGGCATCTTCTCCGTTCCATGGCGGCCACCGGAACCTCCATTGAAGTGGGCCCCAAGAGACCCGTAAAAATCTCGCACTCTGGTCTCTGATCCACGATTCCACTCGGCTCTGCATCGACTCCATTGCTAACACTGGTAACGACTATGCTCTAGAATCGAAACTCAATAACGCGATAACTTCTGAGTTTTGGAAAACGGGTGGGATTTTGAAAATGGAATAGTGAGATTTGAGAAGATGAGAGAAATTCGAGGAGAAGAAGGAAAGGAAGCGCCTTTAAAGATAGTAATGTTTATGTAGCAGAGGGGATGATGATGAGACACTGAGCATCACAAGGCATATGCGCCTCCATCGCGCTATGTGTTGAAAATTGTCCATATTTCTTGGGCCGTTTAAGTTCATAAAAATATTGGGCTTTAGGCCTAATATTTCGCGGACTTTTTCATTTACCTGTTTTGTCTTAACTTTTCTATTCAAAATTTTTTTGCTATAGTTTGGTGCTTAATACTTAACAAGTTATGGTAACTATGCTCAGTTCGTTACGCCGGTTTTGTTTATCAACATCCTCTCTATCAAATATTTATATCACTAAAAATTGTTAACGTTTCAAATCATTTAGCAATGTATTCTGAAGAAAAGATTAGACAACTAACGACTAAATATTTTTTTTGTTGTTTGTGATTTGTCGCCAATTTATGTTGTTGAACTACCGATCAGATACAGAATTTCATTTTCAAACAACATTTATGCCGTCTAACTGCATCGTTAAAACCACCACATACCACAAGAAAAAAGAAAAAAAAAGCATTTTCACTTATAGTTGTTTTTTGTGAACTAAGATTTCTTATACTAGTTGTTTTTTGTCATTGATAACAGCAAAACGAACTAGTAGTAATAACTTCAAATAACTTTCAAATTAAAGATCAGCAAATATAATGGAGAACATACACGAACATGGTACACAGAACACACACAAAAATTTATATATTTTTTTGTTAATTTTTTTTTAAAAAAATGTATATAGTGTTGCTTTGGTAGTGTTTAACTGTTTATTGGTTTTTTTATTTTAAAACATTTTCAATTCTAATTCGATTAATTTGAATTTAATATGGAAGGATAAGAAATTTTTAAAAATATATTGGTGTCTCGATGGGAAAATAGTCAACTGGTGAACAGGGCTGCAAATTGCAAACACAGTTATTTTAAGCAGATAAGATGATGAGTGAGTGGGCTCGGGTGGAGTCTGAGGAAGGAGAGGAGTGAAGAGATCTTTGGCCTTCAGGGTTGTCAGAGAAGCCTTTCGGTCTTTCATGCTGAATTGAAGAGCTTCCTAGGGGCAATGTCTTGCATGAAAGATAGACATATCATATCCGTGCACTTTCAGACCGCTTGCTTTGATCTGGTAAGCATGGCAGAATCTCCATCAGACTAGCCATCTTTCCTTTCAGAGTTGGAAATCTTCCGGATATTACAAGAAAATTTTTTGGACTTTACTCTCTCTCATATCCCCAGGAGTTCATATGTCCGAGTGGATAGTCTAGTGAAAGGTGCTCGAGCAAAAGGTTTTATCTTTTCCCAAATCATTCATAACGAGTCAGTTGTGGGGGTCTTCGGACCATTCCCTTAGTGATGTAATAGTTGGATAGCGAAAAAAAAAAAAGATAAGATGATAATAGCAATGGTCCATACAATCCAATATTAATGTATTAATGTGGCGAAAAAAGCGGTAAAACAAAAAGAGTAAATGACTCTACGACTAAAAAGGGTATTTAAAAAAAGTGTGGGGCTCCATTATTGTGCGAAAAAAAGGAATAGAGAGAGATAGAAGATCAAATCCAGAAAATAAATACACTACCCAACAAAACCAAAATTGCCAAATTAACCCCGAAATTTACGCTTGTCGTCATCGACCCCGCGTTCCCTGGACCTCCCGCCTCTCCGGGAGTGGTCGAGCCACCGGTGGTACTGCTCGGTCCCGGAGCAGAGCCCGGAGAAGAGCCCGGAGCAGAGGCTGGAGCGTCAGAGCCGGTGAGTCTCAGCACGGCTCTGGAGTTTAAATTCGCCGGAGCGAAAGGATGCACTCCAAGACGACCGTTAGTAACATTCCCGCCGATCTGCCAGACCTGGTTAACGCTATCGGCTCCGGCCGGAACCTTAACCGACGTGTGAATCGCGATCCTACCGCCGCTCATGGAGACGGCGCGTAGATCCCAAAATTCGAAGGAAAGTCTGCCTTCGACGAGACTGCTGTAGCTACTAATGTTGTACGTCCTCACGGAGACAGGCGCGCCGGCGCCGGATCTGAATGCGACGAAGGCCTGAGAACCGCCCATCCCAGTAGCCGTCGGATTGATAGCCCAAGCGACCCAGCCGCCGTTGGGTTGTGATGGAGTGCCGACGAATGCGACGGAGAGAGATGAATTGGAGGCATTGTAGGTGTAATGGAGGTAGGAATCGAGTACGGGAAGGTCTAGGCAAGACTCGAACGGTGTTCTCTCGGCGGATCGTACGTTCTGTGTAGAGCAAGTACTCTGTGCGATCGCCGGTGAGAAGCATGCAACGGCCAAGATTAGAAGAAGAATAGCATTATGAGAAGCCATAGCTGAGTTCTGGTGTGGTGTGGTGTTTGATAAGACAAATGGAACATGTTGTGTTTGTTTTTATAGACACAGACAGAGAGAGGCTAAAGTTATGGGAGAGTTTTTGATTCAGTGCACCGCTTCTGAGAAGAGGGAATCGGGTGAAAGCCGTTAGGATGATGCCACGTGTTGAGTTGACCGCTAGATAAGAAAAGTCACGTTCACGATGTGAATTGGTGTGTTTGTTGAAAACGATTTAATTAGAGGAGGAGGAGGGATTTGGGTAGAGCATGTGGAGAGTGCGTGTTCTTGTGGAAGTTGACTGCAACTAGCGTCTGAGATTTTTTGTTTGTTATACTTTTGTCAACCTTTATTTTATTTTTTCTTCTTCTTTTTAAATATTGTCATCAGTCAAATGAGTTGAAATGTATTAGTATTTTGTTTATATGCACGACTTTACTTGAGATCCGCTGGAAAACCCGGCCCCTTCGTATACAAATGGGAAAACATAGTTTTTTTTTTTGTTTTTTTTTGTTTTTGGGGGGTTTTGAAATGAATAAAAAAAAACTGGGATTTTTAATATGAAATTCATAGAAATGGACACGGAATAATGTGGGAAATGTGAGATAGGAGATGAAAACGGGAAAAGTGTTTTGAATAAAGTTTTGTTAATAATCAAAAATTGAAAAGACATGTGTAGTGTAGTGACGAAATTTTTGTTTTTGTTTTTTTGTTTTGTTTACCTAATGACATTGTCAATAATGTTGATCAAAAGATATTACCGGAATTTTCTTTAGGTCATTTTCATGTGAATTGGGAAATAAGCCAAATTTCATATCTTTGTTACTTTGTGTTTTCGCTTTTCTTTCCTAGTTGTTGGGCAACTTTGAATATATACCGATGCCCAATCTCCCTCATTTACTCTTTTTGTTTCCATTGTCTTTTAATTTTGTGTTCCTACTTTTCGTTTTATTCTAGAATCGACTTTTTTAAAAAAATAAATAAATTAGGCCTATAGACCCCAGATGATCAAATTGTCAATACCAAATGTCTGCAATATGTTCCCGAATTATCTTTACTTTAATATCTCTAGGTGAAAGTCGATGTTCTTTTCGTCGATTAGAAAAATGGAAATGGTCCTCTCTTTTTATTTCTGATTTTTCATGAGATATAGACGAAAGTTAGAGATCGAAAGGTTGCTTACATAAGCATTATTGCATACGTGACGTTTCTACATGCCCCTATGTATTTATTGTTATCGTTCACGTGGTTTGTGGAAACTATTAGTATTACACTCCTGTCTATAATTCTTTATATGATTATCATATATTTTTTTTGGACGAGTATGATTATTATATCTATCATGGATTCATGGGCACTATGATACGAATTTTTTTTTTATCTTTTTAGATATTTAAATATTCTTATATCAGAAATTTTATTTATTCTAGTCTCGAGCAGGAATATGGGCAAGAAACACGTATATAATAAACAGGCAACAAATATGTTATTCTTTTTGAGCTACGTCCAACAAATATCTGTGCACAGTTTTAATAAATCTGGCATTGGCGAATAGTTTAAAAGGGTGGAATTTTGTCAACAATATAATTGTGTGTCTCCACCAATTTTTCGACATTTATTTATCTGTTATTATACAGAAAGCCTAGTTTACATCAGTTTTTCTAAACTGTTGAATATAAACATTTTGATTCCATTGAAAAAAACATTTTCAATTATTCATTTGTGTTTGCAATCCACTTGATATATAGGTAATATATCTATTTTACCTTTGTATACATATTTCCATAGCTTTGTATACGTTTCATACATAAACTAAAAAATAAAAGAATCATAAAGATCATCATAACTAATTAACTACCTCTAATCAATATAAACAATCAACACCTAATTATATCAAACGTATTTATAATTACCATGCAGAAGGCAAAAAAAAAGAGAGTAAAGACGTGAGATAAATTGTTATTTTTTTTAAAGACGTGAGATAAAGGAAGCATCTGAAGAAATGGGAAATGTCTGAAAGAGGATTAGAAAATCTCCACACGCTATAGTCCTTAATGACTCCTTAAATTCGTGTAAGCGTCATTAGTCTATTATCATTGGTACAATGGTATTGGCTAAGCCACTCTACAGAATAAAGCGCCCAACACATTTGCATTAGTATTTAATTAATCTTTGTAATTCTCACTATTTTTATGCTTGAGCTCTTCCGTATTTTTTTTTTTTTATTGTTCCGTGTTTTGTCCGGTCCAGAAAACACGAGGGTTACATTTTATGATAATCGTTGTAGTTATATGGTAATTCAATTGTTTAAACCTTAAATTAGTCTTTAAGAGAAGTTGAGCCATAATCAAATTTCGAGAACTGACTGTAGAAAGAAGACTAATTTACCAACATAGAGAAATAACTTTGTACTTAAAAAGAAAAATATCAATCACTAATTTACTATTATATAAAGATATATAAATGAGTATATGATATATTGGAAACGTAATAACATATCGTTTTGTAGAAAATGAAAAATAAAGTCTAACACATCCGTCATTACAAAATAAAAGAAGGGATAATCCAAGACGACTCCCCAAAAAAAAACAAATTTTGCTCCACATTAGCTAAGCTGAAGTAAAGTTTAGCAATGACATGATATATTTATTCACATTCCGGGAGAAAGTCATAATTCGTAACGGTACACAAAACTTCTTTCAAGATCAATGATTATGAGATGGATACGTCAACAACTTCTAAGCATGGATTAACCTTTAAGCTAGTTTTATTTAGGCCAATAGCTCATTCAAAATTAAAATATAATGGGCCTTGAGACCATAGTCACGAGCTATAGTTGGCTTTGGGTTTTTCTTCAGAAGCCCGCAAATTTGTTTCATTTTCAACTAATTGTCTGGTTTGAATAATAGAAGGATTCTAAGTGGCCCATTAGTTGTTGTTCCTTGTGAATACGTTATTGCTCGTCGCAATTCAGCGAAAATTATGTTGTAGTCCTCGTGATGCCTTTTTTGTTTAGATATAATTTCTTAACTCTTGATCCCTGTAGGAAACATGGCGGTTCCAATGGTGAACACGATGGTGGTGAAAAAAACGCGCCTAAACGTTTCATTATGCCCGTAAAACATTTTTTCTAGTATATGGAAGAATTTAATTAAAAGATTTACAATGAACCGAAGACTTGTTTACGGGTACATTAAAGAAAAATATCCACAAGGCAAAAGGCGGTTAAACATAAACTAACTTTACGACCCGGGTTTTACCCACAGCCTTGTCACGCTGACCCGGTAAAGAGTCTACTACTTCCTTTCGATAACCGATTGTTTTAAAATTACAATGACCTTTTTGCTTTTCTTTTATCCTTTCTGTGAAATTTCGCGGCTTCTTCTTCTAGTCTGCAAAACTCCGGGAGATTCTTCGCACGCGTCGCCGGAGAAAGATAGAGAGGAGTAGGAATAGAGGAGCGATTCGTTTGTGTCCGATTGGCTTAGACGGTGACAGGCGCTGTCTCCGCCATGGCGGCAAATCAAGCCGAGCGGTTAAAGGAAGATGGTAACAGTTGCTTTAAGAAAGAACGTTTCGGTGCGGCCATTGATGCTTATACTGAGGTACATGGTTCTCACTAGCTATTCACTCGCCTTCTCTTATTTCATCGCTAGGGTTTTGTTTTCTGGGCGTATCCCTAGAATTTGATTTAGATCTGCGTAGAGGAATAAACCTCTGGATTGAACCTCAATATTGGACAATTCATTCATAATCAAAGCATGATTGTATCCAATTCGGTTTAGATGGGCTCATTTCAGAATATACAATTGGTTACAGTTGGAATTTAGGAATCTTTATGTGTTCGTCGATAAGTTATCAGTTTGCAGAGATGTCGACGTCATGGAGTAGCTTTGATGACTTATTCGTTTGCTATTTTCTTGTCATCTTTGTTTATTTCTAAAGGCGATTACCTTGTCACCAAAGGTTCCTGTATATTGGACTAATCGAGCTCTTTGCCACATGAAGCGAAAGTATGTATGTTTTGTCAAATAATTTTTTACTTCTGATCAATTCTAATACCTGAATAGTGTTTCATTTTTCATCTTGTTGTTTATGTTTGCCTTGTCTGCTTGCTTGTGGTTGTCTGGCATCAAATTCAGGGATTGGATTAGGGTTGAAGAGGATTGTCGCAAAGCTATTCAGCTTGACCACAATTCTGTCAAGGTTTGATTTTTTTGGTTTTATCTAGACAGTTCTCTTTTGCTCGGCATGCTATTTGTTGAATCTATTAAGTTTTCGTTGATTCTTTCTCCTCCCTCATAAGGGGATTCTTCACCTATGTTTCTCTGGCAGGCCCATTACATGCTAGGACTTGCATTATTGCAGAGTAAACAATATTCTGATGGAGTCAAAGAGTTGCAAAGGGTATGATCCTTGTTATTCCTAAGCTTCGTATGTAAATGTTATTAGTGGACATGATTTTCGTACGCCATAGCCTTGGCATGATGATGATGCTATGGACACAGGAATTAGTGGGAAAAACCATGCTGGATGGGTTAATTTGTTGAAATCATCAATTACTACAGAACAAAAATTTTGGATAACTTTATGTGGTTACGCTTCATATAGGCTTTAGATCTTGGAAGAGGCGCAAATCCAACAGGATATATGGTAGAAGAAATATGGGAAGAGCTTGCTAAAGCAAAATACATGGAGTGGGAACTGGATTCTGCGAGGCGCTCGTGGGAACTGAATAGTTTGAAGTAGGTTATGTGTATTTCGTAATCCAGTGCAAACATTCTACTGGGAACTATGCTTCACTGTGGCTTTATGCAACTATTCATGTTCGTCTCAGGGAAACTTGTGAGGCTGCTCTTAATCAACAACGTGCTTTAGATATGTCTCGAACAGAGGAGTCCTCGGAAGAAGCTTATTCTTTCCATACTGAGCGATTGAAAGCTCTTGATCGAGTGTTTGAGAAAGCTGCAGAAGACGACAAACCAGCTGAGGTGCATCAACTTTTCTTTAAAAGCTTTTTGTAAGAGCCCCTCTTCTATTCAAATTTGAGGTCAATGCCATTCTGGGTCATTTTTTTCAGGTGCCAGATTATTTGTGTTGCAACATTACACTTGAGATATTCCGGGATCCTGTGATTTCTCCAAGTGGGGTTACATATGAAAGAGCAGCGATCCTTGAACATATTAAGAAGGTAAGGCATTATCATCGCTCTTTGCTCTCTCTCTCTCTTTTTTCATTCCTGTTAAGGTTTGGTCGTTTAAACCATTTGCTAGGTGGGGAGGTTTGATCCTATTACGCGTGAAAAACTCGACCCATCCAAACTCGTTCCAAATCTGGCTATCAAAGAGGCAGTGGCTGCTTATCTAGACAAACACGTTTGGGCTTACAAAGTGGGCTGTTGATTCAAATGGGGCTTTGCATACAAACAATGAAACGGAAGAGAGATCAAATATACTCAGTGACTGAACAAAACAGACGTTTACGTTTTTCAGTTTCGTTTTTTTTTTCTTGCTTGCCAATGTTTTTCGTGTAAGATTCTCTGCCGTGTATTGCTCACTTTATAAATATAAGAAACATGTGCATATGGTTAATTGGATCAATCAATGAAAAATAAAAATAGCTAACGACTAGTTTTTGCATTTTGGTGTATACTTCCATTATTTTTTAGCAAAAGACGTTTTCTCATTTTCTCTATGAAATAAATACGCGATCTCCGGCACTAACTGATATATTACTATATTAGTGATTGGAATATTGGATACATCACATCCCTTTTACATGTATGTAATGTAATAGAGATTTACGTCTCATATCACATCTACTTTCTTTTCAAAAAATTTGAAATATGGTTGAAAGTCGTTTTAGAATTTGGTACATTGTTCAAGTTCACAGAAATAAAAAGCTGAAAAAGTTTTTTGAGAAAAGAGATGCCCATGGTTTGTAGAAACTCTGCTAAGGGAAACAAGAAAAAACGGAGTATTCCGTAATTAAGTTTTGACAAAGAAAAAGGTGATTATTTTTTTTTCGTTAACGATTAAGTTTATTAATTAACTTGAGAAATCAAGATTTGAGAGTTCGATTAACTCTTTGACCGATTAACTCATCTGATATGGTCGTCGACCAAAAAAGAAATCCGGAATTTTTGGTTAGAAAGAAAATAAATACTACTGATTAGTAGTCATTATTTATTAGGCAAATAATTAAATGTTGGGACTGATACATTGAAATTTTAAAGCAATGAATAAAATTCTTTATTCTGCCTAAAAATAAGGCGGATATCTTGGGTACTTGAATAGAAATAAAAAGAAGTATTACACATGGGGACACGTAAAAGGTAAACCCACCATTGTGGATCATTAAGATTCGTATTCCTTTTAAGGGGAATTGTTTTCGATCCGTAGAATAAAAATCCATCTATTGTAAATGTTACTTCTTGTGGATAAAAAGCTTGAAGAATCAAATTCTTTATTTTCTTGGATTTTCTGTGAAAGTTGGGTGAGGAAACACCAAAGAGTGGTTTAAGACCAATCCATATTCTATCCTGATCTCTATTAAATATTCCATTTTCCAACTTTCTCGATCTATCGACCCGTAGTTATTGCGATTCACGAGTTGTGGCAATTTCGTGATTTTTATTGTAACTTCCAAGCAATCCATGTCCAACAAACAAAATACATGTGATTTTATCATTACTTACTTGCCTTTTCTTGCAATGTATTTAAAATTTTTAATAGTGATATATATTTAGATCTATTCCATTTAAATATTGCACAAATAAGATATTGAAAATGTACTCATTTATAAAAAAAATATTGAAAATCCAATTTAAAATATTGCACAAAAAACCTATTCCATTAAAATATCTTACATATCTAAAAATTCAAAATTCTGGTAGAAATTTTATATAGTACAAATATTTCACTTTTAAAAAGTTATATTTGTTTAGTAATTATAATGGAAATGTACTCATTTATAAACAATTTTCAGAATGATAGATTTTTTTTTTGTTAAAGTGACGGTGTTTCCCTAATTAAATGACATACAGCAAGAGGACGAGGGTCACATTACATACATATACAGAACAGAAATCACATCATAAAATAATTAAAATCCGTGAATCTAAAATAAACTCTTTTTCCAGAGAGAGTGTGGAATAAGATTGATTTGTTTTGTGGTTCCGTGTGATGTGAAGAACACGACATTACAGCCTTTCTATGTATTTTAATATATATAATATACAAGAAACAGACGAAAGTTACATAGTTACTTGTTGACCAAGGCATTCACTGCTGAATAAAGCCAACATTGATTTTTATTGATTCCCCGGAAAAAACTATTCACACAGATTTCTACTTACAACCTCATATACGGAAACCATATATAATATTATTCAGCTCCTAGAGATATGAATAATTTACAAAAATTATGAAAGCCAAAGAAAGAAAGAACACAGATAAAACAAAAGAGCAAAGATTTAGATAATTTACATTGCGGATGTTTAAAGGCATTCTCTCAGGCAGTGTGAGTGAGGTTCATAGCTTTTCTCAGTCGATCCAAGATCCCATTTGCTTTCCTCTGTGCCCTTGACGTTCCTTCACGCGCAAGCTTTGTTATCGTTCCATGAGTATTCTCCTCTTCTTTGATCTCCTTCCACTTCGTCCTGTCGCTGAACATATCGTATGCAGTATCACAATCGCGTTCTCTTTGTTCCGCTTGCACTCGCTCTCTCGAGTTATCTCCAGCAACCAAGAAACCCCACCGAGCTCACCCAATTCCTCCACAGCCTTCCAGTGAGTAACAAGCATTGCCAAAATAGCTAAAAGCTCATCAACGTACAACCCATTTGAGATTTTCTTACCTAAAACCCTAACAGCCCCGTCCTTGACGGCTCTACTCCTGTTTTCATGGGCAATACACAGAGTGAAGATCGCTGCAGCTACGTCTTTGATAGCTAACGGATTCCCTTCATCTAGTAGATCGATAAGCGGTTTCAAGATTCCGGATTTCCCTATAAGCACTTTGTTCGAATCGAGCGCAGAGAGAGTGAAGATCGCTGCAGCTGCATTGCTTCTCGTGGCTACAGTTCCACGCCTCAATGCATCGATCAGGAGAGGAATCACATTAGGGTTTTCGCAGACGAGCTTCTTGTTGCTGTCATCATGTATGGATATGTTCAACAGTGTCGTGACCACATCTTCCTGAATATGCTCATCTGGGTTTGATCCGTGCAACAACGGATTCAATAAGCGGGTGATTTCATCTGGATGTTCACCAAAAAGAGCTCGGAAGTCCGGTCCTTTCTTGGTCAGAAGTCTTAGCTCCTTTGCAGCTGATTTTTGATCTTGAAGATTCGAAGACGAGACTTTACAGAGCAAGGAACTGAAAATCTCGCGATCTGATTTTGTGACAGCTTTCTCTTCATTTACAAGGTTGGAATGATGTTGATTTGTCGTCTCGAGCCCAACCTTCTTGCACCATTTTGAGATCATTTCACGGATTAAGAGATTGGGAGTCAAAGCTGTGTGAGGCAGAACTTGCTGAGTCTTGGGACATGTTCTGTTGCCTGAGCTTAACCATTTCTGGATGAATAACTTGTCGTATGTCTGCCAAAACAAAACACACACAATTTCACTTACATTCGATATCCACGGATACTATTATGAAACAAGCGATGGCCATTAATGAAGTAAATGTTTCTAATATCAAATGTTTTTGATCATCTCCGTGAAAAAGGCTCCAGATTTCCTCATTCTGGGATTCTATTAGTCATCGAATATCAATTACACGGATTACTTTTTTTTTCCTAGCGACACAAAAGAAGAATTTCCAAGAAACCTGAGGCTCCGAGTCGGATTTCCTCCGTCGCTCGAGAAAATCAGATGAAAAGTTTCAAGCCCAATCAAAAATCCCCTAAAAATCCAAAAAAATTTACTCACCAACCTAACAGAGAACAAAAATGGAAGGGAAAATTCGAAACCCTAGAAGTAGAATCAGATCGGAATGTGACGTCACTGACCTGGCCAGAAGCCAAAACGACGGGATCCCGCATGAGGTCGTTGGAGAGAGGACAACGAAACTCCTCAGGACAAGAGACGGTCTCGAGCATCTCCAGAGAAGAAGATTTGGCCATCTTCCTCATGGTCGCCTGTTTAAACGCAGACAGAGCCTCCTGCAACTGATCGATTGTCTGAACGCCAAAATCATCATCTTCCTCGATGTTCCTCAGCAGTTTCTTCATCTCACGCTTCAGTTCCTTGGCCTTTGCAATCGCCGTCGGATCCGAATCGAAAACACTAGTCTTTGCCATCTCCGTCGGATCCACCGCCGATACTCACCAAACCCTTGTCGGATTATGCTGCTGCCGATTTTTTTGAATTAATTTCTCTCATTAATTTGTTTTTTTTTTCTAAGAAATTCCTTCTCTCTTGAGTGAAAGAGAGAGAGAGAGAGGAGTAATAATAAATATGAGGAGGAGAAGAGAAGTGTTGTTGTAGTGTAGTGCCTCCCTCTATAATAAAATTGTGGCCTGCACCGAATTAGCCACGTCATTCATTGTAACATTTCACAATTAGTAGTTATTTTAAAAATTACAAAGGTTTTTTAATAATGCAGCACGTATGACCTACTTCGCGACTAAGGTGTCAAACTACAGCCGACACGAATAGTGTCTCATAAACTTATATGCATACACGTTATTGCTCATTTTCCTAGTTATAATTAAACTGCGTTATTCCATCATTTTTTAACCCCTCCTCCAATAAAAAAAATATCAAACCACGTTGTTTATATATAATGTAGAGATCATGAATCAAAAATGAAGACAAATAATTAGAAGTTATTTGAAGAGCTACCTATTCTTATTTCTTACTAATACAGTATTTAAAATGATAATTTTTTTGTGATTATATCATAGCAAAAGGGTATTTTTTTTTTGTTGACGGCAGAAAGGTTATAACTTAAGTATCCGGTCTGGTTATAACTTAAGTATCCGGTCTTAGAGTAATTACCATGAATTGGTTTCTACACCGCTATTTATTAAAATAAAAATGTTAGTAATTCTAATTTTCCAATTCCAGTCATTCAACAACTTGATTGTCAACTTTATATTGCTATATTTATTGGTTTGATCATTAGTTATTTCATCCTTAATTATTTGTGAAACCTAAATTTTGGACATAAGAACACATAACTTTCGTTATCAGTTTTAATAGTTAAAAATAAATCATAAGACACTTGAAAAATGGAAATAAAATCTTTTTTAAAAAAAAGGAATAACCATTCTAGAAGAAGGAAAAAAATAGAATGGAAAGACAGTAAAGGCGGCAAAAAAAAAAGATTGGATGAGAAGAATTTGGCATTTTGGGAGAGGAGTGTGAGTGGGACCCATAGAGTTATTCCAACATGGCAACATGGGAACAGCTGTCTTTCCGCGTGGATTCTTTTCTACTGCTCCTCTCTTTCTTCCCTCACTCTATCTCTCTCACACACTTCAGATTCTTCTTTTGACCTTTTTACCCCTGCCGTTTTTCCCACTCTCTTTCTTCTTTTTCCTTTTCTTTATTTTTGTTCATAGATTTGAAAATAGAAAAGAAACAAGTTTTATTATAGCTTTCGACGCGTGATTGGATGAATTAAGTAAAAACGTTGACCAGGAAGCTTATTAGCTTCTATTTCAAGATTCACTTTCAACTTTTTGTAACATACTTCTATCGGCACCATCGGAAAACAACCTTTTCCACCAAGATATGAAACTGTACAAGTTTTTCCAAATTCTACCAAATGTTTTTTACACCAAGTTATTGGCCACGTGATTTACGCAGCGTAGGGTTTTTCTGCAATTATTAGTATTTGTTAGGACTTTTAATTTTTTAGAACTTTACGCTGGAATTCATCAGAAATCTTTACTCCACTAATTAGGATACTTATTATGGACTACACTTAAACATTATTGTCATTTTGCTGGTTCTAGTATATAATAATCGGTTTAGTAAAGCAATTCAGTATAGTACTCGGTTTTAGCTAACCCAATCAACAACCAAACATAAGAAGGTGGGTGATTGACGTCCATGCAAATTATCCGGGTAAGAATAATAGTGAAGTGTTACTGGAATTAGAAACGTGTATGACTACACATTATTACGTAGGGACCACTCCTCAGCAGAACACAGAGAGAATCTTACAAGTGCCAAGCTGGACTGCTGGACAAAGATCACCACTTAGCCCACGTGTCGATTTCCGATGCACTCATCACCTTCGTACTGTCTTTTTTTTCCCCTGCTTGCGAGACACCTTTGCTTTCTGACATTATAATTTTTGTTTTTATATGTGTGATACCTACACTCTTTATCTCTATAACAATGAACATGTAATTTCCAAAATGCTCGGTAACAAAGTAATTGTGTTAATTTCTGTACCCAATTTGTAGAATTATCGATTCTATACAATGCAATTAGTTTTGTATAATTTTTGTTGTGTAGATCTGCAGATGAGATTTTATGCAGTCGAAACTCTGGACACTTATAATTGTTGACATAATGGCATGTAAGTTGTGATGAACTGAACAGGCGTTACAGACAAAAAGAGAAGTAATGTTGCAAAATATTAGAAAAAGAAACGTACTGTACAGTTGGATAATATTTACACTTTTGGATATTTATTATGTTTGTTTTTCCTTGGCAATATATATATATTTTTCATTTTTTATATTTGTTTTTCTATATGTTCTCAGATTTTTTTTTTAATCGTCTCAGATTTCGATAGCTCCTCTCCAATTTTGTTTGTCGGCGGAATGTTGTACTTAAAGAGTTCAGAAAGAGTAAGGAATTCAAAATGATTGAAGATACAAGTGGAAACGGACATGTCGATTTTTTTTTCTTCTGAATTATCAAGATTTAAAGTTTGATATAGATACTAAGTGTTGAATGCACGTCGAAATTAATGAGCATTCATAAGTTATAGGAGTATATTAAGAGGCCTTAAACACTCACGACTCAGAGATTGTAACAAAGCTACTGTATTCAGTTATCGTAAGTCCATATGTACTTGCAAACTCAAAGATCTTTTGAATTGTATTATGTCAGATTCGTATTTGTCAATTTTTTTTTCTCTTCGCTATACAAGAATTAAAAAAGCATACATTGATACAGAAGATCATTAATGGGATTTGGACGTACTTGGAAGCCAATTAAAGTGTTGTAAGATAGAAGACAAGACCAATAATTCAAAGAAATATATAATTATCATATTATTATGTTATGTGGAACATACATAAAGACGGCCCATCTGATGCATATATATGTTTATATTTGTCAAGAATCCATTTTTTGTTTGTCATTTTCTTCTTACAAACAACCTAATACTCCAAATAAAATAATCTTTATGTTATCACTTCATTCATTACGATGCTTTTCCAAATAAAATTGAAGTTTTTAAACTGAAACAGAAGGAGTATATATTTATGCTACTAAAACAAATATATTTTACACCTGATTTTACTGATAGATGGAAGTTCCTCATATTATTTTCCATTTACAATGAGAACGCAAAATAACGAAAACATTAATAAATATTGAATTGGTAACAACACGTTGAATTGAGAACATAAACTGTGATCACAAGTATTGAAAACATAAATTGACAAAATTTTCACACGTTTAACATAAGTTTCGCATCAATTTCATATTTTGTTCAAGCTTGAGAACATCAATTGACAAAAATATGAAATTAATGCTTAGTGGTTTCAAGACTGTGTCTTGGATATTATACATGTATTATCAAAATGCTAGCTCTGTAGGGTAAGAATAATCCACATTCAAATGTTTTATGATCCAAAATCTGTTCTAACCCCTGTAAGAAAAATATATGCATCTATTCATAAATGGAAGTGGAGCGAAGAGATGATAGGAGTTTATAGGAGTTTGCATTCTCGGTCTCTACTCCTTTTATGAATGAAAATGTAACAGGCCGAAGAGATGATAGGAGTTTAGTGTAGGCCTTAATGAAAAGGAAATAAAGTAAAGCCTAACAAATCCAATGATTACAAAAAAAAACGACATTCGTATAGTTTAGGTGATCAAGAAGCCTTGAATAGGATACAAACTTGGCCTTTAGGCCCATTTGGTAGTTGAAGAAAACCCTTTAGCCTATAACTAGAGGATCCCATACTATGTTTATTGAACCCACATGACTCCTCCAAGTGAATGGAAGACAAATTAAAAGCCCCAAGACTGAGTGCTCAGATATTCAGATATGATCCACAGCTATTATTCCCTACCTAAATAAATTATTCTTACATTCTCATGTAGATGGTAAATTAAGAATAATTTCACAGTTAAAAGAATTATGGAATTCGTGAATTATGTATAGTGTTAAGACAAAGTTATTTAAAACATCGAAGGGTTTAACAGCGTTCAAAGTCCACAACAACTAATAGATCTGTGGGCAACTGTAGGTATGGGCTGCGGGCATAACCTGCCAATTGTAACTACTAATTAAATTATTTATGGCAACAGGCACCCTTGGTTCGTGGAGTATATGGCGGTCAACATTTATAGAAAGAAAGAAGATCTGAAAAGATAGAGAAAAAAAAAGAGAGTACGTATGTGCATGATTTTGTTGAGATTGTCTGTTTTCTTATACAATGATAAAACTTGGGTCACGACTTCCTTTGGATTTAAATCCAATTATTATTTTTTAGTTTTTTCCATCTTTTTAAATAAAAAGTTTAAATATATGTATAATCGGGGTTGTGTGGCTTGTATATAAGTCTCGAGTGCAAATATAGGCTTTAAATGGGAAGTAGAATAAATGAGAATAATTGCAGTTAAACTGTATTTAAAATTATTTGCATTCACCATTTAATGATTTTATGCTGAACAAAAAATATTGATATAAATTGGAAGATTTGCATGAAGATATTTATTAGTCTAAAAATCAAAGAAAAATAATACTCTCACAACTGCTTTAAAATACGATTGGTCCATCCAGTTCTGAATCCAATTCTAATTTATTTTTTTTAATAATATTTTTTAATCTACATAAATTGATCTGCATTGCAACCATTCAAAGTCATAGGCTTTTAATGGGATGCAGAATAAATGCAGAATCATTGCAGTTAAACTGTATTTAAAATGATCTGTAATTATTTTTACCATTTATAGGCTTTGAATGAGATTCAGAATAAATGCAGAATAATTGCAGTTAAACTGTATTTAAAATGATCTGTAATTTTTTATTATTCATAGATTTTATGCAGAACAAAAAAAATTAATATAAAAATAAAAATCTGCATGCAGATATTTACTTGCCTAAAAACCAAAGAAACAAATTTCTTCCAGAACCGCTCTAAAATATGAGCAGTCCACCCAGTTCTATATCCAGTTCTAATGTATTTTTTTAATAATATTTTTTAATTTGTATAAATTAATCTGCATTGCTACCATTCAAAGCCATAGATTTTATGCAGAACAAAAAAAATTAATATAAAATTAGAAAATCTGTATGCAGATATTTACTTGCCTAAAAACCAAAGAAAAAAATTTCTTCCAGAACTGTTCTAAAATATAAGCAATCCACCCAAATATAAGCAGACCACCCAGTTTTGCATCCAATTCTAATTTATTTTTTTAATAATATTTTTTTAATCTGAATAAATTAATCTGCATTTACTACCATTAATATATACATCACTCTTTCGCTTGTTTCCAAGGAGAATAATTATAGAGAATTATAAAAAAATAATACGAAATAACTTGGAAAAACAATTTTATATTAAACAAAAAACAACCTGGAAAAATAATAAGCGAAGAGACAGACAATTGAAAAATAAAAACGTAGAGAGGTGAGAGACCCCACACTTGACTGCCCCCTTCCCTCATTTGGCCACTTGAAATTCTCTCCTTCCCCAAAGGCCAATTTCTTTTATATTCATTTTTTCCTTCATTCGTCTTTTCCTTTTTTTTGGTAACACACATAGCCTAAAGTATTTTGCTGTTTAAGTCTTTTTTAGGTCTTTTTTTTAACTTCTATTTTTTTTTAGGTCTTAAAGAGGTAAAATAACCGAGAATGTATATACAGTCAATTTAAAAAAAAAAAAAAAAAGGCCAAGGGTGTATTTACCTAATTGATTCAGGCTAATAAATATCAAAACTAGAGCACATATTTTAGATCAAAATGTTTCTATATGTGTGGTTGGACATTTTTTGTGATGATGTTTATCTAATTTTTGCAAAAAGTTGTTAATATATATGGTTCTAAAATTAGTTTATGGTTCTAAAATTAGTTTATAACTATAGGTTGTTTTTTCGTCATATTTGTTCGGGTGGTAAAATTAGATAAGAAAATTCAAAATAACCGTCATATAGTGCGTGTGATTTCTCATCGTAGCCTTATTCTCTCTGCCACCATAATATGATTCTCATTTTCTCTATACGATGTTAAATATTGGTGGACAGGCGTTAAACAACCAACAAAAATTCAGAATCAGAAAAAAATAAAAATTAGTTAATTCATAAGGCATTCACATTTTTTGTCGTTGACACTTCGTCATATATGGGAATAATTAATTGATTGATATATACTCCAAGATCAACAGAAGATTTTCACGCTCTGTATTTGTTCTTTACATTTTCTTTCTCATTTCACCATTGGAGATATACAAACATATTTAAAAAAAAAATCTTCGTCATTTAACAAATTAATTTCAAACTTACATATTATTGTTTGTTTTAACGAAAACTAGATGATATTTGTTAAAGTGCTGAAGTTTTATCTACTAGTAGTTGGAGTATTAAAATAGTTCTCAACGTTTGAAAATTTGACTAGCTAGACCAATAAACAATTAATTATCATTGAGTAGATGAGATCAATTCCGACCAACTATATGGAATGACTCTCGTTCGGCTCATGAATGATCTTGGAGACCTGCTTCTGAGATCTTTCTCGGGAAGTATACGAATCGATTTGCAGCATCACATGATTAATTAATGCATAAGTGGACCATCGTAATTGAATCATTAGTTAAATACACCAATGTTTAATTTTCTTACTAATGATGGTCCGATGGATATAAATCGTAGTAATATATAATTTAAAGACAGAAGAGAAGGGTCAGGAGATCAGTTGTGGATAACAAAATCTGGTCTGAAAAAGAAAAACCGAATATTCGCATATAACAAAAGAATAAAAACAATTGATAAACCTTATCTTATTCCACGTGCTACAAATTTTATATCTATTGTGGCTTTTATCAGGTGCGGTCGATACTACACGACAAACCCATGCGACTAGACCTCGACGTGACTTCTCACGCCAAGTCACATCCAGTGTACGCGAGAACTACGTACCTTACGTGTTACGCCACGTCGACACATAATCGATTTAATATGTTATCCTCTACATCAATCTTCACGTCCATATTTGATCTGTCTTTTTAACTATTCAACCTTTGGATCTGACTCTTAAACGATATCCGACGACTATCAATTAAAACCTTATCTGCGTATATGTCGCATTCGATTATGCCTCGTCGCAACATTTGTGATTTCTTGACGATGTTCATTTTCCGCGTATAATTTTTTTTGCTTCGTAATATCTGTTTTTTTTTTTTGTTTCTCTGTTTTGTCTTTTATATATTTTTTGTTTTTTTTAATAACTCCATACGAGAATTTCTAAATAATGAATTATTATTCTCTAGGAAAATTTCAAGTTAAAAAGCGACACGTGTTTATCCTTTAAAATTTATCGAGTCCGCACAAATAGACGGCCACCGACGGCGTTATCAAAACCGATGGAACGACACATGACGGTGTTAACGGCGGGAGATGACGGCGTTAAATTGACGGAGCGTTTGTAAGGACCAAGCCACCGAGTCTGCATATAACGGTTTTTTCTCCACGGCGGAAGCGTGAGATCACGACTCTTAAGCGACATCCTCGCCGCGTCGCACACGAGCCGCAGGATCCTTTTCAGATCTTCCCCTCGCCCGACGAAAATCGCCGGAAGCGACTGAAGCACACGCGCGTACTGTGCCGTCGGTCTTGCGATCTTGAAATGCGACGCGAAATCAAAATCGACGATGTAACGGACGGTCTGAGATGACGTGGCGGCGGCGGGTGAGTGCACGACGTCGATAAATTCGTGGTTACCGGCGGTAAGACCGCCGGAGGATTTCCACTTGGTTTTGCAGATGGCCGCATTGTGTCCGAGCTCTCTAAGAAGAGACATGAGCTTACGTCGCAAAACGGCACGATGTTCGTGATCAGATCCCGGAGACGACAGCATTTCCATCGCTCTCGCCACGTGGAGCAACACCGTTCTTCCGTAGGAATCTTCCCTGAGAGAGTTCCTCAGATGTTTCGCTATATCGTCGGCGAAATCAGGGAGCTCGACTCGTTCCGAGTCAGAATCTGAGTCGGATCCCGAGTCGTGATCGCACCAGCGTGGCTCGTCTTTAACAGTCTCAACTTCGTCTTCCAAGAAGCCCTGGACCAGATCAGAAAGACATGGGGAATCATCGTCGTCGTCTTCGATTCCGTATCCGGTATGCTCGCTGCCGCTGCTGAAACTGCATCCGACGAGACGGGCCCTAACCTCGTCGGCGAGTGGATCGGTGACACGTTTTGCTCTCGAAAAACCCATTACTTTCTCACTATTTTAATTATTCGCTAGCTAAACCTTCGAATGTGTAAAGAACCTTAAGGTTGGTTTGTAGAAGAGAGAGAGGAGAAGGAGGAGACGGGTTTTTATAAAAGGAGAGAACTTTCTTTTTGAGAACGAAAAATGCGTGAAGAGAGAGATGAGTTGGGGCTCCGAATATTCGAAGAGAAGCGAAAGTTAATTTATATTAATCAAAAGAATACTTAGTATTAAAAATAAGAATCAAATGTAAGTAATTATTATAATTAAGGAGACACCTAGTAATGGTGGGATAAAGCAGAACCGGAAGGATATACCACTTCTTGGTAAGTAAGCATGACGACTTTTGGCCCGATGGGTTAGGCAGAGAATGGCATATCCCAATGGGCAACGGGTCTTCGGGGTTTATTCGCTTCCTCGCTTTTACAGTTTTCCCGCTTTGATTATTATTATTCTTTTGTTCAACAGCTTCTTTGATTAAATTTATATATATATATATATATATATATCCTACCGACATATAATATTAAATTCCCCTATTGAAATTTCACCTAAATATAAGTGAGGCTAATAACAGCTTATTTTGTCTCTTCGATTAGTAGCTACGCTTCTAGCGGTGTAGTTACAAGTTTTTTGCGGTTATAGGAAAACTTGTAACCGCAAAAGTAATATGTTATATGAATAGGTATATATGTTAAAATCAACAAATGAGAGTATTATACGATAATGCATTAGGTCATTTCATGTCGAACATTACATACGATATCAAAAGTGTTTAAGAACGGCATCGATATTTTCTTCGTGTTTATTGAAAAGAATGGTTCCTTCGTTGATGCTGTCACAAGATATTCTTCATGGATTCAACATTCACGTGTCATGGTCTGTATACGAACGAACTACCTCCAACAAAAATTAGATGATATTTATTATCTTACAAACTTTAATTAGAATTGTTTTTGAGACAAAATAAGTAAAAAAATAAAGAGTACTAATAACACATATATACTACGTTAAAAACACATTACCAAATTAAAGTCTTACATAAATCATCACGGGTTGATCTAGTTTAATGATATTTTATTATTCTTGATGTAATATAGTATAAGATATAAAAAATCTTACCAACATTATTAAAAGTAGTTTAGAAAAAACATGAGACTAATTAAGAGCCGTCAAAAAAAAGAACACAAAACTACGAAATAATAAAAGAAATTAAACATATTGAAATGTATATTTGGATAAGGTATACTTTTTATTAATAGAAACAAACTTCATGATCCATGCTACGCCTGATACGAATTTGACCCCTAAAAAAATCAATCACCTTCCGGTTTGATTGTAAAATAAATGCATAGATGTTACTTCAGGTTAAAAAAAAGGTCACGCGACAATTAACTAGCATGATGTAGTTTAGTTGTTGAAAAAATTGCTCTATTAATTTCAAAAAACAAATTCTATATTTTTTTGTTTGGTCGAACAACACTAACATCTTAAATGGTTACGCAAAAAAAAAATAGATTAATTTAGGTCTCAATAAAAGTTCACTCTTCGACAAAAAAAAAAAGTTCACTCAAGACAATAAAAGATTGAAATTGAATTACAGGACAGAAGTGATAAGAAAATATTATCAGTTAAAAATAAAAAGAGGTTGGATGATAGGAAAAAAGGATAATCCAGAGAAAATAGAAGATTGAAAATTGAATTATACAGGAAAAGTGGACACGTGACAGAGAGGAAAAAAAAAAAGGACAAATGGGAATATGAATGTGGTGGGGGCCATATAGGTATAGAGATAGATGATTGCGAAAGGAAAGCGTAGGGCCAAAGAACCAACCAAAAGAGCCTTTCACCTTTGTCTCCCTATCCTGTTTTCTCTCTTCATTTAATCCATCTATTTGCCTCTTCATGAAAGGGAAAGGTGTACCACAATTCCACGAGCGTCTTCGTAACTTTTCTTTAATTATTTTATTAATCTCAAATGTTCATGCTGCCAATTAAGCATGATAAATTGCCTGAAGAAAATTATGGTTGAAACGGAGAACAAGTCAATATTTAAAGACTCGAGCCGTCTTTACTAGTGCTTGAACGTAATATGTGTAAAATATATACTTTACAGTCTCCACGGTATTAGGAACGCAAGGCAAGTAAGAGCTTCGCTATAAAATAAAGGCATTGCGGACACGACTAAGCATGCATAATTGAGCACGGAAATAATCCGACTCACTTTAAATGATTTTGGACCGATCTATATTTTAACACCGTGAATAATGTTTTGGATTCTTGACATAGTTGTATTCCTATGTTCGATTCAAAGTGCCAAACACCGATAATTTTATCAGTTAAAAAGAGATACAAGCGAAAAAAAAAAAGTTAACAGAAAAATTTGCCCAAAATACGTAGCATTTTGCCAAAGAAAAAATAACAAAAAGTTTATGTTCAAAAATCATTAATTTAAAGTCCATCCGCTTAAGCATTTCCATGTTTGAGCTGCTTCAAACTTTGTTTGTGCATGTCTGCATGTGGATGATTTGGTGGATTTGGGAGGAGTGAAGAGTTCTCCAGATGAGGTAACACTATACCTTTCCAAGTAATCTATATAGTGTTTTACTCGCTGCAGATTAAATTAACGAACATTTTTATCTATTTTGCTCGACGGTTGATGTTAAATGTGTGAAACAGAACAACGCCGAAACAACGCCGGAACAGCTTTTATTTAATTTACTTGAAGAAAAAGTTGGTATTTGGGAGGAGTGAAGAGTTCTCTAGATGAGGTAACGAACAAGTGGTAAATTCCAATACTCTTTTGTAAGAACAAGAACGTGACAAGTGGGGGGTTTATTTTTTGTTGGTGTCTGTTTATGCTCGTTGTCCCATGCAGGTTCCATATATATAAAAAACAAACGACCTATAATTCCATTTATCTGTGTACTACTGAATTCTTCTTTGAGCGCGAAGAGTCAAGGGATTGATAGTTCCTCAGAAGTCGTCTTTTTGCTAATTTTTAATGAATCGTGCAAATTCTGCTAGTTTTGGTATAAAGTATTAGGGGACATGCAAGGAAAAAAAGAAAAAACTCTACTAAATCCTGTTGTCTTTATTAATGTACTGAAGAACAAAAAAAATTGCAAAATGGTTCCTAATTTTTCAAAACATAAGCAAAATAGTTCTTAATAATGGATGGACAGTTCTACAGGAAACAAATATAAGCTTTAGATTAATTGCAAACTTTGGACAAACTCAAAATGAGCTCTTCTTTTCATTACAACAAATCAGACAATTAATGTCTCTTATATCTCTTTTATGTTAATTGTAACCTGGAGCAAAGGAGGAGCCAGTCTGAAACTGAGTTACAAAACGTGTGAAAAATTCAGATTTCATGTTTTCCCCCCTTTTGCAAAATAAGGAAAAATGTATAATTCAACGACAAAAAAAACTCATATAACACATAAGAAAACGCTGGCCAATCTTCTTGATTTTCTAACACCTTCCAACAGTTCTGCACAGTCTGTTTAAAACATCACAGAATACATCCAATTCGAAGACATCTTCCAACCCTAAACCCTAGGAATCGAATATTGTTATTATCGTAAAGGACCCAATGACCCATCCATTAATTATTATTGTCGTAAACGAATGATCCATTAATTATCTCTTACATTAAGTATAATTGTCGTAACGAGTGATATATATAATTTTGACGATTAAATATTAAAGATTCGACCCAAGTATTTTCAGTACATTTATTTGTGATAATTTATGAACTTTGGCGGAAACCCATATAAATTCCCAGCTTTGGATCATTATTAGTGGGCTTACTAGTTGAAGGCCCATATGAGTTAAAATCAATTAAGAGGCTTCTATTGATGCGCTCCCTTGGTTTACGATGTGGGACTAGTAATAAGCAAAACGAATTTTCATCATGCATGACGTACACAACTATTCTAGATCTGTGATCTAGTCTGAGATGCGAATATATTGTTTGAACGCAGCTGTATGGAAGGAAACCATAATCTATATATGTTTTTTCCCCATCTTTTCTTATGTGATGTAATTTATTCTTTCCTTGACGTAAAACTTGATGTTATATTCTTAAAACACCACGAACCAAACACGTATATAATATGAAATATGTTTGAAGCCAAGTTCGATTTAGTTCAGTCAATCTAAAACCTTTTTTCAAGTTGCAGAATGCTGTAAAATTCATGTGTAACACAAGCAAACATGTAATAGTTTACATGATACTTGATAAGTAGCCCTGAAGCAAAAGTTACATACGCCAAGGAAAAACTCAAAGGAAGTGAATGATGCGGTGCATTAGAAGCATAGAATAGCAAATCTTTCTCATCGATCAAACCTTGTTAGGACTGCCAGTGGCTGGATTTGCAACCTTATTTGTATAAAAAAAATGATCAAAGTTTATAAAAGACTTTCATTTTGTTAGAAAGAACAAAACCATATATATATCCAATTATTCAGCTATCAGTTGCCTGAAGAAACGCAATCGCCTTGTTCAAACTGCCTTCTTGAACAAGTTATAGGATTAGTGAAATTCTATTTCATTGTCTCTTTCGTTTATTACATCACAAGCTTTTCGAGCATCAACGAAATATATTTCAACAGTTTGACATACAAATCAACAAAAGAGCCGGCGTTGGTTAAGGAATTTCTACAAAGGAAACACATTCGTCAAAATTATAGTTTCGTTAGACACAATTTAGATTGTTTTGTCGGCTATCACTAGTATCAGATTTGTCTTACCCTTTAACAGAAAACTTAAGTTTGTTTCGTCAAATCTAGCGATTAATATCGTTTAACGTCGAAGGCACAGCAAACGTCTTCTCTTAACCACTTCCACCGTTACGGTCCGACACAAGAAATTATTATTGACTTTAACTTTAAAATTTTTATCAAAAGATCAGAAACTCATTAAATGTTACAATTTATTAATATGATTAATTGATTAATAAACAGCTATATAAACCCTTCATTACAGCATTAATGAGTTCCTCTTTTCCTCTGTTCTTCACTTTCATAAAATTGCAAACTTTATCCTCTGTTTGATGAGTCTCTGATCTGTGTTTATTGAATCACGCTTAATTTAGGACCTTTTACCTGAAGTAAGATCTGTACATTTGATTTTTTTTTTCTTTGGTCCCTCCCCTAGAATTGAGCTCGATGGAGAACAATCTGTTCATGAATGGAGGAATTTCGTATCCGTCGGAGATGACGTCACTGTCTTCTTCTTCTTCGGCGATGCTTAATTGGGCTTCAATGGCGACTCAGCCAGTGGAGCCGAGTCTCAGTAGCATTCTTTCGCGGGATTGCTTTTTCTGGGAAAAGTCAACGGAGCAGAGCATCTTCGACTCGGCTCTGAGCTCACTCGTCTCTTCGCCAACGCCGTCAAATTCCAACTTTTCCGGCGGAGGCGGAGGCAATTTCGTCATTAGCGAGCTCATCGGCAAATTGGGTAACATCGGCGAGATCTACGGAACGCCGGCGGGCAACGGAAATAACTCCGGCTCGTGTTACGCAGCTCCAATGAGCTCTCCACCGCCGAGAACGAGAACGCCGACACCATTGGCGGTATTTCCCGGTGATCCGGGATTCGCAGAGAGAGCGGCGAAGTTCTCGTGTTTCGGCAGCCGGAGTTTTAACGGCAGGACCAACTCGCCCTTTCCGATTCATAACGGAACCGTGGCTGCAACCAACGGGAATCTGCCACGTGTCGCGAGCACCCCAGCTCTCAAGCCACTCACGTCGAAGATTCCCGCCGGCGAATCGTCCGGTGAGTTTTCCCGGAAAAGAAAAGCAAAATCCAAGGAGAATACTCCTTCCACAGCTTCACCATCTTCCAATTTATCCAAGGTTTCGTAATTTCTAAGATTTTTTTTTTTTTTAGCTGTTGATCAATATTTGAATATTTTTGTATCAAAATAAAAAAAGTGATTTCTCGTTTTATATTCTCAGGAGGTTAAAGAGAGGGACGATTCGGATACGAAGAGAAGTAGAAAATCAGAAGAAAAAAATGAAGAGAAAACGAAATCACTTGATCCTTATAAAGATTTCATCCATGTCAGAGCTCGACGAGGCCAAGCCACCGATAGTCACAGTCTCGCCGAACGAGTATGTCAATTTTTATTTTCTTACCTTTTTTCCCTATAATCATTCTTAAGTTCTGTTTTTAAGTTTAAATTATCTCCTGATTATCTGGATTAATCATTTTATATATGGGTTTGAGGAATTTTATATGTTGTTATTTTGATTTTAAAAGGTTCGAAGGGAGAAGATAAGCGAAAGAATGAAGCTGCTTCAAGATCTTGTCCCTGGATGCAACAAGGTGTAACCGATTTTGATGTTTTGTTTATTTTGATTAATCACTAATTAAATAATTCCTTTTCTTTTTGTTAAGTTGAACTTGTAATGTAGTTGTGATTAGAATATTTAATTTTTGGAAAAAGGTTACTGGGAAAGCACTGATGTTGGATGAAATTATAAACTATGTCCAATCATTACAACGACAAGTTGAGGTAATTCCATTATATTATTGGTCCACTTCCATTATTTCATAATCACTTTTCTTTAATCACTACACAATTTCGAATTGTTTCTTAATTTTTTTATTTTCATTGTTAATGGCAGTTCTTGTCAATGAAGTTATCGTCAGTGAACACCAGGCTGGACTTTAACATGGAAGCTCTCGTGTCGAAGGATGTAAGTCACCGTCACACCAATTAAAATAAAAATACAATTGTAATTATAATTGACAATTATTATAACAAAAAATAATTACTTTGTGAACCAATCGTGTGTTTTTTTAAAAACTAATTTCTCTTATTTTCTGACAGATATTTCCGTCAAGCAACATTCTAATGCAGCATCACCAGCAAGTACTTCAATTAGATTCTTCATCAGAAACCTTATTGGCTGATCATCATAATCAAACTTTACAATTGAGCCCTACAATATCTTCCAATAACATAATCGACCCTTTGGGGGCTTCTGAAACTAGAAGCTTCATCTCTCAATTACCAACAGTTACCCATTTCACTGAATCTATTTCTCAGGTCTTTACTTATTTTATCTCTTTTTATTCTTTTTGAAAAGAAAGAAGTATGAACCCTCATATTTCCATTCAAACAATCTTAATCTTAATCCTATTTGGTTTTGTTTTCAGTATTCAACATTCTCTGAAGATGATTTACATAGCGTTATTCATAAGGGTTTTGCGCAAAAACCAGATCCGTGAATCCAACCAAGTTCATTCACATAATTTTCAAGGTATGGAAAGTTAACCAATTTATTCTTTCCGTTTCATTTTATATAAAACCCTATACTAATTTGAAATGTGAAATTTGTACCATGCAGGTCCATCAAACCAAGTACCATCACACATGAAAGCTGAACTTTGATCAACCATATATTATTTGCATTTTTACAAAAATATTGGAGCTTCAATTAAAGGTCTCAAGGATAGAAAATAAGAAAAGGATTGATGGGTGTACATAACAAGAAGCTTGATTTGGACCACACCATTTGCAAATTTCGTTTCTATAATCATCTTCATATACATGTCAAATAACAGTTTCTTTTTACTATTTTTTTTGTTGTGCCCTTGTTTTAGTTCTATGTTCCGATTCATTTGTGGGCGATTAATTGTATTGTCTTCCGGTATTATTATCGGCTTCTTTATGCTTTTTTCTAGTTTGGATTCCATATCATTGTAAGTTTTAACCCCAATATAGAATACCACAGCTATAATTTGATATATAAATATCGACCATAACTAATCTCTTTGTTTTTATTTATTATAATATATGGTTCAATGGTCTTAGATCTTATCAAAAAATTTGGTATTTCGAATTTTACAAATCTATTATTGTGTTACTCAAATTAAATTAGACAGCAATATTTTCAGGAATATATGTTCTATGGTTATCCTAAAACAACAACGTATTGCTATTTATTTTGGTAGGAATGTAAATTTTCATTAGTATTTGTGGTAAATTATACGTGACATATATATTAATTATTAACCAAACGAGTTGCATAGCGTGACATCCGTAGTTGTGCTAAATTATATGCGTCTTTCCTCAAATGTATTAATGATTTATTTCCAACGTATAGCATGTACTATAGGTAGCTTATTCATGACTAATGAAGCAACATCAAATCTAAGCTAAGCTTGATTTTTTATATTTGACTCAAACTCGTCGACAACGTCAAACTCAATGTTAGATCACGTTATTTAAAATTTTGATTAGATCGTTGCTAGTGTTAACCAGCTGTGTAAGGTGTTCTGTCACTTTCTCCATTGTGTGTTGTGGCAAGTTCTTCAAAAGAAAAGACACATTAAAAAGTCTAATCTGAGTAGTTATGAGCTAAACATCAAAATTTTGAAATATTAGGATTTTTATATAATGGGATCACGCCTTGATTTCTGGAAACTATATGGATCCAATTGAAATTTCAAAGCGTCTCTTTCTATTCACCTACTATAGAAAAACGAATCGGCAACATCCAAGCAAAAATGTCTAATCAATAACCAAGTCTCCCAAATCTGATGATATCTCTTCGAGTTCGAATAATCATAAGATATTATAACACGCTAACCGGTTATTCGACTACTTCCAGAGGTGAACAAATCACATATAACATCATGATATTACAAATTATTAATTTGGTTAACTGCTCCATAATAAGCTCCTACTGAATGTTGCGTTTAAGTATTATCTTGGAAAATATTCGATAGAATGGGCCATAACTAGTCTTGCGGAAGACCAATCTTGAGAACCTTAGATGTATTGTGGGCTAGTACTAAAACTGATTAGAATGCTGATGTTTTTTAGTGGGTTATATTTGGGGTGCTCCACTCTTCGGCCCAAATAAATACATTCACACGACATTTTGGATCTCTCAAAAGATTTATTTTTCCCTCTCTTTTAGATATTTTACTCTTTTTTTTTTTGTCACAGTACATTCTCTCTTTTAGATGTTACGGCCGCATGGTTACTTAAATTTTACACTATTATTATAGAGTACTTAATTTCCCTAAAATATATATATATATATATATAGTACTAAAATGTTTCTTCGAGACCATTCGATAAATATTAAAAATGTAATAAATCGAAACTAATCGTTTTTTTATCGAATTATATTAAATAATTAGTACCGACAAGCGAGAGATCTCAATCTCATCGTGAGTTAGTGGTTGTATACTCGTATTTGTGTGGCATGGCATGACACTATGACAGATAAATATTTATGTATATTTCAGTCAACATTAGTTTTATATTATATTTTTACACAATAAGATACATTCTCTCTGTTTCTTTCAAATTTGGGTATAAATTTGGTAAACTGTCTCTCACATTGGGTTTTAGCCTAATACCTGCTTTGTCACTACCGTTATTAGATAAATTTTATGTATGTCAACCATTGTTAGAGAATTAATGACAACGAAAATGGGTATTAAAATGCGATTAATAAAGTAATAACTACAACATCCTATAAAAATTTCTTTAAATAAAATGTAATGCCCAAGCGATGATTGCATCATCCCTAAACTAATGAGCGCAAGCCAGTCTTTACCGCAATCAGCGGGTGATATAAAGAAATTAGAAAAAAATACACACATCACACATCTCTTCTTGTCAATGGAACCCTCTCTAATACACACACACATGCTTTGCTTCCCTAAACTAAAATTAAATCACTTAATTACCCATTAATTAGATTTGGAGTAATTTATTAAGGAGGATAAAAAAGAAATCGGAGCAGACACTAGACGCAAGACGTCATCTCTTGTTACTAAGTTTAGCCCAATCGTGTTCTCTTCTTCTCTCCCAAATTCTCAGATCTAACCCGATTCCTGATTTCAGCTTCGGAGATTCGCTTTCTTCTCTCGTTGAATGTCTCGCTCCCAGAACGAGGAGTTTCAGCAATGGTGGAACAAGCAGCGAGATAGGAACCACGACGTCCTTTACGCCGGCGACGATGAAGCTTTCCTCACCGTTGAAATCCGAACTCCCGCCGTTGACCCGGATAAGGATCGGATCCGGACCCGAACCGCTCGACAGCTCTCCCGCCTCTACCTCCTCAAGTTCCAGCAACTCGCCTCCTCCTTCGTCTGGATCGCTAACTCCTTCATCTACCTTGTGCGCACCGCCAATCGCCGCATTGCCAACGACAATCCGCCCTCCGTCTCTTCCTCCGCTAGATTGTACCGATTAATCAAGGGATTCCTCTTCCTCGTCATACTCCTCCTCTTTTTCGAGCTCGCCGCCTATTTCAAGGGATGGCACTTCACGCCTCCCTCCGTCGCCTCGGCCGAGGTGGCCCTTGAGGTGGTTTACGCTCGGTGGCTTGAGATCAGGGCGTCTTACCTCGCGCCGCCGCTTCAGAGCTTGACCAACGTATGCATTGTTCTCTTCTTGATTCAATCCGTCGACCGTCTGGTGCTCGTGCTCGGATGCTTCTGGATCAAGCTCCGCCGCATTAAGCCTGTGGCATCTATGGAGTACCCGGCCAAACCCGTCGGAGAGGGGATTAGATTGGAAGATTATCCAATGGTGCTTTTGCAGATTCCAATGTGCAATGAGAAGGAGGTAAGCACATGTATGTAGGTTCCCAATCCTTAGTTGTATCCTGCTCTTCGAAACCGATAAAATGAGCTGAATCAGGAAACAAGCATCTCTAGGCAGGATTTGTTGCTTGTGCGGTTTCACATCTCATTATCTAATATGTTGACTTTGATCTGCCTGCTGATTTCCTGTTTTTGAGTTCTTGGAGTTTCTGTTGTGCTAACTCATCTCGTTGATTTTGGTCGGTGGCACTTGCAGGTTTACCAACAATCTATTGGAGCTGTGTGTATGCTCGACTGGCCAAAGGAGAGAATGCTAATCCAGGTCCTTGATGACTCCAGTGAGCTAGATGTTCAGGTGCTTATAAAGGCTGAAGTACAGAAATGGCAACACAGGGGTGTCCGTATAGTATATAGACACCGTCTCATACGTACTGGTTACAAGGCTGGAAACCTTAAAGCTGCTATGAACTGTGAATACGTCAAAGACTACGAGTTTGTCGCCATATTTGATGCTGATTTCCAGCCACCAGCTGATTTTTTGAAGAAAACTGTGCCTCATTTCAAGGTGACCTACCGCTTATTTATTATCTCATGTTCATTGGAGAAGTTGTGTAACCTGTTTGCCTTATCGATTAAGGCTATCAGTTGATCATTTCAGAATTATAGGGAATGGTTATATTTTAACCTTAGCAATTAATTAGTCTGATTAATCATATTTGGTTAGAAGTTAGCGGTGGCAAAATGTCACATTAGCATAGCGTTTCACATAGTGTGGACAGTTCTGGGTGTGTGGGTCTTTCGCTACAATTAGGATATGTTTGTCTTCATTGCAGGAGCTCTAGGTTGAACATCAAACATTAAAATGGAGAGAATTTGTTTAATCTTCGTGTCAAAATTCAAGTTATCAAATTGTCAGAGCCTCAGATAACCATGACACAGTCACAATTTCCTTCTTGAACTTCGAAGGCTTCTTCTTTAGGAGGACATAAGCTTTAACTTTTTTTCTTGGAGATATGGACTTTTATTCTTTTAACATTTTTGGTTGAAGGTTTGTACCGGACAGTGATACAATATGCTTTCCGTACACTAGCCTTTCTCACATGATAGTTTCTATGTTTCTTCCAGGGGAATGATGATTTAGCCTTGGTGCAAACACGGTGGGCCTTTGTGAACAAAGACGAAAACTTGCTTACAAGACTACAGAACATAAACTTGTCTTTCCACTTTGAAGTCGAACAGCAGGTTAATGGTGTCTTCATTAACTTCTTTGGCTTTAATGGAACTGCCGGTGTTTGGAGAATCAAAGCCCTCGAGGACTGTGGGGGATGGTTGGAGCGAACAACTGTTGAAGACATGGATATCGCCGTTCGTGCGCATCTTTGTGGATGGAAGTTCATCTATCTGAATGATGTCAAGGTACTTGTGTTAACAAAATTGCTCAGAAGTTTCCTTTCATATATTACCAAAAAAGAGATTTTCCTTTTATTCACCAGAATAGATAAAACAGAACTCTTTGATCTCAACCATCTGTTTCCCCCTCATACAGTGTCTTTGTGAACTTCCGGAGTCTTATGAGGCATACAAAAAACAGCAATACCGTTGGCATTCGGGTCCAATGCAACTGTTCCGTTTGTGTTTCATGGACATTCTTCGCTCAAAGGTGAAGTTGAAAACTATGTTTCTCTAGCTTTCCCCTCAGAGTTTATTATGTTCATTAAGTTTTAATAAATAAAGAAATGGCTCAGTCTAATCTTTGTTTTTGCGTATTTTCCCTACTGCAGGTGAGTATTGCCAAGAAAGCAAATATGATATTTCTCTTCTTCTTGCTACGGAAGCTTATCTTGCCATTCTACTCATTCACTCTCTTCTGCGTCATTCTTCCATTAACAATGTTCTTCCCAGAAGCTAACTTACCATCCTGGGTTGTTTGCTACATACCCGGGATCATGTCCATCTTAAACATCATCCCAGCCCCAAGATCCTTCCCTTTCATAGTCCCATATCTCCTGTTTGAAAACACCATGTCGGTTACCAAATTTGGAGCCATGATCTCTGGTTTGTTCAAGTTTGGAAGTTCTTACGAGTGGGTAGTCACCAAAAAGCTGGGGAGGTCCTCTGAGGCTGATCTGGTAGCATATGCAGAGTCAGGTTCTCTGGTCGAGCCCACAAGCATCCAAAGATCATCCTCTGATTCAGGTCTAACCGAGCTTAGCAAACTAGGAGCAGCAAAGAAAGCTGGGAAAACCAAAAGAAACCGTTTGTACAGAACAGAAATTGCACTCGCGTTTATCCTATTGGCAGCCTCAGTGAGAAGCTTGTTGTCTGCGCAAGGGATCCACTTCTACTTCCTCTTGTTCCAAGGACTCACTTTCGTTATTGTTGGTCTAGATTTGATCGGGGAACAGGTCAGTTAGTTTATATAACCCTTTTTCTTGTTTTAAACTACATACAACCTGAAGAACAGAAAAGAACAGAGCCCAAGACCAAGTCAGGAGGACCAAACCAACTCAGTTCTGGATACTCGCAGCTCTTTTCGTTACAGATAGATACATAAAAACAATTCATTTCAAGTTTCTGTCTTGGGAACATGATTTTATTACTCTACTTGGGGTTGGTTTAGATTCTTCCTTCGTTTTTTTTTAACGGATAGTATTAGAGAAATGGCAGAAAGAACCGTCGAAGAGAATTTCAAAGTCTTGACGACCTCTCTTTGTTGTGGTGTTAAGCCAAAACTTGGTCTTTTTGTTGTGCAAAAATTGTTGTTAGGCTGTTCATTTGTTGGATGCTGAGGGGGAAGCAGATTTAGAGATTTGTTGTAATCCCACACTCAATTCTTTTGAGTAATTTGTTGTTGTTTCTTTCTTAAGAATTCATTTACACTTTTTAAATTGAATATTACAGTGTACTTTGCTTCTTTTTTTTTTCAAATTATGTTTCATTTTATACTTTAATTTTGGGCCTAATTTATTTAAAGTTTAAGGACCAGAATTTGTTTGACGACCTCTTATATGAAGGCCCAAATTTATCCAACTTAGTGTTTTGAATAATTCGGGTAATACTAAAAAGTTTTTATTACACAGATTAAAGAGATGTTAAATTACCTCTTGAGGCATAAAAAAAAAACAGTAAAACGAGCAAACATATTTATACACACTCGACACTGCGAATCTAACGCAAGTACATAACACGTGAACAAAAATATCACAAAGAACAGAAGAAACAGAATCAACAGCTAAAAACAGAAAGGTGTTCAAACAAGTTATAATTGCATTAACAAATACATATACGATAGTAGGCATTAATTTCATTTATCCATACCTAGACCAGTAGATTTCCTCCGCCAGAGAAAATATCCAAGAAAGAATCCTCAGAGAACGAAAAAAGGACAAAAAGACAAAAAGAAGAAGAGAAAAACAGATTGTATGAGAGGGATAGAGGGGGACAATTTAATGTCGTTTGGGTTTCTAATATTTTAATTTCCCAGCAAATATAAGGACACAAGTTTTCACTCACATGCACCATTCACGCCTCAGTTTTTTTGATGCTCACAAAATTTGATCTGTATATGTAAGTAAACAATAATAGGTATCAAAATATAGAAAAAAATATATATAGTTAAAAATTAAGAAAGACAAGTTATGCTATGGAAAGTGAGCCAATACAACATGTGGAAGAAAGAAAAAAATAAAATAAATATGTAGAAACAATAGTAAGAAAAAAAAGAAAAAAGAGAATCGATAAACTTTAAGAGCGAAGTGAAGGCAATATAGATTTATGTAACAAATTGTCTACAATATGGCTAAAATGTCACAGATTTTAAAACATCTCTTTAGAAACTTAAATTTACGGAATAGAAGATAATTTTCGACGCATAGTCTGGTACACGTTCCATACCCTATTATTTTTTTAGTAAATTGAGATATTGATTCTGACGCCTAAATGAAACTATCATACCGATTAATTTTGGAATATGCCGGTTGAATATGGATCGGTTTACCAGACGGTCTAGACCTGACATGTACTGCCAATATTTATTATGTTTTTCATTATTGTAATGAACAATGAGATCTAGAGCATAATGTCACGTCACATCATTAAAGCATGAGAACGTTACTTTTTCGTTTTTCTCAACACACTCATTGAACTTTTAGTTCTTTATTATAAGACGACCGTTGAGATTTGTCTAGAATTAAGACACCAATTACCACTGTATTAGTAGTGTCCTGTGTTTAACTACATAACCTATTCATCACATAGATCTCTTTTGAGAGCCCTGGTCGTCACATTGTTAATACTTATTCTAGGAGTCAACATTAATACATTTTTTTAATGAGCAAAGAGGGTTAGGTTAGTGAGAATTTGGTGAGAAAAATGTTTCATTTATATAAGTGATGAGAGTTGTTATGAAGAATTCCCACCCTATACTAGATCCCCATAAAATTAAAATCATCAGCTAGACTGAAAAGAAAAAAAAAAACTAAAATATGATTACTAAAAACAGAACGAGTAAATGTTAGTAGAATGTTAAGAATTGACAGGAAACAGTGTCTATTCAATAAATACTGAAAAACCCAGTTGCGTATACACTTAACATTAATCATTCATTAAGACGAAATTTTAGTAGAATTCATAGTACGACTGAAGTTGAATGACCTAAGAGCATCAGCAACGCAATCACCTCCAATGGAGTACTTAAGCAATAAAATATTATTAACTGGGTTTTAAGAATCTTAATTACAAAATTAAGATAATGCTGCCTCCCATGGAAGAACTCTAATCTGGTTCTTAAAAAAAAAAATCCAGATCCTGAGAGAGTTGGTGGAGGCGAACCCAATCCGACGTGCGATGGCTCAGGTGATAATAATTCAGATCCCGATCCAGTTTATAAAGCGGAGGCGGCGGAGGAAGAATCGGAAGCGAGTCACTCAGCGAGTTAGGCGAGACGAGGACGTCGGGAAGAAAACGGAAACGACAGAAACTCAGTGCCGGCAGCAAGAATAATCCCGAAGGCGGCGCCGGCGAGATCAGATCGATGCAATTCGGTGATTTCATTGGACAAGGTGAAGAAGAGAAATGAGAAAAAATTTTTGTTGATGCAGCTTCTTCTCTCTGTGTCCAATTAACTCATGCCACGTAACCAACAAGAATCGGTGCTTATAGTCCTTATTTAAGTATCGATGCTTGTAATTTAATTTGTTTTTGATTTTTATTTGGGTTTAAGCACCCCTTATTTTTGAGCTAAGCATCTGCGTTGCTGATGCTCTAATGTCATACATCGTGTAAAATACGATAGCAACTAAAAGAGATATCAGTTCTTTTCATGTATACGAGAATTTATTAGTAATACATTGTACACAAATTTTCTAATACATTGGAGTACACTTTAATACTCAAAACCTCAGTCCTTTTTATTTTTATTTTTGAGGAACACGTAACACTACCCATTAAATACCTTAAATATCTCCACACTCTCCCTTCTTACCAAATAAATACTCACTCATATCGTCTCTATTGCTCCAGAGACGAAGTAGAAGAAAAAGAAGAAGATGAAGATGTGTTATCAATTATTCATCATGAGCCTTCTACATCTCCTTGCACTCTCTCTGCTCATCTCTGTTTCAGGTATAACCTCTCTCTCTCTCTCTAGAACAGCCTCCATTGATGGCGGGTCCTTAGAAATGCTAATCCTTTATTTCTCTCTGTCTTTTCCACAGGAGCAAAGTTCTCCGGCCGGCCAGGAATCAACTACGGCCAGCTCGGAAACAACCTCCCGTCTCCGTCCGACTCAGTCAAACTTATCAAATCCCTAAATGCAAAACGCGTCAAGCTCTACGACGCTAACCCAACCATCCTCGCCGCCTTAAACGCCACCGACATCGCCGTCTCCGTCATGGTCCCGAACCAGCTCATCGTCAACATCTCCAAATCCGATTCCCTCTCCGACGACTGGATCCGATCCAACATCCTCCCGTTTTATCCCGACACCAAGATCCGTTACCTCCTCGTCGGCAACGAGATCCTTTCGTCCACCGATTCCGAGCTCAAATCCGCACTCGTTCCCGCAATGCGGAAGATCCAACGGTCCTTAAAGACCCTCGGCGTAAAAAAAGTCAAAGTTGGGACTTCACTCGCCGTCGACGTTCTCCAATCGTCGTTTCCTCCTTCGAGCGGTGAGTTTCGTTCTGATATCTCCGGTTCGGTCATGAAACCGATGCTCCAGTTCTTAAACCGGACCAAATCGTTTCTCTTCGTTGACGTCTACCCGTATTTCGCCTGGGCCCAAGATCCGACCCATGTGGATCTCGGTTACGCGATTTTCGAATCTAGCAACGTCACCGTCACGGATCCGGTCACGAATCTGACCTACCACAACCTCTTCGACCAGATGATTGACTCTTTCGTCTTCGCCATGAAACGCCTCGGGTATCCGGATCTCCGGATCTGGGTCGCCGAAACGGGTTGGCCTAATAACGGAGACTACGACCAAATCGGAGCAAACATCTACAACGCCGCCACTTACAATCGCAACGTCATCAAGAAATTCGCCGCAGAACCGCCCGTGGGTACACCGGCCAGACCCGGAGAAGTCCTCCCGGCGTTTATATTCGCGCTCTACAACGAGAATCAGAAAACGGGTCCGGGCACGGAGCGGCATTTCGGGCTCCTTCATCCGAATGGGACTCAGGTTTATGAGATCGAATTGTCGGGGAAGACGACGGAGTTCAAGGAGTCGTTGCCGGCGCCGGAGAACAACGAGGTGTACAAGGGGAAGATATGGTGCGTGGTGGCTAAAGGAGCAAATTGGACTCAGCTTGGTGATGCTTTATCGTACGCTTGCTCGCAGGGGAATAATACCTGCGACCCGATCAAACCCGGAGGCCCATGTCACAAACCCGATTTGACCATTTTGCACGCCAGCTACGCCTTTAGCTCTTATTGGGCCAGCTTTCGTAAGACCGGTGCGACTTGCTCTTTCAATGGCCTCGCCACTCAAACCATCAAAGATCCAAGTAAGTCAAATTTCCAAAAGCAAAAATCAAACCAATTCATATAATGTTCGGAATTCATTCTGGTTCAGTAATTTCTGGATGTTTATTCTGGAGATGGAATTTGATTTTGAGTTTGCTAAAAAATTGTGTACTCTATTGTCGTTTGATAAGCAGGCTATGGACGCTGCGAGTTTCCGAGCGTGACATTGTGACGACTTACGACTTAAGCAAGTGTCGAGAAGAGAGAGCCATACGAGGAAAGACTGCACGATGTTTACGGCTTTAATTAGTAGACACGCCGCACGTGAAACTGCACGATGTTATGGCTAGATCACTAGAAACGGCACGTGATTACGATTTTGTGTTTTTAATGTGCTTTATATATTTTTTTCCTCCGCGAATATTAAAAACTCATGATTCATAAATACTTTTTCTCTGTGATGTTATTGGTTCTTTATGTGTCTAATAAACTTTTGTGTTCACATAAAAATAAGAACTGTGTTATTTATTTATGATTTGATTTTCCGAAATAATAGTGAGGAATCAATTTTAGTATATTTAACAGCTAGTTCTTGTCCTTTTGGTTGTGGTTTCTCATATACATTTGAAAGATCCTGGTCGTTGATGCGTGCCTTTTATTTTTATTGGCAGTTAGCAAGTTTTCCAAACATTTCCCAAACTTAACCGCTTACTAGTTAGTACTGTATAAAGTGATAAATATTTAACTTTTTAAAAAACTGTAATTACTGAGAATCGGATGCCATGATGATTCTGTACGAGAATATGATACCATATCGCTTTTTTCCACTTTGCATCAAAAAGACCATTTTTCTACAAATGTGAAAGGATTGTATTTTGTACTATGTAATTTATGAATTCACAACTTCATATACAAAACGAGACAAAAAAAAAAAAAACGGGACTAAATATAAACTCGTAGATACAGCTTTTAACAAAGGTGAATAATAAGAATTGATGAAAAAGAAGTAAATAGGAAACGAACAAAATATGAATAAAAAGTTTTTTAAAGAACGAGTTTAATCTTCGTCATCTTCTTTTTTAACCACTCATCAATCAAGTTAAAGGCCCCGATTTTTTTAGGGTATAAATCCAATAGCTAAATTTAGCATTTATAAGCGGAATCAAACATAGGCTGAGTAGTTGACTAGTAGTCGGGCACCTCTTCCATTTCCACGTTTGAATCCAACTTTTCTAGTAATGGGTTTAAAGTTTAAACTATTTGTTGTCAAAAAAAAAAAGAGAGTTTAAACTCGTATAGCAGGTTGTGGACCCAAAGCGACAATGAATGTACTCAGCTATGAGAGTATGACATGAGCTACCTCTTAAGTCTTAACCTAACAATCAATTATAAATAACACGATCCAGATGTCATGGCTCATTCCTCCCACTGAAACTATTTTGTATTACGAGTGTATATTTCCAAAACAGGAAAGTGTTTATCCGAAAGTGGAGTTCAATGTGCTGTGTTTGAAATATGAAAATGTTGTCGGCCAGAAGTTAAATTAAACAAAATTAGCTTAATCCTAAAAATTATTCATTTTTTCGTAATGAAAAAACAAAAACGACGAGTAGTATTAGTTTTCAGTCCATGTCTCCGTAACATATTAAAATTTTGCTTTCAAATTTATTATTATTATCTAATAATCTGATTTAAAGTGAAATCAACTCCCAATAATATTCAAATGCTGAAAAAAATGGCGGGGGCATCTCTAGATAATCGCCAATAATTGAGATTAGGTAGCTGATCTAGACGGGAAGCCTACTATACATTATAATTTGTGCGCTTATATAAAAAAAAACATCGCCACCTAACTTTCATGAATATGAAATCTGTATGAGTAATTATTTGGAGTTTGGAAGTTATACGATTCCTAAACAATTATGCTCGTAGGGAGAGAATTTGATTGTTGTTTTCTAAGAAAGGCTTTTATCGTTATTAGTATTGTAAAATTACCATTCTGTAAACACTTTCCAATTGAAGTTTCTCCAGGTTATTTTATTATCGGCTATATCAGTCAAGTGGGTCAATCATAGAGCTTAAGAAAGGATAAACTTGAGATTTATTTATATTGTTGTTTTCCCGAAAATAACGTATAAAGTAAGAATTAGTTAAAAGCCAATGGCATGTATCCACTTGTCAAGTTGAAGATAAAAGAATAAGAAGAATAACCACACACCGACTTAAAGGAGGAGCCCATAGGAAGAACAGAATCAGATATTTATTTTTGAAATTAAAAAACAAATTGAAAACAGAAAGGAATAATAAAAAGATACTCTAAACCTTATCCAAACTTGTTCACTTCTCCCATTAATCCGCTAATCAATCAAATCTTCTCCGCTCACTCTCTCATTCACAATCCGAAATTCTCTCAATCAGAGATTTTTAGGGTTCTTACTGATTCTGACTATGGACAGTTGTCTATCAAACCAAGCGGCGCTACCGTTTCTTCCGTCGCGTTCGAGGAGACAGAGCGGCGATGGAGGCGGTGGATTTTTCCTTCCGGCGATGCGAACGGCCCAGTATAGATCGATGGTCGTCTTTGCGGCGTCGGGGCCGAGCCGGTGCGAGCCTGGAAGCAGCCTTAACGCACCGCTTGAGCCGCGATCGTCGCAGGGCAGGTTTCTGAGAAGCGTGTTGCTAAACAAGCGGCAGCTCTTTCACTACGCCGCCGCCGATGAGCTCAAGCAACTTGCCGATGACCGGGAAGCCGCCTTAGCTCGTATGTCTCTTAGCTCTGGTTCCGATGAGGCTTCTCTCCACAGGTCCGTTAAGCTTTACTTTTTCTAATCTCTTACCAGTTACGACACACAAATCCGTTATGCGTAAATATTCGTAGAATTGGTTACTCCGAAAACTCTGTAACTCATTAGATACTTACTTACATACATACATACGTATATATCAATTAGTGTATTCATCACATAACATAAGCTTGCAAATTCAATTGATACGTTGTCCGATTCTTGTGTGTTTGAGTTGTTTGATGCTGTCTATGCTGATCGGAGAATGATAGCAATGATATGGCTGATTTGAAATCACAGAACATCCTATAATTGTGATTTTGTGGTGCTTTCTCATTCTCTGCCTTGCGAAGCAAGTTTTGTTCTAGTTTTCGAGAAAGCTGCTTTCAGTGCTTTATCAATTTAGCTCCTCTAATGTTTCTATAACTGGTTAGCTGTTAGAACTTATTCATTGAGTATCTTTTCTGTTCACCGTTTATTTAGTTTGCTTTCGCCAGTTTCATTTTGTTTTCAGAGTTAGTTTCTTGCTTGTGTTTATTGTTCTGTTTCGGCAACTTACAATTTGTTGATGGCCTTGCTGCAACGTTCTCTTTTAAGGACTCTAATTCCCTAATTTTCTTTGTGGTTGGCAGAAGGATAGCTCAACTCAAGGAACGTTACTGCAAAACTGCAGTCCAAGACATAATGTACATGTTAATATTCTATAAATACTCTGAGATAAGAGTCCCTCTTGTGCCAAAGCTATCGAGATGCATCTACAATGGAAGACTCGAGATCTGGCCTACGAAAGACTGGGAGCTGGAGTCAATTCACAGCTGCGATGCCCTTGAGCTCATCAAGGAACACGTAAGCGCAGTCATCGGGCTACGTGTCAATTCCTGTGTGACTGACAATTGGGCAACAACACAGATACAGAAGCTTCATCTCGGGAAAGTATACGTTGCCTCGATCATGTACGGTTACTTCTTGAAATCCGCGTCCCTCAGGCACCAGCTCGAGTGTTCCTTTTCGGATCTCCATGGAAGCGGATATCTGAAAAGTCCAGTCTTTGGTTGTTCTGTAACAACGGGCACTGCACAGATCTCCACCAAGCAGAAGCTGAGACATTACATCTCAGGGTTCGATCCCGTGACATTGCAGAGATGTGCAAATCCGAGGACAGAGGAAGCAAGGAATCTGATAGAGAAGCAATGTTTGGCCCTTTTTGGCACGGAGGAGAGCGATGAGACCATCGTGACATCGTTTTCGAGTTTGAAGAGGTTGGTTCTCGAGGCTGTGGCGTTTGGGACGTTTCTGTGGGACACGGAGTTGTATGTAGATGGTGCATATAAGCTCAAGGAGAATGGAAATGCAGAAGAACAAGAAAACAAAAGCATATGAACCAGCTTGGGTAAAAGAAAAGCTTCATGATCCTTTGTTGTATATATAGAGAAAGTTTCTGCCAAATCTTTCAGGCAATTCTTTAGTGTTTTGTATATAGCTGTTTCTTAATTATAGATGTTTTGACGGCCGAATAAGAATTTGGTGGTTATAAGGAAATAAGGAATACGGGTTTAGTTACTTTTTTATATTCGAAAAAAGGAAAAATCGAATCTGAACGAGTAGTAAAAACCAAGACTGAAACATAACTTTCTTTGACTCTTTTCTCAATAATATACTCAACCGATCCGCAGTGTATAACTACAATAAGACACCATCAGAGAGTCTTTGAGGCTACACAATAAGACTTCATCAGAGAGTCTTATTGCAGAAGTTAGAAGCACACCAAGTAAGTGTCTGGACCTGATAACACTTGTTTCCGATACCTGGTTTGTCTCCAGTTTCAAATCCCTTCTGCCTAGTTATTCAAGGATTCAAAGAATGAAGGAGAGAATCAGAGCAGGCATGTGAGTTTCTCAGCTCAAATGGGGTGTTAGAGAGTAGTGATTGCGTTATGTTGAGTGTTTCATGGAAGGAGATGAAACTGGTGATTGAGTGCAGATGTAGCAAATTTGTTTTGGGTATAAAGAAAGGGAATCCTCTTAATATAGAAAGTTTGGATTCGTATTGCTAGAGAGAATATGTATCATTCTTTCTTCTTTCGGATCAAAGATTTGATTACTGGCTTATTCGTTTAGCGGTTTAAACCGCAATTGCATATAGGCGAAGGCCCTATAATAATTGATATTGGGCTTAGCCCAAATGTTACTAAAAAGCCGAAAAAGCCTTTCCTTGTGTATTTCCCCTATAAATACTACTTTGCCATGTTCAGACCAAAGTTTCTGTTTCTTGGTTGGGTTTTGTGAGGGGGAGAGAGAGATTCTTCTTCTTGTTCAAGAACAAACCCATATACAAAAAAAAACACCCGTAATTATAAAAAAATATTACAAGAACATTACAGATATATTACAGAAAGAGAAGGTATATATATATACACACCCATATGCCAACACATGGAGATTTATGGAGAGAGAGAGGGGAGAGATATTTCTCACTTTCTTCGGTGTATTTCTTCTTCTCTCTCTCTCCTCTGAGATCTTCCAATCGCTCCCTCTCTCTCTCTTGTGTATGATTTTCGAATTTTTTAAAAAGGCTTGCTTTTAAGAACACCGTTGATTTCTAT